GGGGGGGGGCGGAGATATAAATATATATATATTATTTCTAAATCAGAATCTCTAAAATCTTATACCGTCTAAAATATACAGTATAACTAAGAAACTTCATAATAAAATACTAACAGGGGGGGGGGGTGTTAGAAGTGAGAAAGAGTGACAAGAAATGCATAGGCAGAAACAGATGAAGGCGAAAAAAAGGGAGATGTCAGATGAATGTTCTTCTTTGAGGTGCAATGTATACAGAGAAACATTGTTCTACACCAATATATCCCTTCCTAATTTGTCAACAATCATTTCACACCAATCTTTAACAATATCACACATGTAAGTTATGTGGGTAGTAGACTTGAGAAGCTTGCAGCGATAGCACATATAGCATCAAAAATCATAGCTTTTGAGAAGAAACTTGTTGTTCAGCATTTCTGGTTTAATCACATTTTCCACCTACATGCAGACTAAGTTTAATTCTTTAGATGTCATCAGGCATGAATGACTAAATCCCACCAGTGGAGAGATAAATGACTTGCTGCATCCTATGTTATGCAATTGATGCAAATAACCATATAATCTGAAAGCAGGGACATAACCACAGAACCATGATATGTTCCCGACTCAATATTTAGATTATACCAAAAGCCTCGGGTATTAAATGGTCAACAACCAAATCACTTTGTCACTTAAAATATCAATTCAAAGAAAAATCTACGACAGAATCCTGGCTAAACTGAGTACAAATTCTGAGAATATTAAAGATATTTTAATTCTGAACTTGCCTCTTAAGCTCAATTATACAAAGCGGAATACCAAGGGTATACGAGTCAAATTGATTCCAAGAGGACAAAAGTACTTCATATCGGCAGAACCCATACTAAATAGTAACAGTACACTAAGTCCAAGTGATCCTAATGGGAGAAGATAGCATCAAATGAACAGAATTCCCTAAAATCATTATTCATTCAAGAAACAAGTCAACAAATTTCAGCTCTTAACATACAGTTTCAGGAAGGAATTTAAAAGCTCAAATGTAATAGTAAACATGAATTGAACGGAAAATAAGGTCAAACAAAGAACATAATAAGATAATATTACACTTACCTCTTCTGCACGCAATGTCCAGTATTGATCATTTATGTTCTCAATCTTTTCGTGCAGCGGAAAGATCTGCAGATAACAGCAAAATGATGTTTTCGAAGGTGACTTAAAAAGGTGAAACAATAGTTAACCTTAGGATGCAAAAGTAAAAAGATGTTGCAGTAGTTGATATTGTTTGTACAGGCTAGAAATTCTTAACAATGAAATCCAAGATTGTGATGCTTAATCGCTTATCTAAACATGTTCTTTAAGATAGCGACATGAGACAGAGAATACAACTTTGTATAGGCTAGAAATTCTTAACAGAAATGTTGATTTTTGCCATAAATAGAATTATGTGCTTACTTGTTCATATATGTTCTGTCACTAAAAACTTGTTCACATAGGCTCATATCCGTGTGTTAGAATATATTTTAGGTGCCTGTCTTAGATTAAGAAAGTGGCTGTTAGGTAGTTCTTGTCTTGTCTATCTAGGTTAGTAGATTTGTGTCTGTCATGGGAAAGAATTTTTTCATTGTTAGGAATCTTTTCCCATCTCTATATTAGAGAGTGAATTCATCCAATTGTAATATGACTATGTTTAGCTATTTTAATTCTACAATATACTGCCTGGCTTCACTATAATATTTGTTTGTTCGGTCACGTCTCTTTCTATTCTAGCATGGTATCAAGAGCACACGTCTCTTTCTATTCTAGCATGATATCAAGAGCACGTTCAAAAGAAAAAAGTCTAAAATCTCTTTTCTGAAATCTTAGTCAACCCGAGAACCTTTAGTCAACTTTTACTTCCCACCTATTAAACCCATTGTCCAGCGAAGAAAACCCCAGACTCGCCCTTCCCACCGCACCCACCTATTTTTCAGCTGCCCCTAAAGTCATTAGCCCTCTGTGGCCGGGGTCTCCGCCACGAGCTGCCCTACTCTCCTCCAACCAGATGCCCCTGCCGTCCACCATGTGGCCGCCACAGCCGATCCGCGATAAAGGCTGCCTGCTTCTCTTGGCTATTTTTTCTGTTCTTCTCCTCCTATTTCGTTCTCTAGGGTTTCCTGTTACCTTGCATTTTTTTTCTATTTTCTGCTTGGTCTCATCTCATTCTCTTCTAATACTACGAAAGAATTTAAGATACATTACAGAATCATTTACCTTATATATCTTATGATAGAAAACCTCCAGTAATCTTAGTTCAGCATCCGGGTGAGACAACTCCACCTGCAATTAGATTATAATAGATGTGTAAAATCTTACTACACACAAATATACAAATGCCCTAACAGATACAAACACCGTATCTTGCAGACTAATACTCAGAAACAAGATGTTCAGCAATAATATCATACGACAGTTCCAACGAAAACTAATTATGGAACATTCCAATTCACCTAAGAGATGGTGCCTTGTATTTCTTTTTCTAGTTGGTAATAAGCTCAAACGTTGTTTCTTCAGTGGTGTCATCTAGCTGTCACAATCCTTCAGAGGATTTCTTATCTTTTTCCATTTCCTAATTCTTTTTACCGCATAAAATATCTAATTTTGGAGCAGAAAAGTTGCATAGCTCACCTTTGTCTTGAGATCACTAATGACATCCCCCACAGTACTCTGTTTTGGTAACCTGATGGTATGAATAACAACCTGAAATTGTGAAACAATATTGAATGACCCTGGGGAAGTATGATACATGCACAAGTATAGTGGGTCTTTGAAAAAAAATCATAGAGCAGGTTCAAGAGAAATACTCACTTCGTCCTTGGTGGCATGATGGAAAGCAATTTTTAGAGTTTTAAGGCCTTGCAGTTCCGGCAAAGGGATATCCAACACTTCATAGTACAATATATCCGAAATCTGTAGCAGACAAGTCAAAGGTTAACGTTAACACACAAACAATGACAAAAACTAAAATCAACTATAGATCTCCAACCCACTTGCACCTCATAACTACCTGATTATAGTGAACAAGCATGTCCGTAAGACGTTCTGCTCCTCGGTACTTAATAGGTTGAGGCTTTGGTTGCTGTGAATAGCAGTTATGAGGTGTAAGCCTTATTTTAGAGGGATCCTCTAAGCCAAGATGGCGTGCAACACTTTGAACAACTTCATCATAGTTGTTCTGCTTTGACCTGAAAAATTATATCATAGTACGAGACCATTAATCAGACAGTCAAACAGACAAACGTAATAGCCCAACCCAACAACAATGTCGTAGAATGTAAATTTTTGTAAATAAGGTTCATACAGTTCCAGAGAAAATTCGTCTTCCTTGGCCTTCTCCAGTGAACGAAAACGAACCATCTATGAACCATCAAAACAAGCTACTTAGATTTGGACCAGAAAAGTATTTAAATCAACAGAACTTTCGAAAGATAACCAGCATTACCAAGAAAAATTAGGTCAACAGCTGAAGTCAGTGTTTTTATACGTACACAGGTTTACATATAAATTAGTGTTCACAGGGTCCTAATGATGGAAATGTTGCAGTCAGTCATGTATTTCAAAAATACTGAGACACCCTACCTTGAAAGGTTGCTAACAGAGTAAGAACACTCACATCTAATGAATTAGTTATAACTTTGCAGATCAATTAACATAAATAACTATCGTTCAACCTCACTTCTAGACCTGCTCATCTTATAATTCAACCAATGGCTCCGCTGACTTGGAAAAGATAATAAATAAAAGAGTGGGGGTACAAGAAAGAAAAATTCTTCACAGTAAAAACTGAAGATAATTGAACAACCAACCACGTAAGATGAGAGTATCGATTAACTGGCCTCACCCAATCCCTCCTAAAGGAAAAATTGAAATTTGGGTCGTCTTGTATTTCTTCTGCACTCCTAACTTACCAGCATTGTTTTCTCGGATAAATGTACTTCTAAACATAAGTTCGACCACCAAGAAAAAAAGAACAGAAAATAAAAATGACCATACTAATTATATTCACATTTTACTTTCAACTGAAAGATGGTCAACATAAAAGAGAGACCAGATAAATAAATAATTGATCTAACTACGTCAACCCATTCAAGAAGCATCACCATTAAGGGTATACCTGGCGATTATGCACGTAGTCCAAAAATGCAGGGACAGTGGGATAACGGCACTCTTCACTGCTTTGACCTTGAGACGATTTTTGGAAACAAATGATATCCCCATCTTCGAGCTACAGATAAGGTAGGGCCAAAAGAAATAAACATGGTCAGGAGTTGCTCATACAATTTGCAACAAAACTGATAGAGAAGGCCAGAGGTATGGAAGAAAAGGGATTGCAGTGGGTTTAAAAATGATAAACCTGACTGTCACGAAAGCTAAGCTTCATGTCAATGCGTTCACACATGACGTGAGGATCGTACTTAATTTCCTGCACATAATTGCAGGGGTAAGAAAAACTAAAATGGGAGCTTAAAGATTCAAACACATAACTTTGAAGCAGAACAAGGAAAAGGAGGGTTACCTCAAAAAGTTCAATTTCTTCATCAGGAGCAAAGCCCGCCATTTCATTAAGCTTTTCGAAATTCTCCATTGGCTTGGACTTGCCTTTTACAAATAACCGTCCAACATACCTAATCATAAAGAATAAAAGTTCGTTAAGTAGAAGCACTTCTGCTGGAGAACGTTGCGGCCACATAGAACTAAAACTCAGATACTGTTTTTTGGGACAGTATTTAGCTATTCATTTTCAACAGTTGGAAATGCAACCAAAGCAGACAGACACAATACATTATCTCATTTCCTAGAACAAACTTTTAAAAGCATTAATTATAGTGCATTCAAAAAGTCCCGACACTCTTTACAATAAATTACTAATGCCATGTATTCCATTTACTATAGAAGTTCCTAGGGAATTCATTAGTAAGACAAAATTCAAGCATAACTTGCTTACATCCTGTAATGGCAGTGTTTGGCGATGAGAATATAATTAGCATGAAAAGAGCCATACCGTAATTCTTCTTTCAACGGGTCATAAAGTTTGAAAAACAAAAGAATATCCTCCTTAATCTTCTCTGGTGGAGGGATAGGCCTCAAGTCCTACATCAGTTGTTGAGCACATAATGGAATAAAGTAAGTCAGGGAGCAAATAAAATAATATTACCTTCATTAAAAAATAGAAAATAGAAGTGATTGGCATATTACCACGCCAAATGCTACTTCCAGAAATAATTTTAGCTCAGCATTATTTGCTTTGTTGGATACTTCTCTTAATTGACCAACCTACAGAGTGAAAAGATAAGCAAAATAGCAAAAGAAGTACAAAACTATCAATCGCTAACAGCCAACACAAACTAACAGGACATAGCAATCACAAAACTCCAAAGTTCACCAAAAAAAAGAAAAGGATTTTACAAAATCAAACACAGGTGAAATCATGGGCAACATTTTCTATGCAGCAACTGGGTGTATATAGTGACACATTAAAAGGAAATTTTGATTTCGGGGAAGGCAGACAAAATATATACTCTCACTAGTGCTGAAATCATAAATATACCAAGGAGATTTTGTTAGCTCAAGATAATACAACTGTGTGGAGACAGATTATATACTCACTATTACGGGGCTGTTCAATTTCCAGCCAAGGTTATTAATTACTTTTTATAAACTCAAGAACACCTAATCCGGCGGACGGAGCCAAAAATTGGATAAACCAAATAAAAATCACATACTGATTGAGCTTCCTCCTGCGGTGTGAGTGGACGATTTGGACGGTAAGTATGATTCTGGCGCTTAGCCCACAACCAGAAGCGTTGAAGCTGAACAGGTATCCCAAACTCCTTCGCTACTTCTTCCTGAAAATTGAAATGATAATAAGATAAGATGTAGAGTTTGCTGAAAATTGCAGTTTATTTTTCTCAACACCCACCAAGTTCATCTCCCCAGAGAGGATGTTGCAACTATAATTGTAGATTTATTAATCAAGTTCACAAACTCAATCTATTTAAGCATGACATCCCACTAGCAACCACGCATAACCTGGAGACTAGCATAAACTGAATCTTGTTCCATGACAACAAATTAACATCTATATAAGAGTCAACCAAGCTCTCTACCAGACGTTCTGGTGTTAGGTTGGCAAGAGACTGGTCGGCCATGGTGTTTATCTGACACAAAATCATTCCTAGCAGTACTTGTCCGGTGCAACAAAGTTAAAGAACACAATAAAATCCCAAAAGTTCTATAAGTTAATCTTGAAAGACAAAAGTACTCAACATAGTTCCACCCAACCATATTCAACTTAATGTTTTGAGTAGGCAAAAAAATTCCAACAGTGCATAGATAACCCAATTATGAACCAGAATTTATATGGCTTTTGAGTTTTAGCAAAATGTTATCATTGGATCATGTCCAACAAATACAAAAATATGGAAAAATACCTTAAAAGTATTAAAAGACAGCTGTTTCTGAATGCGAAAATTGCGAACTTTGTCATGATCCACAAGATCAAAATATATCTCCTTTCCAATCTGTTCGACAAGGTCTGCATCGCGAGCAACCTGTAAATAAATCAAATGAAAATTAATCCTCCATACACAACACATGAAACAGATACAACAACTGAAAATTTCAAAACCTTAATAATTGTGTAGAGGTGAGCCTCGGCCTTCTCCTTTTTCTTTAGCTCCTTTTCTTCCTGCTCCTTCTTCAGTCGTATCTGGATGGAGATAAAATGGAGTAAGCAACAAACACAAACAACAGTCAAAATTTATGGATATTACCCCCAAGATGTTCAGCTATGTCCTTCTCATCGACATTGCAAATTATTTTTCCCTTGTCACTTTGACGTATTCAAACAAGCATATGTAAAATCTATGAATCTTACCCTAAGATGTTCTGCTATGTCCTTCTCATCAACATTGCAAATTATTTTCTCCTTGTCACTTTCACGTATATAAACAAGCATGTAAGCATTCGAATATTTGGTAAATTTGAACGGTGAGTTGTTGAATCCAGGATTCGTCTGCGGTAACTGTGGCACCAAAGAGGAAATTTCAGAACATGATTGAATGCAATCTAACAAACAGGTAGTATAATAACCATGCAATCCTGCAAGAAATCAGTTCCCTACTACTTCCCTAGCAAAAAGAAAAATTACCTCTTCTTCGCCACCATATTGCTCTTCCAATGCTCTCTTCATGTCTTCTTTGGTTACACGTTCATCATCAAATTTGAACCTAAATCAGGATGATAGTAGATCTCTATAACCAGTACAACATACAGCAACCAAATCTACACTTTACGGGGATAAGTAGGTACTGATCCAACAGGTGAAGCAGTACTAGATTATGAAATGCAGCATCATGCTCCAAATCAATGTATTGAGCATGTGGAAAAAACAATTAGAAGAGTTCAAGCACAACTTGCTAAAACCAAACAAGAAGATCGAATTGCTATTAACAAAGTAGAGCTAAAGTAAATTCCTAACTAGAATGTCATAGTAATCCTTCCAAAAAACAATGTAACTTCAATTAACAGATAAAGCTTCACACACCGTATATAATAAAATAGGAAAACAAAGAAGGGAAGGAAAATGAAAGACAATGTTAAACCCATAACATAGAGCATACCACTTATCAGAAAGGGTTGGCCTGATATAAGCATAATAATGCCCACCATGCACTCCACCACTGTGAACCAGAACACTGCAATCAAAGACAACAAACTTCAGTTTGCCTGCAGTTATAAAGATGCCTTTTAACGAATATCAAAATAACCAAAAAGGACAATAACTAAACTCAGCAACAGGAAAAGTGAGAGGAAGGAAGTGAAGCAGAAAATATAGGGACACTCTCAGGCTATAATCCGCATGAAGAAACCCACCAACTTAGTACAATAAAGAGGACTAGGTGACAGAGTGTATGGCTCAACAAGCCACATGAAAAGCTATGTTTCCTAAGAAGTAAAATAATGAGGCTAGTCATATTAGAACCATGATGATTCTATAAAAACCGTAAGTTAAGCCAAGGATTCCCTCAGTTTAAGAATCAATACACCTCATGAAAAAATAGTACTGTTAATCGCCAGAACACATGAGCAACCACAATCAGTAAGGAAAAACACCATCAAAACAAAAACCTATCTCATAAAAAAACATAAACCAATAAATATTGCAACTGAATTAAATAAACAGTAACAGAATACCTATGAAGAGTGTATAGGTTGCGCACACTCCTATCTGCATCAGGAGATAGATATTTGCCATTCTCTCTATCAAGATCAAGTTCCAAAGGAAACTCATAGCGATCATTTATCTGATTGAACAAATATAAAAAGTAAATGAGATAATTGTTTGATAGTAGACAATGAATATAAAATAAATATTCCAATTCTTGAAGCAACTAGTAGCACCAGAAAGACGGATGGAGTCACTAAAATTATTGGAATTAAAATCTGCTTTGTAACATTTGAAACCAGAGGCAGCAGAAACAATAAAACTTTTCAGTAATCTTGGATCAGGATCTCTCTATTGAAATCAAAACATTCAGTCATGTATGAATAATAAGATTTGAAATTTTTTTCTCTGGGAAAGTGCATATATGATCACCTTTTCATTCAAGATAAAAAAATGCTCAAATTAACAGTTCATAATAAACATAAACATTTAGGTAATGCTGCAAGTGATGTATATACATTCGTTGCATAAGAAAGCCACTATAAGATGTTGCTTATTGATATTGATATTCCAGATGCATCTGTAAAAGAGACATGAGGACTGAGGTCTCTCCAGCATATGGAAAAGATGTGATATTTTCAGCAAAGATTTATAAGGGAGGCTACTGCTTTCATTGACCATGAGTGCAGAGAACTAAACGATCCAACTAACACTTAACTCAACTCCAGATGTTAGATTGGTTCATCCACATGGAGAGAAATGACATAGAGAGGTAAACTACAATTATTAGGATTGTTTCAAAAATCCAGATCACGACCAATTTACTGTATTTTTCAAACAATTGGAAGATACGAGAAATTTCAATAACTGTTAAATCAGTCAGTTAACATGTTACATAACTATGACCCATTTTAATACTCATCAGTAAATACCAGCATATTGGTTTCCTAGTTATAATAGTAGAAAGGAAATACATGCTATATTTTTACGTGATAGTAACAAACGCAAATTAATCATTCACCAAGGCAAAAGAACGTTTAACTAACAGCCTCTTTATTGATAACTATGTCCCTTACGCACAGGTTGAGACCTATTCACTGCCCAAGGTATCAAATAAGACTAACAGAACACACAAGTATATGCTTATTATACTGAAGTAGATAGCTAAGTATACGAGGGGGCTTCCCATTGACCACATACCTTAACCATAGTATCGCGAACAAAATCATATTCAAATCTTTTCAACTGTAGCTGAAGAACAGGAGGGAAGTCAATGAAAAGAACACCCTTCCTAGCATCCTGAAAAGTACGCAGTTTACCTTAGACATGAAAATAAAATCCTCATAGCAGAAGACAGAATGTTGTACTTAGGAACTTCATAATCTTTTCTGTTATTTCTCTCGGAACTACTCTATTTTCACTTCTCACACCTTTTTTGTTTCTTACTTTACCCACAGCATGAGTTATCAGTTCTTGATAGATGTTTGGTGAAACTGTTTTATTTTATATGCAACTGACTGCGGTATTTACTAAGAACTCCCATATAAGAAGCAGAAGGGTAAACTAGAAACAGCCAACCTGCAATCCGTATTGTTCAGCATGATACTTGTTGTCACCTTCAAGACGTTCCACTTCCACATATTTGTCAAAGGAAGCATAAATATCCTTACAGCCTTTGACATCAAGCTGCAGATCTGACAGATATATAAATATGAATAAATGAAAAACACCCACAGCAATTTCAAGTCACTCAAATTGAGTTTTAGAGGACTACCATAGTAAGATTCCTTTCTTGCAGACTTGTAATCCACATTAATACATTCTAAGTAATTCATGTGGTGGCCCTCAAATAACTTCTGTATCGTGCCCTCCACTACTGTTCCCTGGAAAAAGCAATGGATGGTTAAATAAGCATGTAATACTCAGGAACAAACAGGAAGAAAGATGTTTAACTTTTTAATTTCATTTATTTATTGGTTAGAAAAGCTTATGCTCTATTTGGTGTTATTTCTGGCATTCTCCGAAAGATGTACTGAGAGAATGTCGGTGGTGGACTGGAAAGGATTGGAAAATGAGTATATGTCAAATGTTTCTTGGGTGAAAATTATGTGAGCTGGATGTACTTAGGGAGATGTTTTCCAACTGTGGACATCTCAATCTTAATTGTCAATGTTGTCTTGTTATAGTTGGTAGAGTACAGTAAAATATATAATCATAATTGCAATTTGAAAAGATTGGTAAGTGCTTCGGGGGAACGAAAACATGCTTCCCGAAACATCAATCACCAAACACAATTTCTTTTTTGGGAGAAGGAAAATGATTTGGGAAAATATAACCAAACAAAGGCTTAAGTTTATGGCAGTACTTTCATTTTGTCTTCCAGTTTTTCACAAAGAACCCTGTTCAGTTCTTGAACATCATGCTGCATAAAAGAATCATATGTGTCCCAACCAAAAGACTTCGTCAACTCCTTAGTTGCTACACTGGTATCACAATACTGCAACTTATAGAATAAACTCTGCAGAGCCAATGGGATGCTTGCGGATGGATTATCAATTTCTGTAGTCGGCATGTGGTATACAGCCTGCAGCAGAATTGTAAATTAGGTATTTTCTCCAACAATGTTAGAGAGACAAAACTAGGCTCGTGTGCAAACCTTTCTAAAATAAGGAATATGGTATAATGTCTGGAGGAGAGAGTTCATATAACAGGTAGCACCCTGATTTTTTAGCCCAACAAAACCTGTCTCTTTTTTTGAGTCATGTGACCAGTAATCAACAACTCTACGAACAGCAACATCAGCCTCAACTATACATGTATCATTTACAAGATAACCTCGGCCAGGGTCATAGAGTTCACTAAGAGGCATGAATGAAGTGAATCCCCAATCACTTTCTCTAGAATTGAACTGGTGTTGAGTGTCTGCAGAATTAGTTTTTTTCAAAACCATCAACCAATCAGCAATGCTAGCATACGAATTATAATGACCTAATCAGAAACCAGAGCATATGGCAAGAAGTATGAAGCAACAAGGATAGGAAACTTCATGCATGTACTGAATTTAAAATTAAATGGAAACTGACTAACTTAATTTCACAAGCTTTGGCACTTTCAGCACTACAGACTTTTCAAAATCATGTTCATTTTTACAAATTTGTGGAAAATTTTACAAAAACAAATCCAATTATTTTCAAACATTAGTTCCTGTTGTATAAAATACATAATATAAATCCTGTCGTATAAAATACATAATATAAATATATAATATTATTATTAATACTATAAAATGTAGTTTTGTAAAGAAAACAAATTAATTGTTTTAAGAATTTTATATATAATTCCAATTCTTATCCGAAACTTTTTGGCCAAATAGGAAATCAAAATGAAGAAGGAAAAAAAACTGTTCCAAAGTTTACAATCAGTGCATCAGAATCGACACTATTTGGGAGTTCATTATTCGTTCCCACCCCTAGTCAAAAACTCCAGGTAGATTCAATGGGGACCAAAATGGTTCAAAAAAGATGCAGTACATATCTGAAATGGTCCGGCTATATTCAACTCTGAGTAAAACAGGTTTCCAAATGGGTCAGACTAGATCAAACCACACTAAGTCCAGTTGGTTCTAACCAAGACAAATGGGTAAACTGAATCAAATCCAAACCAAAATAAGTCCGCTAGTTTCCAAGCCAGACGGCCCCGACCATAACAGGTCGATTGGACTCAACACGAACAGATTGATTCAGCAACAAAGTGGTGAATCTTGTAGTTTTTTAAGATAATATTTAGATTGACTGTAAATTACAAAACTACAACTTAAATATCATCTTGTTGCATTAATTAGCATCCGATAAGACTACAAACATAACTTAATGAATGAAGGCATAATTAACCAAGCATCCAGATCTTTTATCTGAATAAGTTTAACAAAACACCTTAAATAAGTCAAATACCAATTACCAAGGAACTCACGTAATTCGTCTTTGCCACAATAGTCTATTATACCCTACTAATCAATAATATCTCCACGTGGAATATTCAATGCCCCACTGAATAGAAAATCTTACCTTTCCTAACTGTGAATTTGCTGTGTATTTGATTGACTATAGACAAACTGAACTGTGCATATCTGCTCCAATTATAAGGCAATGTGGTGGAGTCTGCAACGTCCAGATACATTGATAAGTGATCAACATTGTTCCCTTTTGGAAATATAAGTACTCGCCTGCCCAAAAGTAGTTTCCATAAGCTCCAAAGTAATGACAACAAATCCAGGACAGACTAATGTATGGGAAAACAAAATAAAAGTACCATTTGTATCCTCCCACATTAAAAACTTCAGAATACTGTTTCTTCAGGTTCAACTTTGAAAATTCGGGAATCGCCCAAGTGAACCGTCCAGATGGGGTCTCCTCCACTGCGGGTGCATCCACTGCATTTGTCGCTTCCACAGGAGCAACTAGACAACGAAGAAGCTATTAAGCCCAAAAAATAAAAAAGGAAGAAAAAACAGCCAAAATAGCAAACCCCAACAATAAATACATTCTATAACAGAGGCCAAAAAAACCCTAAAGTTAATCCAACTCAAAGAAGCAAACGAATGAAAGCACAATTTCTAGTAAAGAAAGTAATAAAAAAATTATTTCTAGGAGTAAGAAAATCCCAATACCTTCCATGGGTTGAGGGCCTTCTGGGACAAAATCGGCATTAGGCACAAGCATCTCTTCGTCCTCTGCCTGCTAAAGAAATAAACCAAAAGTAAATGTCACAAACAATAGATCCAACAAACCTACCCGAGGCATCATTCCCCAATTCAAACCCTAGATTCAACCAATTCCAATCAGTAATCAGGATATCCAACATTAATCTCCAAACCCCAAAAATCCAAATCAATGCCAAAATCAGAGTTCCACTACAGGAAGAAGATCGTGCGAACTCCACAAAGAAAGCTAAATCCAGCTACTGAATTGAAACCCCAATTAAAAATCAAACAGAACATAAACCCATTAACCAACTCAATCAACACCAAAAGCGGTATGTACGTACGTATGCGTATATATATAAATACACAGTCGTATAAACAGAGGGGCGAAAGAAAAAAAAAAAAAAAGAGTACGTCGATTGGAGGAGGCGGCGGAGTGAGTAGAGTCATTGAGCGCAAATTAGCGGCGGAGCGATCGGTTAATCGGAGAAAAATAGATACAGAATTTTACAGGATTTATTGAGTTTGGTTTTTGTAGATGAATAAGAGAGACGCAGAGAGAGGGGGGGGGTATAGGTAAATGATGACGTTGAAATCGATCCAGAATGGTAAGAAAAGACTTGTGAGGGGGGCGTGAATAAATTATAAAAAATTTGTTTATTTTAAAGGATTCAAATTGTTAGGGTGATTTTGGTAAATTTACGAGCAATTAGTAATTAATAGATAATAAGGCGTGCTGCAGTAAATTTGGAATCATTATATAATGCTGTCATATAATTTAGGGCAAATTACGGCCCATGAGATATGGACAAATTAAGAAAAAATCCTTATTGTTTTGGTAATTACAACCACCTCCTCCTTTTAAATATTTTTACATAAAATTTATGTAATTCGGTTATTTACCGAACCAAATCGTATATTCAGTACGGTAAACGGCATGAAAATGTTGACGTACCAAAATTTCGGTTCGATTTTACCGATTTAACATTCTTAAATTTACCTCTGGAGTATTTTCGTAAGATAATACATAGTCGATGAATGGTTGTAATTACCCAAAAGGAGAAAGGTTTTCGTAATTTGACCATAATTGAGGGGTGGCCGTTGCTTGAATTTTTATTCATAATTATGTATTAACCAAAAAACTAGTGTTTACAAAGCAAAATTGTAGAATGTGATGTATGTTGGGGCCAAATGAGTTGATGGGCCTAAAGCCCGTTTACTGGATTAAGGTTGAACATCTCAATTCTTGACTTCTCGTGTAAATAGATTTCTCTTCTTTCTTACTTTCTCTTTTGGCCATTGGGTTCTCCTGAAACGCTTATGCTCTTCTCAATCACTTTGCATATCTTATTACTTTTTTGCTCCGTCAACCATGGGTCAAACTTCATCGTACATGGTAGACTTTCGCTTATCGGTGGTAAGATTCAAATTGCATCACGATCCTAACATCATGGTAAACGGGAAAAGGTAAATTTTTCGTCACTCAAATTTGCATTGATTTTACACTTGGTTCCTTTGTTTACAATTAATCTCTAATGTTTCAACAATTTGAAAATATTTATAATTTTCGTCAATCTTCCATTACTAACAGAATGAAGTATCACTAGTAGAAAAATGGCTTTTTATTACGACCATTAACTGTAGCAAAATGTAAAAAGGTTTTTGCTACGCATTTGCTACGAATTTGCCCTGTAGCATATACGGGCGTGACGAAAAGTTTGCTACGATAAATGGCCGTACCTAATACTTTTTTGCTACGGTAAATCCTAGTATTTACTACGACTTTAAAATCGATCCATAGTAAAAAGTACCTTTTACTACAGTTCTTTACCATGGCAAAAAAAATCGTAGTAAAAAACAAATTTTCTACTAGTGTATGTGCCTTATCACTATTAAACTGACGACTAACAGTAAATTAACGAAAAACACACTAAATGTTAAATTATTGATAGTTGAAACATGAGCGACTAAATCAGTGGACCTAATACGAAATCGAAGTAAAATTGACGGTCGAAAAAGCTAGTATTACCGAAGTAAGCTATGTATACAATTAAATATTACTCCCTCCGTTCCTAAATAATTGTCAATTTTCACTTTTCACAAAGATTAAGAAACTCGATAAATATATCTTGATTTTCGAAAAATCATATAAAAATTACTAAAACAACCTTTAATATTTAATGATTTATAAGAGAAAATGAATGAATAGAGTTTCATTAATAAGGTTAAAACATAAAAAAATGCATTTAATGCAGTATTGGAAATATAAAGTGACTGATAATATGGAACAAAAATATTTTAAAAAAAGACAGTTATTGTCGAATAGATGGAGTAACTAGGAAAAAAAATGAAAACATATTTATTTTATCGAAATAAAAACAAAATTTTAAGAAAAAATTGGGAAAAAAAAAAGAGTATTTATTATATATCATCTCTCCAAAAACGGAATCTACAATGCACACACGTAGCAAACAAAGTTCCCCCTCCAAAACTCCGATGGCCATCAAGCCACTCCACCTCGCCGTCGCTCTCCTCCTCCTCTCCACCGCCCATCACCTCCGCGCTGCATTGCCGGAAAATCCAGCACCACCACCGCCGGTGATCAGCTCCGACTCAATCCTCATCGCCCTCTTAGACTCTCACTACACCCAACTCTCCGAGCTACTAGAGAAAGCCCTTCTCCTCCAAACACTCGAAAACGCAATCGCAAACGGCACCATCATCGTTTTCGCACCGACAAACAAAGCCCTAGAGCGCGATCTCGACCCGGAATTCAACCGTTTCCTCCTCGAACCAGGCAACATCAAGTCACTCCAGACTCTGCTCCTCCACCACATCCTCCCCGCCAAGCTCAGTCGAGGCGGCTGGCCCACCGATCCCACTCGCTCGACACCAACTCGCCGCCGCGCTCTCTCTCACGATTACCTCGAATTCACCTACGGCGGCAATGGTGAGCCGTACGTCGGCGCCGCGAAGGTCGTACAGTTCAACTCTATAGTACGACACGACGGAATCATCCACGGCGTCGAAAAAGTAATCGTCCCCAAATCCGTGGAACGCGACTTCAATAATAATAACGGCCGAAATCCGAGATCGGTCGCCGCCGCAGTTGAACCCGAAGGTGCACCGGAAATCAACCCTAGAACGAACAAACTTTCTAAGCGAAATGCGATTTCGGCTCCCGGCGGTGGAGCTAATACAATCTACAAAGCGACGGCGGCGCCCGAACATTCTCCGTCTCCGGCGCCCGGCGGACCTCACCACCATCTCGACGGCGAGAAACAGGTCAATAATTTCATCCAGACGCTCACCTTCTACGGCGGTTACAATGAAATGGCCGAAATTTTGGTCAATTTAACCAATCTGGCGGCGGAATTGGGTAACCTAATCAACGAGGGTTACGCTTTCACTGTTCTAGCTCCGAGCGACGAAGCCATGGCGAAGCTGACGACGGATCAATTGAGCGATTCCGGCGCGCCGGAGCGAATCGTGTACTATCACATCGTACCGGAGTACCAAACCGAAGAGAGCATGTACAACGCGGTGAGGAGATTCAAAACGGTGTCGTACGACACACTGCGTTTGCCGCATAAGATAGTGGCGAAGGACGCTGACGGGTCGGTTCGATTTGGTACGGGTGCGGATTCGGGTTACTTGTTCGACCCGGATATTTATACAGACGGGAGGATCTCGGTGCAGGGGATCGACGGTGTGCTCTTTCCGCCGGAGGAGTCCGATCATCATCAGAATGCAAAGAGAGGTATTGCTGTTTAATTATATAAGTACTGTTAGTTATGATACTGTCGATGCTCAATATTTTTCCTCCGGCGGCGGTGGTGGTGGTGGTGGTGGAGGGAGGGTGTGTAGCGGTGGCGGTGAGTGTGTTGTTTGTCCGCACGTGCGTCATTTTTTGGGTTTGGTGGTTGCATGGAATTCATTACTGTTGGTGACGGCTTTTGGAATAGTATTCCTACTATTTATTATATGACGTCATCTTCAATAACTTTATTTTACAAAATAATATTAAAATAAACAAATAAAATACATTTGAATAAAAATTTAAAACGAATATGCATTAATTTTTTATTTTTTTTATTGCAGATAATTGAGAAATAATATGTATTTTTTATTGATTGCAGGGAAATAAACAAATAATGGTAAAAGGCAATTGGCAATGGCAAGCTACTTGGAGTTTCAGAATTTCATTACTACTTTTTTTTTTAAATTTATTTTGTATTATATGTTTTTCTGTGTTTGTGTAATAACTAATAAGTTATATATGCTATTGTCTTAAAATATATGTAAAAAAATAGCAATGCTAAAAGTTATGTTTGTTTATTACAATGTTTTGAAAACCGGACCGGAAGTCGAACCGGACAACTAACTGGGTCACGGTCGGACCGGTTCAACCGAGGTCCGACCGGGTTTTTTACTTTTTTTTTTCATATAATTATTTTATTAATTTAATACCTTAAATAAAAATATTTCTTATTTCTTTTTATTATTTCTTCCCACTTTTGTCAATTTATTTTTCCAATTTACTGCCACCATTTTTTTTTCTTATTAAAATATAATTTATAACTTTTTTATTTAATAGGAAACAATAATTTATAATATAATAACCTTTTCCTCTACACTTTTCACGAGAACCACACTACTCTCTTTCTTCTTTTCTTTATTTCTTCTTTTCTTCTGTTCTTCTTCTTCTTCCTTTCTTTCTTCCCAGTTCTTTCTTCTCACCGCCGCCACATTTCTCCACTTCGTTTTAATTTTTCTATTCATTTTAACTTTCGCCTTCATCCTTTCATTTTCTTCAGTCGATAGATATGGCGGCCATCACTTCTATTGTGCCACATACGACTAAGATCCGTCTAGATCTGTTCATCCACAACCTTCTGTCCTTCTCCGACGAGATTCAGCCACCATCGACGCAGATCCGGCCAAGACATGTATTTTTTAGCTAAAACCCGGTTCTACGACTGGGTTCCGGGTTTTCCGGTTCTTACCGGTCGAACCGGGATTTTGATAGTTGACCCGGTTTTTTGGCGTTTTTGGGTTTTTAGATCTAACCGGACCGGACATGGCAGCGGTTCGCGGTTGAACCGGTCGAACCGGCCGGTCCGGTCCGGTTTTCAAAACATTGGTTTATTAGATTGCAAAAGCAAACAATTTGCATGCACCATAGTAAATGTAACAAATACTAACATGCACCACCACGTTTTAATTATTTCAAAAGTTGACTTTGGTAAACCATGTAGACTTGGTCAATTATGCCCGTTAGTCAATATAGAATAAATAGACCGACCATTCCGCAAGAGATTACCTAACCGTTGGATCGAGCATTGAGTTTGTATCAATTGACTAAAGTTCGAAACCCTTGTCAACGGTTGCTGGATCGAGCTTGTAACATATGGTTAATCTAGTGTAGTTTACGCCTCTTGTATAATTTAGAAACTATTATTCGAGCATATAAATTTATCTAGGGGGCAACTATTTTGAATACTAATTTTTGCTTAGTTGAATACTACCTAGTTGACAACCACAATTGAGTACATATTTTTAAGTTTTTTCTTACTTTAATACCAAAATAAAAATAAAAGTACAAAAATACCCTTTCATACAAAATACTAATTACATCAATTTTTCTTTGAAATTACCTATTTGAAAACCAAATAAAAAAAAAGAAAAAAAAAATCAAACACAAAAAACCCCTTCCGTCCACCTCCCTCCGTCCACGCCGCCCGACGCCGCCGCCGCCGCTCCAACCATCGCCGCCGCCGGACGCCGACGCCAAACACCGCCGAACGTCGCCCACGCCGCCCAACGTCGCCCGAAGCCGCCGCCGTCGTCGTCTTCGAATAGTAGTAAGTTATAGTTGTTTCGATTTTTTTTTTCTTTAATATTTATTTAAGATTTGAATGTTTGATATGGGTAATTAGGATTTGGTTGGTTTAGGTTAGAATGATCGTTAATTAGTAATGGGTGCATCTGATTTCAGTCGATTTGAGCATTGATTTGAGATTCGTGGGTCGGTTCTTGGTTCACCATTTTCGACCTGTACATGTCGATTTTCGATGAATTTTCGACAGGTTGATGTCGAAAATTCATCCAAAATCGACATGTAGATGTCGAAAATGGTGAAAGGGTTGAGTTTGGATTTTGTAATTTTCGACAGTTAACTGTCGAAAATGGGTTGCATTTTCGACAGCAACCTGTCGAAAATTCAACCAATTTTCGACAGTTAACTGTCGAAAATTCAAACAAATTTCGACAGGTTGCTGTCGAATTTGAACTGTGATATTTTTTTTTTTTTTTTTATTTTTTTTTTCCTATTTTTATATGCTTGTGTTTATATTATGCATATTAATTTATATTTGGGTGTTATTTTGCAATGGAAGAACCACGTCAACCTCGTATACCTCCGACTGTCTCGAACCGTAAAAAGAGGAAAAAATTATCCGATAAAGGCAAGGGCATACCAGTCACGACCAAGAAAAAGACCACGACCAAGAAGAAGTCTGGAGAGGGTTCTTCGTCAACGAATCCGGTGCCGGCTCTACATTCGACTGTACAAGTTGGTGATTCGAGCAATGAACCGGTCCTAGGTCCCGAGATACCGGAATTGTACACAAAATTTGATAAGCACATTGCTTATCATATTGTGAACGGAGGGCCAGATCGTTCGGAGCGCGGCTCAGAATTTCGAATACGAAATCACACAACAACTTTGAAAGGTTGGGAGCCGGCGCCGTTTATTAAAGAGGTAGTACAAAGATGTGGTTTAATGTCAGTTGTACAGGCATCGTACAACACTGTGGACGGCCATCTACTTAGAGCCTTCGTAGAGAGATGGCAGCCAGCTACCAACACATTTCACTTACCTGTTGGAGAGATGACCATCACACTTGACGATGTGAGTACGTTGGTCGGTTTGCCAGTTGTTGGGCGTACCGTATCTTGCGAGCGTTTGGTCCGTGATTCCAAAACCATTCCCAGTACTTTGATGTTCGAGTTGCTAGGTGAGTACCCGGACGATGTAAACAAGAAGAAAGCGGTCAAGTTGGAATGGTTGAAGGCTAAATTTAGCAAAGTGACCATGAGAGATAGTGCGGAGAAGAGGACATACGCCATTCGGGCGTATTTGTTATTTTTGCTCGGGTGTACTATATTGTGCGACAAGACAGGCAACATGGTAAGCGTTGAGTACCTAAATCTTGTATCTGATTTGGATCGGATCGGCGAGTATGCTTGGGGCACTGCATGTCTTTGCCGGTTGTACGATGAGCTTTCCTCAGCCTCACAAAAATCAACGAACTCGATGGCTGGCTGGCTGACGCTCTTTCAGTCATGGATTTACGAGCACTTTCCTTATTTGGGGGGTGGCACATTGAAGACGGAATTCGAGGGGCCATTAGCGAGCCGATGGGAGCCTCAGTCAAAGACTACTTCAACGCCTGAACGAGCGTCGTACCTGCGATCTCGATTAGATGATTTGATCCCCGATCAGGTAACATACCACTTTAATAATTTGTTATTACTACTTAAGTAGGTTTTTACATCTAATTATTTATTTATTTTAATAGGTTATATGGTCACCGTATACGGCTATTCGTGATCGTTTCCCGATGCCAGATTCTGCTTGGTTTAGTGGGATGATATGTTGCATGGACCACTTCGAGGCATATCATCCGGACAGAGTGTTGAGGCAGTTCAACCGGGTGCAAATCATTCCAGGTCGTGCATACATGTCAAAAGATATGTACAAAGCTCTAGCTAGCAAAGGTCGACCGGTCCAGAACTCAATTTTCGTTGCGTACGGCGAACGATTCTCTGATCGGTGGGAGGAGTATTGTCTGGACGAGGAGTCGAGGTCCGTTGAAATTGAACTCGGGGAGGCGGACACTTCGCCGGACTACATGAATTGGTTCCGACCCAGATGCATGTTACAACTGAGTAGGCATGGAGCCCATCCACCTCGACCCCAGGCGGATCGACCTCGACCCCATGAAGCTCGTCCAGAGGGTGGTACCGATAAGGAGGTCCAACTTTCACAAATTTTGGAGTTGGTAAAGGGTACACTTAGCGAGGTGCGGGGACTTGCGCCATCCGACGCTCATACGGTCATGTGGGGGACCCTAAATGATATTGTCAGATTGATCGAGCCGGATGCCCCACTTCCACCTCCTTCGAGGTCGTCGGATGCCCCACCACCACCTCCAGGTAGCTCGATAGGGCCACTTCCACCGCCATCGAGCTCGTCCGATGCCCCACAGGCGGGTGTGAAACGCGTGTTTAGTAGGAAGAAAAAAACACAGGATTAGTCTTGTATTTTTTTAGATGGATGTTGTTTGATGGTATTTTTTTGCATCGAGATCGGCACATTCAAAGAGCTTCTGGTATTCCGATAATTCTTCGTCGATGGTTGGTAGGATGACTTGGCCTGTGGTCGCGACGGGCTCCATACTCATGTGTTTCCAATACGAGCCTATTAACTCAAGTGGGATAGGACATTTGTTCACAACAACATACTCATGAAGTTCATGGCGACATGGTAGACTGTGGGTTGTTCGGATGGCGCAACTACAACCCATAACGCCCATTCAAAATTTTCCGTCTTTTCGTGTTCCAAGTAAGCAAAGGCAATTGAGAACGTCTTGTTGGTACAAGTAAAACCCACAATCTCAAGAAATGGGAGTCCGTAACGATTGGTCTTGTACGTGCAATCGATGACGAATACGTACGGATACGACTGTGCCAACTTAATGCATTTCGGGTGGATCCAAAACAAGTCGGTAATCGCATTCAACTCGTTCGATCTATGGTACGAGAGGTATTCATCTTCTTTCAACTTGACAAACAATGATTGCAATTGAGATCTCCCATCCAATTCACTGAAATTTAACTTAGAGATAGTATTGTAAACTGTCTTCATACCAGTTACATTAGACGGGTCCTTTTGCTTCAACGCTCTTAGAATTGCCCTTGGTTTCACCATTGCTTTCTTCATAGTGTGAACAAAGGAAACATCCTCCTTTGATAATCTTCCGGCATAAGAGTGTCCGTGCAAGTTTTCGAATAAGTTGTGGTTGTGAATACCACAACTAACATCCAATTTCCACTCAGCCTTTTCATCATCCTTGTGTTCCCTTGTCCCCTTCAATTTAAACGGACAATTGCATTTCTTTGAACCGGTGCTCCTTTTTCCCGGTCTTTGATCATCTTCACCTGGTACCTTCTTGCCAACATAATGGCCCCCACGCTCACAACGAACAATCACATACGGTGTCCTACGTCCTCTATCCCCGTCACTCGAACCCCCAATCATTAACACCATTCCAATTCTTTTACATACTTCACGAACCCATGCCATTAAAGCTTCTTTTGTTGGGAATTTTTCTGACGTGGTAAATGAATGGGTGCAATCGATCTACACAAAAGTGTCGAAAATATAAGACAACTAAATTTGCAACATATACAAATTTTGACACCTAAATGTCGAAAATGACCCATATTTTCGACACTTAAGTGTCGAAAATATAGGTCACTTTCGACACCTAAGTGTCAAATTATGATGCAATTTTCGACACTAAGTGTCGAAAATTGCATCATAATTCGACACTTAGGCGTCGAAATCGAAGGGTGTTTTCGACACATACATGTCGAAAATAAGGGTATTTTCGACCTGTATGTGTCGAAAATACATGGCGAGTTGTAAAAAAAAAAAAATTTCAAAATCGATGTTTTAGCTCAAAAAATACATAAATACATACCTGAATGGGTTCTCCTTGCTCGTAAACTACCATTCTATTGTCATTTGAGGCCATTTTGCAAGTTGTGTAAGGTTTTGATTTCTTTTGTTTTGGGGTTTTTTAGGAGGGTTTTTGGGGAGGGAGAAGAAGGAGGTGGAGGAGGTGAGGGGTTTGGGAGTGAGGAGGGAAATGTTTTTTTAGGTTTTTGATTATTTGGTTTTTAAGAAAGAAAAATAGTATTTGTAATATTTTTTGGTTTTAATTTTCATTAAGGGTATTAAAGTAATTTACAATTAATTATTTAATTTCTATTTTTTTGGTATTCAACTAAGCAAATTTTAGTATTCAAAATAGTTGTCCCCATTTATCTAGGCTTGATATGAAATTCTTTTATTAAAAATAAAAAAAATGAAAAAATAGGCCCACTAAATACAAATGGATACAAATTCATGTCCTTAAAACTACATCCTGACTATTTAAAATTCACGTATTTAATAACTTTGTCTATAATAATATATTATTCGACATAAATAATAAAATGTAGTTGGACCAATAAAGAAATACCATAACGATCCGGGTTTGATTGCCCTCTATAGTCCATTAAGGAAAAAGCCCACGATAAGTTCATAATAACAGGCTCAAGATCCATGACGCGACATGTCGATCCTACTCGCCCAATAACCCTTTCCACATGGGATGAACGGTTGATAGATGGGATTACTGTTGCTGCTTCCTGCAGCGACAAAGACATGAAGACCACCCACGTCGGATCCAAGAGCAGGGCGACCCCACCGAGAAGGTAGATATAAATAGCAACATTGAGGTGAGGACATCGTTTTTACACTTGTTTTTGCCCTCTCCATTGGTATACCGACTAACTTGATAGTCAGAGTGTTAATGTCAGGAGACTCCTCCCGATACTCCTTTTTTGCTGGTCCATTGAGCTCGGTCTGAACTTTCCTGGGCTTACTTTCAAAGATCTCATCCATCATCTTCTCATATTTTCTATATCGGCCATTCGGTTCACGTCACATAATTCGTACTCAATTGCATAAATCTTACCCAATTACAACGAGAGCTCACTAAATTCAATAATTTGTTTAAACTATTACAATTGAACCTCTATAAATTAATACAGTCGAAACTAGAGAAATTCTATTAATTCAGCGAATTATTAAATTATCGAGTTAATAATTTAACATATTTTCACCGAGTCATGACCGAGAGAAACTATTATTTAAGTGAGGTTATTAATTTATCGAGGTTCTACACTACATAATGTTTTACAATATTCCCACCAATATATACATATTAACATAAATTATTAAAAAAAAAAAATCTATTTTATATGCATATAGACCTAGTTGTAAGCAGAGGTTGAACAAAGTTGACAATAAAGACCGAAAAAACTGTGAAAATGAGAAATCCATCAATCCTACTAAAACGCGTTTCTTGTTTTGTCTGTACGCATAACACGGAGAGACTGATTAAATTCTTCTACCATCGTCTGAGTTGTTCACTCCATTAAAATTTTCACTCGAATTAATAAAAAAATAAAAAATAAAATAAATAATCAACGCCCGCCCCCATTAAAAGAAGTAGATCAGTTCTTACAAAGCTATAGTGGGTTTTGGATGAAACCTGGTCCTCGTCAAGATCTCATCTTCTTCTTCTTACTTTCTCTGTTCTTGATAAACCATACGCTTTGACCCTTAAATTGAACTGAATACTTTGATTTTCTGCAGAAAACAACACCTGCTGCTGCCTACTTGTGAATTTCTTGATGGGCTCGGCTCCTTTGACTTTTTCTAGGTTTGATTTTCTTACATCTGTTCTTATTTTTTTGTTGTTGTTGTTGCTGGATTATGCTTGAAGGGTTTGGGTCTTTGTTGTTGTGTTGTTGTGTTGTTCTTCTTGTTGTTTCATTGAAGTGTGTGCCGCCCTCATTTGAGATAATTCAGGATCTGTAATTGAACTGATAATTCAATTGATTGGTTGTTTTGTTGTATCTAGTTGTAATTGATGATGAGTTTGGTTTGTTTGCTTGATTAGTGTAATTCTGGATATACTGCTTACTTGCTATGTGAAGTATACAAAGTTTCTCACCCTGTTTCGATTTTGTATCGTTAGGTAGATCTCGATTTCTTCGCTGGTGAAATCGAGGGAATTCGATTTCGATTGATTTTGTTTCCGTAAGAGAGAGAGATAGAGAGTGATGGGGAATACTTGTGTGGGACCCGGCATTACGAAAAACGGAATATTCCAATCGGTTTCTGCAGCTTGGTGGCGAACCCCTATGCCAGATTCCTCCGTAAATGGAGACGGCCACAAGAGCAACGAGAATCCCGACGAATCAGAGCCCGCTGCATCGTCAGTCCAAAACACACCACCGGAGCAAGTCACGATCCCCAAACCCGAACCGAAGCAAGAGCACCAAACACCAAAAGCCAAAAAACCCATGAAGAGAAACACCAGCGCAGGCCTCCGGACCGACTCCGTCCTCCAACGGAAAACGGGGAATCTAAAAGAGACCTTCACCCTCGGCAAAAAACTAGGACAAGGGCAATTCGGTACGACTTTTCTATGCGTGGAGAAGTCAACGGGCTTACAGTACGCGTGCAAGTCGATAGCCAAGAGGAAGCTGCTGACGGACGAAGATGTCGAGGATGTGAGAAGGGAGATTCAGATAATGCACCATCTGGCGGGCCACCCTAACGTGATATCGATTAAAGGTGCGTACGAGGATGCGGTGGCGGTTCATGTTGTGATGGAGCTGTGTGCTGGCGGCGAGCTTTTCGACAGGATTATACAGAAGGGGCATTACACCGAGAGGAAGGCGGCTGAGCTGACTAGGACTATCGTCGGTGTGGTGGAGGCTTGCCACTCGTTGAGCGTTATGCACCGCGATCTTAAGCCGGAGAATTTCCTCTTTGTTGACCAGAAGGAGGAGTCGCTTCTCAAGACGATTGACTTTGGGTTGTCTATGTTCTTCAAGCCAGGTATGGGTGACAATGTCGTTTTCTTGATTCTTTGCTCTGCGGAAGTTTGTAGAAAGTCCCGTAGGGTCGAATAAGGGCTCGTTTTCGTTGATAATATTAGGTGTGATGAATTTTAAATAATTGGAGTGCATTGGATGTTTCGTTATTGGTAAAATGGCTCTAATCTTCGCTAATTGGGTGATTATTTATCGATTTTCGGGTGAAAACTTATTCCAAATTGTTTAATTTAGTCGTTTACTATGACATGATCATTAGATTCTATCGTGCATCGAGATTTTCCGCACATAACTAACTAGCTTCAAGATAGTAGCTTTTAAACAAAATAGCATACATTTTTCGGCTCAAAGAATGTACACAAATTCGACTAACTGTGTTGAATACAAGTAAATCCAATTTTTTTATTTTTTTCGTGATTAATTGTGAATATCATCTAACTAGACACGTTTTGTCTATTTTCAGGGGAAAGATTTAACGACGTGGTGGGCAGTCCATACTACGTTGCACCAGAAGTTCTTCGTAAACGCTACGGTCCCGAAGCTGATGTGTGGAGTGCCGGGGTGATAGTCTACATTTTGCTTAGTGGGGTTCCTCCATTTTGGGCTGGTGAGAATTCGGAAACACTTAAAATCAATTAATAATTTTAATATATATTTTTCTTATTATTATTTTTTTTTTGCACGATGACAGAAAGTGAGCAAGGAATATTTGAGCAAGTCTTGCATGGTGATCTTGACTTCTCGTCGGACCCTTGGCCGAGTGTATCTGACAGTGCAAAAGATTTGGTGCGGAAAATGCTCGTTAGGGACCCCAAAAGACGTATAACCGCACACGAAGTACTGTGTAAGTATTTCTCAATTGTAAAATAAATATATTAATTTTTCGATCGTCGCACGGTAGAGTATGGAAATATCTCAATATTGGTTGAATTTTTGTGCAGGCCACCCTTGGGTTCAAGTTGACGGTGAGGCGCCTGATAGGCCTCTCGATTCTGCAGTTTTGAGCCGTATGAAGCATTTTTCTGCAATGAATAGACTCAAGAAAATGGCTCTTAGAGTAAGTCCCGAAATTTTATATCTGTTTTTTATCATAAGTGAACAAAAAATGGATTTTCCGAGTTCCGTCGATCCCGACCAGAAATTTTCCAATTCTGGAACAAGTTTTTTAATTCCAATTTCTGCTTTTTCTAAAACGGATTTGGAATTGGTTTTTCACTTCCGAAAAAAAAAATGGAGTTTTCTCTATCCAAAAGTGTCAATTATGATCCTATCCGGCCGATTTCTACCCCTAATTTTCACACACACACACATGCACAGTATCAAAATCAAACTTGAAAAAAAACTTTCCGATTTTATGTTTGACGGAAAATACCTTTATTGTCTGCAGGTAATTGCGGATACCCTATCTGAAGACGAAATCGCTGGATTAAAAGAAATGTTCAAAATGATCGATGCAGATAACAGCGGCCAAATTACCTTCGAAGAGCTCAAAGCCGGCCTCAAAAGAGTCGGCGCAAATCTCAACGAGTCCGAAATTCACGACCTAATGCAAGCGGTAATAATTATCCATCCGAATAAAACAATAATCCCATTTTGAAACAAAAAAAATTACATTTTAAGACGAAACTCTGTTTTCCGAACTACTACAGGCTGATGTGGATAATAGCGGAACGATCGATTACGGAGAGTTTATAGCTGCAACGTTGCATCTCAATAAAATCGAGAGGGAGGATCATTTATTTGCTGCGTTCTCGTATTTCGATAAAGACGGGAGTGGCTACATCACGCCCGACGAGCTTCAAAAGGCGTGCTTGGAATTCGGATTTGACGATTCTCGACTTGAAGAAATGATTCGAGAAGTAGACCAAGACAATGTGAGTTCTTGCTTTTGCTTATTTATTTATTTCCGTATTTTTGCATGGATCAAATAAGGCCTCGTTTAGTTGCCACGTCGGTGGGATTAGTGAAAATAAGATATTAGAAACCAAACGAGGCCTAGTAAGAGCAGAACTTTAGAAAAGTTACTCGACTAATTGATTACACATTCTTTTGCAGGATGGACGAATTGATTACAACGAGTTTGTGATGATGATGCAGAAGGGAAACCCGATTGCTGCAGGCGGTAAACGGGGTTTGGAGAACAGCTTCAGCTTAAATTTTAGAGAGGCTTTAAAAGTGACATAGGGGCTTTCAAAAACAGACTTTCTTTTCCCTTCATTAATTTTTTTTTTTTTTTTCCATTTTTGGATGAGAAAATTATATGTTGTATTGCTATTTTGCCCTGCTTAGGGTTTATCTTTTTGTTGTATACTGTATGAAAGATGATACAAAATCAAATTTTCTCACTTTGTGCAACTGTAAGTGATAGTTCTTGGTGCTTTTCAAGTGAATTTCACTGAGCTCAAATTGTTTATTTAATATAAAATTCATGTCATTTCAGTATACATTTATGTTAGCACGGACACAGAAACACTGATATATAGAAACGGGGAAACGGACACAGGAAACGACATATTCCAAAAATGGGGATACAGGAGTTTGTTGGGAAACGTTTAAATATTAAAATTATAGGGGTGTATTTATAAATATGCTATATGAACATATATAAGTTTTTATTTATATATAATTTTTTTTATATATATTTTCATGCAAACATATTTTAAATAAGTGTTACTATCAATTTGCAATTGATCATTAAATCGTGTAAACAATTGGGAAAGAACAAAAATATTTGAAAACTTATTATTCAAACATGTTTATAATTTTTTAAAAATTACAAAACGGCCCGTAATATGTCCGATTTGTATTCTCGAGTGTGGGACACGATAGGTGTCCTCGATTATCCGACACGAAACATGAAAACATTAAAAAATTGAAGTTTCCGTACTACCTAGTTATACATATACATAAAATATATTTAAATGCAATATATTAACATCGATATTCCAATTATATTTTTGGATAAAATTGGAGTTTTCATAAACTTTAAAATTGAATCGGAAATTAGAACTTTTTATGGTAATATTATGCTTTAAATTATAATCCAAAAACTTTTGAAAAAGTAGAAAATCAGAAAATAGGAATGTAAAAAGTTATCATTGAATCGAACTTTTTTTAAAATGAAGATCGGCGATATTCCAAAATTATATTCCAATTTATGGTCCATAATATACCTTTTTTTTTTTTTTTTTTTTTTTGATAGGATACCTTTTTATTTATTTGATAAAATAGTTAATAATATACATGGCATGTAAAAGCCTCACAATTTCGAGGAAAAAAGAGAGAGATATATATATATATATATATATATATAATTATTTCTATTAATTAATAGATATTCTGTAGTATCATTCGTTCCCACAATAAGCGAGCATCGCTTTCTCTGTCCCCTGACCCAAAAATAAAAACCCTAATTCGCCTTCTGTCACAACCTCGACCTTTCGGAATTGGACAAATGTCGACGGCGGAAGACGGCGGAGCCACGGCCAATGGCGCCTACTCTTCGTATAGTGGTGGAGGAGCGGGAGGGAAGTTCCGGAAGAAGCCCTTCCGCAAACAAGCGACGACGCCGTACGATCGCCCTACTACCGTTCTTCGCGGAAGCAGCATCAACAACAACAATAGCAGCAGCAGCAGCAGCAGCAGCAGCTGGTTGAAGAAGTTAGTGGTAGAACCCGCCTCCAAGCTCATATCCTATGGGGCGGACCGATTTTTCGGCTCTGTCTTTCGCGCACGCCTCCCTCCGCTACCGCCGCCTCAGCCACGAGGTTATATGTTGTTTTTTGATTTAATTTTTGGTTGTTATTTATGTAATTTCGATTAGTAAGTGTTTGTCGGGTGGTTGCATATTAATGGGTTATTTATTTAGGTATTTATTGATATAAACGGTCCTTTTCAAAATATTTGATTTCTGAATTGGGTTTCGGTTTGCCCTGGGTAGTTGATCTATAAAATAGTATGTTTCAGAAAGAAAACACATTTGTTTTTTTTTTCCTTGACGAATCTGGCATTGATTGGCCGCCATTTTTAAGATCTTTCAGTCTACTTCGGATAGTTGTTGAATCGGACAGGAATTTCATGAAAAACGGGTTTATTTCTTTGATAATTTTCATATATTTGTTGATATACAGGTTATGACATGTTCCGCAATCTACCGTTTTATTGGGACTATACATATCTTGTGCGTTGATAACAGGGTTCTTTTGGTTGTTTTGACTATACATTCATAGTGACTTTACATAATTGATACATGCAATCTGAAATGTCATTATGTCAAAGCGTAACCCTAAATTTGGCATTTTTAAGAAACGGCTTTTTTATTTATATGTAAAGACTAAATTGCAATTTTTTATTGGCTATTATGTCAATAATTAATATTTACTGTGTACTAGATGTTAATATGTTTTAATTCTTAAGCTATACCTAGACTTGTATTTATAGGAATGTATGTTTTTAATCTTGGTGGTTGTTGGTCTTTTAGTCTATGTACATGTATTTTCTGTTGTAGTAGCATTTGTTAGTCTTAGCAAACTGGATGCTTCTAGGCAGACTATTTCGTAGTGGCCTGGTGCTGCAATGTACTTATTCTCAGGGGCACTTAATGACATGTGCTTTCTGATGTAAACAGAGGTAGACAATGTGAGCGATGCGGCTCATGGGGCAGATCTTAACAGGGTTCAAGGGGCCGATCTTAACAGGGTTCAAGGGGTAGATCTTAACAGGATTCAAGGGGCAGATCTTAACGTAAGTTCAATTATACACATTTCTTTGCTTTTCAGATTATTTACCCCCAGGTTTTTACATCTTTATGAATAAGTGGATTATTTACCCCCAGATTTTTACATCTTTATTCGTTTGTTTAAAATTTTAACCTATTGAGGATTGATAGTAGTGTAGAAGGAAAATGTCATCTTTTTCCTGGTTTTGGGAACTGTTTGGACAATGTCAATTGAAGGTATTGGAAGTCTGATAGTAATGGTATTATATTAATACAGATAAATGTTCCACTTTAGCAAGTGGTGACTGCAACTGTCTGTGAGTGTATAAACTTGTTGAACATGCACCTAGAATTATGTTGCTCTCCCAGCAGTTTTTTCTTTTCATTTTCTTTTTGCTGCTGTCGTCATAATTGTTGAGAATTTGAGCCATATCACGACATTTTTTGGCTCAGAAAGGTACTGCACAATGTTGTCTCACCATCCCATGGAATTTTTAAGGCACTTTATAGATTTTGACACCAAGCACTTCTATGCGAGTTTCTAATAGCATAATCTTGCTTTCATTCATGAGAATACATGTTAACATTTTTGATGTTCTAACGGTTGAAGGGTCAAGATGGTGCACAAGAACCCGCAGGTGGTGATTGCAGCCAACCGTTAAATAATTCTAGCAGCAATACTGTTTTTGAGCTTGAGCATCTGCTGAAGCAGAAGACGTTCACCAGGTAAAGGTTTTAAAATCATCTTGAGAGGGATGTCCACGTCTCCTTCCGTAGCGTATGACTTGATTGATTTGATTTATCCAGGAGCTTTATGTTTTACTTTAGTTCAGTGATAACTCATAAGTTGTCATGGTACAATCTGCCAAGCTACTTATTGCAAGATTGTATATTCCTGTTTCTGTTGCATGTAGCCATAATCATGTTATGGTTTGTTGTTGCACATATGTTTTGTTTACCAATGTGTTCCATCTTTTGCATGGATGTGCATTATTTATCCCTATCTTTTTCCCCATCAATTTACCTTACCCCACTGCTTTCAAAATTTTGTTCACTCTTTTTGCATTCATTGATGCCGTATTGTTTGTGCCCTATCATATGTATTAAGAAGTTTGACTTAAAAATTCAACTTAGTGGCCATTCGGTGTATTAGTATGAAACTTTCTTATTTTTTGATGCCAAATATTTGCAGGTGTCTGACATGTAATTTCTTTCTCCAAAATCTGACATGTAATATTGTTTGTGCCCTATCATGGAATAACTTCTCCTTTTTGCAGAATTATAATTTAATTTTATAGAATGAATTCCCGATGTGTGCGGTAATCTAAGGCTAGGTGTCTAGGTTAATCAAATATTGCATACAGCAAGTGCTCAAATTATATTTTGCTTCTTCCTAATTTTGGTTAGCATTTCTTTTGAGTTGATTTATCGGAAGAGCTTCTGGTGTTCAGGTCTGAAATTCTCCATCTGACTGAGTTACTGCAATCAAGAGCTGTTGAAAGGCCTGATGGGGATTCCAGCCTAAAAAATGAAGAGGCTGCTTCAGATTTTGGAAGGCATCAACAATTTACAAGTGTTCTTTTGGAAGAAAACAGCAACGGGGGGATTAGATCCTCTGCTGTCATGTCAACTCCTATTCCCAAATCGAAAGTAAGACAAACCATTTGTTGCATGTGCTTGAAAGCACACATTCTCTCTCTTTTTATTGTGGATTTTGGCAATCATTATCGTGTGGTGTCTTAACATTTTCAAGAGAGAATGGGTTTGACATTGCTGATGAAAATTTCTCCAGGCCATTGAGTATGGTGTTGATTCACCAGCTGAACTTGCAAAATCATATATGGGAAGCATGCCTTCAAAAGTCTCACCATCAGTGCTAGGGATGCGCGGTCAAGTTGCTAGAAAAGATATGCGTGGTGATATACCATTTTTCTCGAAGTCACCTACCACATCACTCTCTAAGAAAACTTCTACTCCCCTGGCTGCTCCAGAAAATGGATTTTTAACCCCACGAGCTCGAGGGAGATCGGCTATTTACAGCATGGCTCGCACCCCATATTCCAGAGTTAATCCAGCTTCAAATCACAAGGTTCATTCAATCTACCTATCTATATGTATATAGTAGATGATTTTCTTTCCTCGATTTGTTGTTATTTCATGTATTCAATTACAGGGAAGTGGAATCAACAGTAATGGTTATGCTAGACTGTCAATGTCCTCATCATCGGTTGATCTAGTGGAGAATGATGAAAAGTTCGAGTCCCAGCAAATGGTATAATATTTTGGAGTTATAAAAAATATATTCTTACTTCGAGTACATTTTATCTTCAGCTGTTTTTATATTTCACTATTATGCATTTCAGACCTTAAAGCGCAGGAGTTCAGTCTTAGATGAAGAAGTCGGCTCTGTTGGTCCCATGCGGAGAATCAGACAGAAGCCTAATCTCTTAGCTCCTAGAATTCATCATACTGCTCATGGAGTGGGAATTGGTTCTCATGCAAAGCAGAAGCTTGTTGAAGAAAATGAGAATGAAAATGTCTCGAGAACCAGTTATGCTCATGTTCCTTCCCAGTCCAGTGCGGTAGCTTCCAGAATATTGGAACACCTTGAAAAGTTGACCCCGAAGGAAAAAGCCTCAGAGTCCAAAATAGTTGCTGTGCGGGAAAAATCACCTTTGAAATTGGCATCTACTATGCTTTCTGGACAGACTCTTAGGAATATGGAGAATGTGGGTTCGTCTAAGTTGCAGCTGGATGTTCAGGATGATCATAAGCTGGGGGACAAGACTAATGCCAATTTAGTTGATTCTCGCGATTCTTCTTCCCGAAAGCAAGGAAATGTAGAAGAAAATGGGCATAGAGAGTTTGTTGTTCCTTCTGACATGTGGAACCCTGCAATGAACAACGATTCTTCCCCGTCCCTGAAAGCTTCGAGGCCCATTATGTCTACTGATTCTGTTTTAACAAATGGTACATCTCAACCTCCTCAAAAGAAGAAATCTTTTAGGATGACTGCACAAGAGGTAAATTGTTCTTTTTTCTTTTTTATTTATGTGCTCTATGATTTTTAAATATTTCAAGTGCTTAAAAGCTCAAAATAGGGTTAGTTCATTTTATTCAACAAATATTGCGTAAATTCTCAAAATAGGGTTCCTTTGAGCAGGATGATGATGTGCACAGTAACTGGCTTGCATCTAGACCTTCCTATGAAGAGAAAAAATCAATGGAATCCCCTCCCAAGGACAGCAAGTCTGCACCTTCTGAAGAACCCAAAGTGGTGAAAATCACAACCCAGTCAGAAGATAAGTCACCTTCGAGCCTTACCTCAAGTAAAACTGAACTTAGTCGTGGTGCGGTCACATTTGGAGAAGGAAGTAGTTTCAGTGCATTCTCAGCATTAGAAGAAACTAGGGCTGCTTCCAAGTCAGCAGGTTTTTCTTTACCAGCTGCTCCATCTGACAGACCTAAGGAAACAAATGATTCCCCTCCCTTATTCAGCTTTAGCTCCAAAGTTGTTGATAAGTTACCTTCAATGCCGTTTGAATCTGTTAAAACTCCAGAAGCTAAACTGGACAACTCCAGCAGGTTAGTCACTGTAAGCTATGCTTAGCTAGGAAATGTTTAGTACCTGCTGTTAAAACTGCTAGGATTTTGAACGTTCTTTTTTTTTTTTTCAGGAAATATTGTTCATTTTGTTTCTGCCCTGTTTGTTTTCTGTTATGATCTTTATAAGCAAATTTCTTGAGTTCTCTGACTGCTATTGAGAACCCAAACCATCACTCTTTGTACATTTTGACTTGCTAATGAATGCCACACAAATGAGAAGTAAATCCTCGAGTTGTTGAGTTTTAACTGCACTAGAATCAGATTTCTTGGGTTATGATGCAGTTAGATATATTAGACTAACATAAATAAGATTTTCAATCATAAAATTCTCAGTTAATAACTCTGAACTAGTGTCTTTGTTTTCGACTCAATTATTGTGTTTCTCAAACTTCCAATTTGACATATTTAACTGCATGCGCAGCTTGGTTAATGTTAACGCATCGACTGTCTCTCAAACGGAAGTTCTTGCGTCGGACAAAGGTTTTCATGTGAACCCTTCGAAGGCAGGGGATATAAATGGAAAATCTGATTTTGCTCCTTCCGCAGCATCAAATGGTCCGCTTGTTTCGAATCCTCCTCCAGTGTCAACTACTGCAGCTTCTCACAATGATGTGTCAAATTTTGTCCCAGCTGTAGCCAGCACCACTTCAGCCATCTCCAGTGGCAGCATTTTTGGATTTTCTGCAAAGCCTACTGATCTAAGTGGTCCTGTTTTCAAATTTGGTGCGTCTGTGGATTTGCCAAATGCAGCTTCACTAGCATCAACAGCTAATGTTACCGACGTAGTAGATCCCAATACCAAACCTAAAATAGACGCTGGTTATGGCAGCTCAAGCAGCCCACATACCAATCTCGCACCATTTGGAGCAGCTAGCTCTGGAAGTAGCACGTTTGTATTTGGTTCTTCGTCAATCTTTGCAAATACCAGTAAATCTCCGGTGTCTGGTGCTGAAACTGCCTCGCAAGGTGCCTCTGTTCAGTTGGGTTCTTCTGCACCTGCACCGTTACCATCATTCAGTATGAGTAGCAGCACTCCTTTTGGTTCCTCGCTGTCCAATTCTCAGGTTTCCAATCCGAACGGTATTTTCGGTTTCAGTTCTGCTCCCACATCGGATACCAGCAAACTCGTCCCTGCTAGTGGGCCTTCACCGAGTTTATTTAAATTTGGTGCGAGTTCTACTCCTGCTTCAGAAGGAACTGCACCTAGCCTCAGCAGTGGTGCTACTCCTGGTATGTTTGGTTTTGGTTTCGGTTCATCTTCAGCCAATGCAGTCGATTCAAGCAGTGGTGCAGCTACTCCCCAGACAGTAACCAATACTACTAGCTCATACAGTAACGGCACTTCCGGTATATTTAATTTTGGCGCGAGTTCTTCAGCTCCCTCCACAATTAGCTCCAATAGTACTCCGAATTTCTTCGGCTCCAGTTGGCAAAATCCAAATCCAGCTACTTTCGGCTCGACATTTGCTTCTTCATCCCCAGCCACTGGGTTTTCGTTTAATGCATCATCCACGCCCTCCGCTTCTACAAATCCCGTTTTTTCATTCACAACGGCCTCCGCTTCAGTCTTATCTTCACCATCTCAGAATTTATTCGGTAATGCTCCAAGCACTGCTTTTGCAGCAGTCTCTCCAGGGAGCAATGACCGTATGAGTGCCGAAGACAGTATGGCTGAGGATCCTGTGCAGCAATCTGCACCCTCCGTTTCTGTATTTGGTCAACCGTCTCTCTCACCTTCCCCTCCGGGCTTCACATTCGGGTCAACCGTTGCATCCCAAGGCAACCCTTTCCCGTTCGGTGGTCAACAAAATCTGCAGAACCCGTCTCCTTTTCAGACATCGGGCAGTGCAGAATTCAATGCAGGTGGCGGCTTCTCATTGGGCAGTGGAGGCGTCGATAAGTCGGGTCGGAAGATATTGAGAATCGGCAGGAGCAAGAACAGGAAGAAGTGAAGATAATTGGAATTGTTATTGGCTTGAAGATAAGAGGCCAAGCCAGCAAGCTTCTATGTGCTTTGTATTGCTATTGAAATTTTTTGTTCTATTTAGCAAAATTTTGAAAGGCGAAATAGTAGAGTCTCGATTTTGAACAGTCTGTGTTGATATGAAAAAGAACCCCGATTGGTGTTGTACGACTAGTTGTAAACCTGTGATTCGGCTTGTTTGTGTAGTGTGTGTAACATACGAGAGAAGTTAATAATTTCTTGAAATGCGTCTGTCGAATTTCATGCGAAGATCATTTGGAACAAAGGAAGATTACTGCATCACTTATGTGAAGTGAACAATTTATCTCTGCGAGCTTGTAGTAGTGGACTCCAATTTGAAATTAGTATTCACTGAATATCATAAAATATACGCAAGGCCTATTAATTGACAAAAATATAAAAATCTCTATAATTTATAGTATTTCAAACATACGACATCATGGTACCATATTGGGCCAGTTTGGCTAAGCCTATTTTAAATAGCTGATAAAAAATAAACTGTTACCTCAAATAGTTTATTTAAAAAAAATAAAGGATCTATATTAAAAAAATTGCCAAACACTTTGAAAGAGTTTATAAGTCCTAAAACATTTTTTAGATTATAATCTCTTTTAACATCTTATAAACTTATGGTAATGAAATTCACTAGGGATTTTGATAAATGTCGTTCGTGTTTTAATAATACTATTTCGACTTCAAACGTGATTTTGATTATTTTTAATTCCAAATTTTGCAAAACCCGAAAAATAAAATTTGTAGTATATGTTATTTTTCTAATCCAACTTGAATCACCAAAATTGGATGTCGGACGAGAAAGATATACATGAATCAATGAATACTGCCCACAACTTTGATGTATTGATGTATCTAAAATTCAAAATGTGACTCATTCATGCATAACTTTGTCACACGACATCCAAAGTTGGATTAGAAAGCTAACCCAAAGGACTACAGTTTTCATGTTTCGAAATTTGCCAAAATTAAAATAGAAATATGTCAAAATCAGATTCTAAATCAAAACGACATTAGTAAAATTGAAACCACATTTAATATTTCAGAATTCAGAATTCAGTATTGTGTTTTATGTATTATCTCCTTTTCTCTTCCCCTTAAAACATTTTTTTTGTTTTATTTATTTAACAACACGACGCCGTTTCATTTCATACTACGAGAGTAAAAGCCCGAAAACCTTAAACCTCTGTAGAGCTGCTGCGGAGTGGGAGAAAAAAGCAGCGAAGCGAAGATCGAAGCTATGTGGAGGAAGGCTCTATCGTGCGCCGGTGGCGCACTGCAGCGACAGGCGTGGCGCACGATACCGTACCGGTGTTCGTCGACCGCCTCTGTCACCGTGAACTCCATCATCCTCCGTTCCCTCAAAGACCACTATCTCGAAGTTTCTAAGATGACCCCTCCTCCGGTAACCTATTTCTCTATCCATTTACCATTTTGTTTTATATTAATTACGTTTTTTTACAATAAATTACTTGTATATAGATATCGATTACATGGTAAATTTGCGGAAATCCCCCCTTTTGTTAGGAAATATTGGGAGAGGGTTTATGGGGGTTTTATTCATTTCCTCATTTTCTTCTGCTGCTTATTCGTGCTTAATTTCGATGAATTCATTAGCTAATTTCTTCAGTCTCGTATTGCTGGCAGCAAAAATCGAGAACTTTCGTGTAACACAATACAGTATACTGTTTGGTAATTTTGCTCTATTATCTGTGCTGTGAATTCCTCGCAAGTTTGTCGGGGTTTTTATTATCGGAAGTTAGCATATGTAGTTGTAATTTCTCATCGAAGATAAATAACCATTGCAGTGATTTTTTACTTATGATGGGGTAACCTAATTTGCTTTCATATTTCACAGAAAATCAGCCCTCCTTCTCCGTACACTGTGGTAAAAGGGGCGCTTGATATTGGGGGTCCCGTTTTAAAGGGAACGTTTCGAGATGAGGAGATCAGTATATCGGTAATGAGAATGGTCGACATTGTTCCGGGAGGTTCTGAAGATGACTATGATGAAGACAGCGTCAATCAGTTGTTTGTTCATGTTGATATTTATAAGCCGAATTTGCAAGAATCTCTGCATTTCCTCTGCGGGCTTTACCCGGATGCTTTAGGGATTCATTCGGTTTCGTTGAGGCCGAAATCAGAGTCTTCGGAATCTCTTGATGTTCCGACTAAGTACAATGGCCCCGTTTTTGAGTAAGTGATTTTTTGTCTATATTACGTGGTAAATATGATACGGGTAAGGATTAAGGAAATTGCAATTACAGAGCTTCCGGTTTGATGAATCAACGTTTTAGTGATGTTATCACACATTTTTTGACGTAAACTTGATATGAATCCGGTGTTTTACTACTGCAATTTGTTGGAAAAATATCACGTTTATTTCCTTAAGATCAAAGTTTCATGCTGCGAATAGAAGTAATATACGTGCATATACTAACCATGAAAACGATATAATAATTTTTCAGACGATATATTTTCTTTCACCGTGTGTGTGTGATAATTTGTTCTTGGACAAAACTATGCTTTAGCCTTTCACAGTTTCCTGATTGGTTAAAATTTAAAATGCCGGACTTGCGTTTCTCGTGTTGTACCGTTTTGGAAGAGAGTCACTAATAGAGAATTCTTAATGGTACTCAAAATTGCTACTAATATTGTTCCGAAAAATCTTACCGAGCATAATAATTGATTTTTTTTTCCCGCATTTTAATAACTAGTCCAACAATCCATCTATTTTTTCATCTCGAGTGATGTAATGAAATTTGTTGTATGAACAAAATTGACAGAGACGTCGATGCAAAGGTCCGAGATGCTCTGCACGGATACATTCTAGAGCGTGGGATAAGTGAGGAACTCTTTCCATTCTTACAAGCTTGGCTTTACGTGAAAGACCACAGGAATCTCATGCGTTGGTTCAAAACCGTTGGCTCCTTCGTTAATGCGACTCAGCAAGAAACTCTCGAGGCATAACCGACTTCGAATCGATTATGCGGAGAAAATATATCCGGGTAAGTTAAATCCTTTATTATTTTTTAATTTACAAATAGTAGGAATTGGAGGTATCTTTCTGTATTTTATTTTTAATTGTTTCGAAGAATTTTGAGGTTTCTTAAAAGTTAAAACACTATTATGCATTTATCTAAAATGTCTTTTTTCTTTACCATGATGATTATGGTCATATGGGCTTGGCTCTAATACAAAAGAATTTATCTTTTGACTGCACTGGGGTAAACTTATACTCTCGTATAATAGTTTGCAAAGTATACGAGAGACGTAAACCACATTAGGTTAATTATGTGTCACAAGCTCGACTATGGATGGCCATGGGGCCGGTATGGGGAGGAGGGTTTTGGAAAACTCGCACCCGCCCCGCTAGTAAAATTTCCCACCCATACGCGTTCTGGGTTTGATTTTATTAAACCCGCCGCACCCCACCCCGCCCTGAAGCCGTAAATTTTTTTTTTTAATTTTTTTTTTAATATTTACAACTTATTTAATTAAAATATCTTTAAAAATAATATAAAAAATATATAAAATTAATAAAAAAATATATATAAACGGGTTCAATACGGGGCAGGTAACGGTGCATATGTTCAAGCCCCGTACCCGCTACGGGTGAAATTTTTAAAACCCGTACCTGCCCCATTAGCAAACGGGGCGGGTACCCTGTGGGGAGGGTTAAATTGCCATTCCTAAGCTCGATCTAGCGACTGTTGGCAATGTAATTTGAACCTGAGTCAATTGACACAGACTCACCCGTTAGGCCATCCCCTGATTGAAAACTTTGAATTACAAAATTTTTCTACGTTGCAAACTTTGAATTACAAAATTGTTCTAAGGGTCTACCCTTCCCCCCTTCTTGGCCGGCGGCGGTGCCTAATAAATCTCTCCGTTTCGGAAAAAAAAAAAAAAAGACTTACAAAATTGTTCTACACACACTTGCAATTGTTCCACTTGTGACATTTAAGAAATTGGAATTTTACTAACAACAAATGTTACAATCACTTTTAAAATAATAATAATTATTACATTTAAATACAAAAGTCTTTATCGATCATAATGTCAACTTATAGATAGTGTGGCCCATATACAGAAATAGTGGGAGCAAAATAATGAATAATGAAATTGTCAATTTTATTTAAAGTCAAAAGAAGCCTATTCAATTTCACTCCCTTTTATTGTCTCAATCAAATACTGATTCAACCATAAATCATGAAGGCCTCTAATTTTCTTTTAAATAGACATGACATCAAGCATATGATAATTTAAAGGAAATTAAAAAAATTAATGAAATCTATTGCAAGAGGTAATAAATGAACTCATAGCCAACCCATATGAGTGCACTAGATAAACCTACATTCTCGTATAATAGCTTATTAATCATTCGATTCGAGATATGTAAACCACAATTGACTTACCATGTTTGACAAGCTCGGCTCAGTGACAACTGGCCACTGACAGGGGAATTCGAACTTGGTCGATTGACGCAAGCTCACTTGCTCAAACAGCCAAGTCAAACCACTAGGCCATCAATTGACAGCTCACTTGCTTTCGTAGAATCTGGTTTATTTAAATTGAATATTCAAAAAGTTTGGTTGCATTTTAATTTTTAGGTTATTGGGTGTAGATTCAACATTATGTACCTATTTACCGATTTTTGACAGATACCTAATTAACTTTATTTTTTTTTTTGTCAAAATAAAATTTGATCAAATAAAGACTCCGCCAAAGACTGAGTTTTTCCTCTTCTTCTCTGATTCTGATCGATCGATCGATCGAAAAAGTCAAAAGAAGAAAAGCAGAGGAGAGAAGAAAAAAAAAATGGCGGTGGTGAAGATGATGAAGTGGAGGGGACGGCCATCGAAGAAATTCGAAGCGAAGGTCACTCTTCATCACCTCAGAATCGCTGGAGGAGGGGTCAATTTTCTGGATTGTTCTAGAAGATTCTCGATCGAGATCACGTGGAAAGGCTCGCAGTCGAAGGGGATCATCGGTTTGAGGAAGAAGCGGCGCGTGAGGAGGAATTTCACGATGGAACAGCCGGAGGATTTGGGCGGCGACGACGACGGTGTTGTTGTGTGGGATGAAGAATTCCGCTCTGTTTGCAGTTTCTCTTCTTCTTCTAACCACAAGCACAACGATGCTGCTGCTGCTGCTCTCTTTCTTCCTTGGGATATTTCATTTACACTTTTCCTCAATGTGAGTTTAAATTATATAATTTTATCTTCGCAGTATAATGAGGCCTTAATTGTACGATTGATTTTTTTGGGGAGGAATTTAGGGTTTCTATCTGTGCTGAAAATTTGATGCATCAATTACATGTATGCAAGAAAAATCCCTACATTTCATGCTTTCTCATATGATTACTATTAACAGGGTGGTTTGAATCAAGGGACAAAAAACAACACCGTCCCTGTTATTGCCACTGCATCATTAAACCTAGCAGATTTTGCTTCTGCACCTGAAAAACAGAACACAGAAATTAGCATCCCTCTATCGATATTACCCGGTGGCCTCATCGACGCCAATACAAGTGCTTCCCTCTATGTAAGCACAAATCTCTACACAATTTTTTCCTTGTTTCTTCTCCTTCACCTTTTTTTTGTTTTTGTTTTAATGAATATTCTGTCCATCTATCTTTAATGCAGCTGTCAGTTAGTCTTCTAGAACTAAGAAATCTAGAGGAACCTTCTCACACCATCCTCTCTTTCCCACGATCCCCTTGTTACGGAGAAATACTGTCGTCGAAGAAAGAAGCAACCAAAATCGAAAAGAAGAAAATCCCAACTCGCAAACGGAGCCAAAAAAGGGGGAATATCTTCGAAGGGCTGTCTGCAATCAGAGCTAAAAGGACAAGCCATGAAGAGGAATATTGCAGTGATGGAAACAGCTCTGTCAGGAGTGAGGAGGACATTGATGAAGTAACAGAAGATTCTGGTGTAAAAAAATCCTTTGATTATGGGACATTGGCCTATGCAAACAATGCCGGAGCATCATCAGTTCACCGTTCGAACACGAGCAGCAGTGAGGATGAAGACTGGATTTATTACAGCCATAGTAGAAGTAGTAGTAGTTCTTCGGCTTACAATCCTCCACAAACGGACCAGAATTCTTCAAAACGTGGGATTCTTCTTCCTTGGAGAAAAAGGAAATTAAGCTTTAGATCTCCTAAAGAAGTCAAAGGCGAGCCCTTGCTGAGAAAAGACCACCTAGAAGAAGGTGGAGACGACATCGATTTCGATCGCCGCCACCTCAGCAGTTCCTCAGATGAATCCACCACCACTTCAACAGTACGCTTCTTTCTGTCTCGTGTTTTTTTTTTTTTTTTTTTCATGTTCTGTTTCATTTGTTCCGTTACCGTGTTTGTTTTTGTCGTTTTTTTCTGACGGTGTCTTCTGCAGAAGGAAGGTGGTGGAGATTATCCATTTGGAGATGACAATTTTGCTGTTGGTACATGGGAGAGCAAGGAGATAATAAGCCGCAATGGAGAGATGAAGCTGAAAACACAAGTTTTCTTCGGTTCGATCGATCAGAGGAGCGAACGCGCAGCTGGCGAAAGCGCGTGCACAGCTCTGGTGGCGGTGATTGCCCATTGGTTCCAATCCAACGGCGGTGACGGGGCAGTGATGCCGATCAAGTCTCAACTCGACAGCCTCATCCGAGAAGGCTCACTCGAGTGGAGGAATCTCTGCGAGAACGAGACTTATAAAGAAAGATTCCCGGACAAGCATTTCGATCTCGACACAGTCCTCGAGGCTCAAGTTCGTCCAATTTCTGTTGTCCCGGAAAAATCTTTCGTCGGATTTTTCCAACCACAGCAAGGAACTGAAGACAAGGGGTTCGATTTTCTGCAAGGTGCAATGTCATTCGACGATATTTGGGATGAAATCCCTTCTGGCAGTGACCCTTTGGTGTACATTATCAGCTGGAATGACCATTTTTTCATTCTGAAGGTTGAAGAAGATGCGTACTACATTATCGACACTCTTGGTGAGAGGCTCTACGAGGGCTGCAACCAAGCTTTTATCTTGAAATTCGATAGAGATACAGTGATCCACCGGAATATACCCGCAGAGCACAGTGATCCACCGGAATCTACCGAAATTGTAGTTTGCACGGGCAAAGAGTCGTGTAAAGAGTACATCAAGAACTTCTTGGCTGCAATACCTATAAGGGAATTAGAAGTTGATCTGAAGAAGGGATTGATGGCATCTACCACACACCTTCATCAACGGCTACAGATCGAGTTCCATTACACCAGATGTCTGCAAAACCTTACTAACGAGTGCTCAACAGCAGAGGCAATAGATAATAGCGATGCTGCAAACGCAAACTTATCTACATCAGAATCTGAAGAATGATAAGAGATGGTTATAAGCTTCCCTTCCGACTTTACGTCAGTAACCGATTTTCTTGGAAATGCCTACTCCAAAACCGAATGTTTTTAAACATTTCTTATATATATATACATTGTATGAGTTGTTAATAGCTGCTTTAAACACAAATTAACTTCAACGGGAGACGCTACATTATAGTGCTAACCTGTCTCATGGAAGAGCATAGTGTACATTTATGTAATGCTTACGAGTATATTTGATATTTTTCTTTTTTGAGCTAAAGTTTTTATATACAAATTTAAAAGCACTTTTTATCAATCCAATTTATTAATATTTAGGATTATTTCATGGAAATAAGCTGAAACTAGAATTTGTTTGCAAATGACGCAGTTTTCAATCAATTTATCAGGATATATAAAAACACCTCCGATTGTTAACAAATTACCGAGGTAAAGCTGATGATCCCCAAGAGCACAGTTGATACCTATAACCGACTAAATGTAGTACGCTTTTCTTCCTCTGTAGTATAAAGACAGTAAATGTTCTGTTCTGTTGCAACAAATTGGCATTCGAATGATTTTACGAGCGAGCTCGTGAGTGATTGGTAATCAGAGTAACTAAATGAGAGAAAAAAAATGATCTTCATTTCGAACCATACGGTTGAAGCTAATTTTACAGTAATTTCACTGGATCAAAATCGGCAGAGTTCTGGCTCGACTCTTTTCAGTAATTTCACATCCGAAAAAATAAGGGATCTGTGGTAGGATTCCACTTAATCGTCTAAAGTTGAACAAAGCTGAGAGGCAAGCTTCACAACTCCCCACATGGCTGCATCGTTCTGCAAACAAACTCGGGAAAATCGTATTACTACTAGGCATGATACATATGATACGAGTAACAGATAGATACAACATCGTATGAACGTTCTTCCTGTGCAGAACTTTCTGAAGTTTTCTACTTACCATATACACAACATCAAAGGCACTGCGGTAGCTGTCACTGGAACTCTCGATGTTGTCATTCCTGCAGCAAGTACTTAATAAGGTAAGACAATTAAAATTGTATAAGACTTTATCACTGAGTAGCAAATGTTTATTCTTTTAACAAGTACGAACAAGAAATTGGTCCGAACTAGAATAAAATCAAATAAAACAAAGTCGAGAGGAATCAAATTCAATAAGTTCGACATCGAATGTCGTCATATAGTAGAAGTTTAATAACTTTTCGATTCATGACCAACTATTTCTGAAATTTCATTCAAAAATTATTCCCATTTTTCATAACGATCAAGATTAAGATTTCTTTCAAGGGTAGTTCTCACTTACAGGAATCCGACTGATATTCTTGTATTGTAATTCAAACCATCAGACATTCCCAGATCTCCAATGTGATCACCGAGAAGTAGCACATTAGTTCTCGTTTTCACAGAGAAAACATCCCCCGTCAATCCATTGGCATCGCCTAGCTGATCATGAAGAGGTCCAGCCATGTCAAGCGCATGCTCATTCTTATTCAATACGTGAATTGTTTTTCCTGAGGTAAACCACAATATCTTCGATAATATTTTTGTACAAGAAAAAAAACAAATTCTACATCACCATTTATGTAATCAGAATCGGAAAGGGATTCAGCAAAACAAACAGTTTTTAACTGAAAAGCCTTTAAAAATAGAGAGATACCTTTAAACGATACAAGGTCCCCATTCTGGTCAAAAACCATTCGGTTGGATACAATTCTAACGTTCTTAAAGGATCTATGAAGTTTCTGCCTCAGCACCTAATAAAACAAGGCGTAATAAGATGTCAGTCTCAAATATACAAGTTTTCGATATTTATCTCACTAACTGGGATTTCGGAAAGCTAACCTCTTCAATAATATCTGCCAGGCCAGCAGAAAATATAAGGACAGGAACATTACTTCTCTGTAAGAACAAAACTATATCAGCCATGAAGTGAAAATTGTAAAAATCATTTTATAATCGTAAATATTTACCTCCAATAGTTCAAAGAGTTCAGTAACGCCCTCTCTGAATGCGATCCTCGAATTAGCCACTGAGCTCTTTATTGCACCATAGCTGAGTCCTCCCTCAATTAGAAGAGCATGCGTTTTCTCCCACCTGCATATATAGAATCGACCACTTCAACCACCTCAGACTTACCGAACTCTTGATAGAAACTAATAATAGCAAGCAAATCCCGAACGACTGAAGTGCAAAGTGGAAGCTTTAATTATACAAGATAAGCATTAACTTTATGCATCTTATAAGCGGCATACCATTCCTCCATAAGTTTTGCTTTCTCATCGAGCGGAATCGTCGGGTCGATTTCTAGTGGATGATAATAGTCGTATAATTTCTGCCTCTTGAGATCAAACTCAGCATTCCCTTGTTGAAGAAGGCCATGACTGCCTACATTTTAAATATTAGAGAGATTAGAATTAGATACAAAAGATATAAGTAATATACTCCATCGTATAGAAACAAGGATAACATACTATGCCCTCGTTGACCATCGATCCAATACTTTGTTAGCGTAGCATCAAAATCTGCAATAACCTGGAATTTCGAAGTAAAATACATCACATACGCATAAATGGTCGAACGAAATTAGTATGAATTTGAATTGCATTTGCACGTCCACCGAGAAAACACTAAACAATCGAATTCAACAAAACGAAGGCACCAGTAAACAACAAGCCTGTGTATATTAAACTCGTAAACATCAACCGTAAACATCAACCCCCTTCTTACAATCATTTCCTCCGATCCTTTCGAAAATTAAATTTTTCCAAAAAGTGAAAAATTGCTACCACTAAACGGAACCTGAAGTTTCGAAGGGCCATCGATTCGGGTAGAGGATATTTTGGTCTGGAGCAAATGAGGGTTTCCCACCATTACTTGAGCACCATCAAACACAACATGCTCCATAATATCACCTTCATTGTTCATATTTTTGCAGTAGCTGCTTCTGTAACCCACCCCGCGGCTTTTTCTGCCAATACCCAAATACATATATACATATATATACACAGTGAATGGATGATAATTTACGCAATTAAAATGGATCAAACACCAAAATCACGAAACCCCATTACCAGATGAAATCGAGGAAATTAATTAGGGGTAGTGAAAATTCAGAGAAATGCGTATTTAAAAACAAAATGGCGAGCGCAGAATTACCTGAATATGAAGTGAAACGGACTGAAGCGAGGAAGTGGAGCCAACAACTCATGGGAGAACACAGGTGAGAGAGATTGTAAACATGGTGGTGTCAATTTCATAGCTATTACAAAAAGGCCCATTTGTTTGTTTTTTTAATACAAAAAGGCCCATAAAGTTTAAAATCTTTGGTTCAACACTTTTAACACTTTTAAACGTTGCACGCTTTTAAAATTTAACGCGTTTTTCGGATGAATTTCACAAATTGGTAAATTACGGGCAACCCCTGAGGTAATGTTAAATTACGAAAAACTCCCTCATGTTCGGGTAATTACAACCACCCATCAACTATGAATGTTCTTGCATGTTCACAATTGCGGTGTCAAATTTAGTGGAATCTTCTAGATTATGTGTAATATTTTCCAGTTTGTACCCGTTTTACACCATCCAAGCTCCACAATTTGAAATAAAATGATCTCATAAGACGCGTCTCTTGGTTTGTAAATATCTATTGTGGTGCATCAGAAACTGCATTTTTGTACAAAACGAGTACAAATTAGAGAACATTCCACGGAATCTAGAAGAATATGTTGAATTTGACACCATAATGGTGGGCTTGTAAGAAAATTCATAATCGTAATTGTAATTACCTATACAAGAGGGGTATTTTCGTAATTTGATCTTATATCATTAGGTTCATCCTTATAGTAATTAGTAATCGGATGAATTCAGTTGTAGACATAAAAGTGTAGGAACTCAACGGGATTCCCTTCTTTGTTTGTCTGATTCGAGGGGAAAGGGCCCGTTGAGTTCTTAAGAATCAGAGTCTTTTTTTCGTCTAAATGATAAAGTGGATTTCTTTTTCTGCTGTTTCAAAAAACTCCATTCTATTTTTTCTGATGATGCTTTTGAAAAATGAACTTCATTGATTGATTCAGAACACCTCTTCCTTGATCTTGATAGTATCCATGGGTACTTTCTAAGTTAGAACAAAAACAAAGGGGGAATCGCTCAAGTTACAATAATTTGTCATTTAACAAATTGCATAAACTACTACACAATATATTTATAAAAATAAAAATAAAAATTGAATGAGAGAGAATAAAGGGTGTTTCTTCCTTATCACAATTGCCACAATCGTCATTACAAATCACTCTTATAAATAAATATTACAACAACATAAATTCATTTATGCATAAAACATTACTTTCTAAATGTAAAAATAAAAAAATGAGACACCTTATTAACACAACCAAAGAATGCCAACATAAACACAAATACATAGAGGAGAGAGTTGGAACTTAATTATAAAATGAATCCATTCAACAACAAAATGGACAAACAATCACTCCATTCTCATTACACTCCGAGCAATCCACCGACTCGCCGCCATTCTCCGGCAAGATTTTCTGGCTGCCGCTACAGTCGAAACAAACGACAAACCTAAAACCAGCGCACCCTTCACAAGGGCCTTCATTTCGATCAATCGGGATTCCTTCGATGAGCGGCTTAAGCTTCCCTTGCTCGTGCAACCCTAAGACCTCCTCCGCTCCGCCGATGTACCGCCCCTTGATAAACAACCTCGGAGGAACAAATTTCCCGCCCAAAATCCTCCACATCTCTTCCTTAAACTCCGAATGCATCGAGACATCTCTCTCGAAGAACGACACTTTGAGATTCTGCAATAAAGATCGGATCTTTGTGCAGTCCTCGAATGTCTTTCGAATCCCTCTAATCCCTGTCGTGTAGAGAACGATCGATTCGCCCCCGCCAGGTGGACACCTTTCTTCGAATTCCGTGATCGGGTTTTTCATAATTTGATCGATTTTTCTCGATTTCGAAGGGGGCTCGTATGAATCTTCTCTTAAAATGCTCTCCTCGAATATTCTTGATCTTCTCTCGGCTTCGAGTTCTTTGGCTTCTAGTACTGCCTGCTTGAAGGCTGCTAAGAGGTTCGGGTCGAAAAGGGTGCCCGAATTCAAATCGGGCCGCCTAAAAGACTCCGGATTATCACAATCGGGGGTTTTGGCCCCCGTTTTCTCGGGTCTTATGTTCTCCTTATCGGTATAGAAATCGGGTTCTTGATCTTCGAGATCCTTCATTAGCTCGGACACATCGATGATTTCGGGTTCTTGAAAATGAAGAATATTCTCATTGCGATTCCTTTTCGGCGATTCGTGAATTGTTGCGAACGGAGTACGGGACAAAACGGGGGTCGATTTTGGGGGCGAAGTGTGGAAATAGCCGTCTACTGCGTTTACCTGAAGAATTCTTTCGGGTTTTAGGTACCCAATTGTCTTGATTGTCTTCAGTTTCTTTATTAGCTTCCCTTTTACTCCCTTCATCTCCTTTTTTCCCACTCCCAAATTTGGTTCTCACAAATTCAATAAGAAGAAAAAAAAAATAAAAAAAAATTTGGATTAAATGAAAAGGATTTTGGTGTTAATTATTGTTGGAGAGATAGATTGAGTAGTGTGTTTTGATCCTTTTGTTTTTTCATGAGTAGTTGTTGCAGAGAGAGAAAAAGGAGAGAGAGATGATGACAAAGCAATTTAACGGCTAGTAAGTGGTGATTGCATATTTAAAATTTGAAAATGATTGGGTGGTGGAAGGTGCACCGCAGCTGGCGTGGATAACAGTGAGGGTTTAGATACCCTGTGCTGGGTCTACGGGACGGAGACGTACACCCGTCACATGTACAAATGAAATTATATTAGGGTGCATTTGGATGGAGGGATTTCAAATCCATAATAACAAATCCCTCGGACTTGTTTGGATTGAGGGATTTGGAGATGGATTTCAAATCCCCACCCTTCCTTTTTAGTTGATTTTGGAGCAATAGTGATGGATTTCAAATGACTCCAAAATTGGAGTCATTTCAAATCCATTCCCCAAATCAAATCCTTCCCCAAATCCCTCCATCCAAATGGACCCTTAGTTCTTCAATATTTCCCTTTTAGTTATTTATTTATTCAATTATATTTTGTTATTATTGGACGTAATTTTTTACCCCCTCTTTTATTTTAATATCCTTAGTTATAATCAATTCAATCTTGGTAAAAAATAAAAAATCAAAATGAACTATGAAAATTTATCTGAACCACTATAATCGGTGCTTCGTTTGCTTTACTCACTTTATTTTATTGTTTTTCAATTACCACATTTATATATTGTTTATTACTCGAACTTCATTTCAAAACTGACTTGGACGTTTGCAAAATATTTATTACTTGAAATATTTTTCTTCTCTAATTTAACTGAAACCATATAAATCTATCATAAATAGTTTCGAAAATAAAGTTGGTTCACAACCTAACTATATAAAAATTAACACAACTAAATATTCCATGAGCATATATATACAACAGAACGTCGATAAATTAATACTTAATAAATTAGTATTCTTAATTAAATAATAGTTTCTCACGGTCCCGACTCGGTGAGAACGTGTTAAATTATTAACTCGATAATTTAATAATCCATATGATCATAAGTTCTATGAACCTGGAAGCTGGAATCACCTGGCAAAATGAAAATTCCGAAAAGGTAATTTACCTATAGCAAGGTAATTTACCTATAGCAACGCGCGAGCAGGACCGACAAATTTAACAAACTCTACATAGTTATGTGTGATGGAAACCCGAGCATGATAAGTTTTGGGATTCATATAAGGCTTGACGTTGAATATCAAATCCACCGTAGATAAATTTCCAGCTGCACATCTAACTCCAGTTGCACGCACCAGGTACATAAGAACGAGTTTATTGCGCTACATACACACGAACACAATAAATAAATAAGTAAATAAAAAAGAATTATTTTTCAAGAATCGAAAAAAAGGGGAAAAAATGAAAAGAAAAGGAGAAGAGATACACATTATACATACATGTGTTTTGTTGTAGGCATCAAGAGCAAAATCCAAACATTCATTGATCATATTCTTTGTTTCGTTGTCCCAATTGCAGCGCGTGTTGGGATCTCTGTCAAACAAGACGACCGAGATACTATCCCCGTCGAGCACACTAGTCTCTCTCTCTTCCTCTCTCGAACCCCTATTCATGATAACATAATAATATCTGCGCGGTCAATCACACCAACCAAACGAGGCCTAAATATATATCAAAAAAAAAATAAAAAAAATTGATTACCTATGAGAATAAAAGTAGAGTAGATAATTACGAGAGAAGTTAATCCCAGCTCTAAAAGTAATGGGGTTATTATAGTAATTATCCTCTTCAGGGTCAGGCTTAGCGGTAAATATCATATGCAGCAGCAAACCATCGCGATGTCGTGAATGTACGTGCAACAGCTCCACTAAACTGTATTTGTTGAGCTACATAATATAATACATATACATATAATCAGAATCAATTAATTAAAATTAAGAATTAGTATCAATGAATAATTAATATACATACACGTGTTTTGTTGTAGACTTGAATAGCGAATTCGGCGTGTTTTTTGATGCTATTCAGGAAACAAGGACGATAGCGGGTCGGATCTCCGTCGTACCAGATGGTGGGACCACCGTAAATAAACCGGGGTCGAGGAATCTCCGGCACATTAGGTTTCCTCCGGCGGCTGCTCCTAGGTTTCGTATTCTTATTGCCCGGAAAGAGAAACCTCCATGATTTCCTTTGCGGTTGCAATTTCCACAGCTTCGTCATCAATCTCCCCCTTTCCAAACCCTAGTTGTTTTCCCCCTTTCCTTGCTTTCTTTAACTTTATATATTTTTTTTCTTTTAATGGGCTGGATTTCAAACTCCCGTTATATATATATATATATATATATATATATATATATATATATATATATATATATATATATATATATATATATATATATATATATATATATTATCCGTGATCCGTGATATTTAGGAAACTAATTGATGTGATCATGTGAAACTAGGTCAACAACTATATATGGTCGGAGCTTTGCTTAATTTACCATCAATGGGCCGGGCCGGGCCGGGCCGGGCCACTTGATTCTTCAGTTTTACTTATTTGTCTACCAAATTCAGTAAACTAGGTCAAGAAAAAAAATACGAAAAGTTGGAAGTACTTCATTTTGTACGTACTGCATATGCATGTTTAAGGATTTGATCAAAAAAATCCAGGATTTCTGATCCTTGTTTTTGTCTATTTATTTATAAGTTAATAATTCACTCAAATTCCTTTCATCTATTAGTTTTATCCGTTGGACTACTGAAATTTGCACAGGTTGAACTAATTAATTAAAGAGAAGGCAGCGCGCTCGATCAAGCGAAAGACTATGGACAAATGCGCGCCATTGTATGTATGTATACAGAAGACTTCATTACCCGTGTGCCCGAGAATATTACACATCTTGTAAAGGACATCTTCAAGGCGTATAGTTTCATATATGTGGTTATTTTCTTGACTGTAAACTCGCATTGAACTTTGGATTATTATCTGACTAGGGTTCGTTTGCATGTTCGAAAGTTCGACGAGGCCTTTGCTTTGCCGAGAACTGCATCGAGGGTTCGATCGGGTGTTTTAAGGGCTCGTGTACATCTGTTGTTGAATGTTGTTTTTGATAATTAAAAATAAATAAATAACTAGATTGAATGGATAAATTGGGTTCTCATTGTGGTTTTTATTTTTTGTTTGTTAATGGGTCATGTTTATTTCACTTGGAATTATTACATACAGTGTGTGAAGAAAATTAAGGAATAAATATAATGCCAACTCAGTTTATACTATAGAATCTTGTTTTTTCAAGTACTTGCATTGGACAATATTCAATTAAAAACTTTAAGATGAACAAAATCCAATTCAATTATTTCTTTTCTTTTCCATTTGTATATTTGTTATATTTAAACGGAAATATATTCAACGAACCCCCAATCTTTTCGATTTGCACTTGTTCGTTTCATTTCTGGATTAAAATATATATATATATCGTACGAATACTCATATATAGTTATCGATTAACGAAAAATAGAATGATTCCTACGTATATTGGTTGCAAGTATAAATCAAATTTTATCAACTCCGGTATACTAATAGTTTCAATTTTAATTAACAAGCTGTTCTTTTGTGCATACCGGGGGTGTTTCGGTCATTTCAATATTGAGGGGGACCAGCACCTCTCTCTGCTGCGTGCGTGTATAGTTAGTTATTACAATTCTCTGCTGCGTGCGTGTATAGTTAGTTATTACAATTTACAAATACCTGTATACATTTCTAACCTTCATCTCTCAGAACAGCCTTCATTCCCTCTCTCTCTCTCTCTCTCTCTCTCTCTCTCTCTCTCTCTCTCTCTCTCTCTCTCTCTCTCTCTCTCTCTCTCTCTCTCTCTCTCTCTCTCTCCTCTATTTCTCACTCTCTCTCTCTACTATGGTATTTTAGGATGTCTGATGTGGGCACAACCAAATACATCAACTTGCTGTGGGAGTACAATATAGCACTACCAATACGCAATAAAAAAGAGGAAGGTAACTATATTAAAAAGCATAATTTCTTATATAATATTGATATGATAATTAAAAATCCAATCTTGTTTGCACTGCTTGGCCCAATTAAACAATAATCTTCTTTTATTTCTTTAATTCGAATTCCTGTTAATTAGACTGCAATAAGTTTTTAATTCTTGGTCTTTTATTTCTTGAATTATATTCCTAATTATAATTAGATTGTTGGGCACAAAGCACGGCTTCCTTGGTCTCGTTCGAGATAAGAAAAGCATCAAGATACCGCAGAAGGTACATCACGCGCAACGCGTCAACCCAACACCTTATTGATCACTTGTATAAAGACATTCCTCACGGGGCATTGTGCTATAAATATCTCGACGAAGACGAGAAAGACTTCGAGTGGTGCGAACCCGACGACATGTCGTTCTACACCGTTGATCCTTCATCGGTACTTGACTATATCAAGCATTGTGGTGTGTGTTTGTCTACGGACTATCCGTACGCCGCTATGATTAAAAAAAATACGCAAGTTCCGGTTAACGTAAGTTTACATTTAATTACATCAATTCTTGAATGCAAATACTGTGTACTTTGATCGAGCCGATCGTTTACGGTGTTGGTGCATACATTGAGGTATAACTACTATTTCATTTCGTAATTAATTTCATGTGTTAATGAATTATTTGACTAATTTTTGTTTTAATATTTTTTGTTGTGAAGGAACCACGAAGCAAGAGGGCAAAGAAGTAAAGATTGATCGGCTCCCTACAGATGGACATTTCTCGATTATTTGTAATTTGCTCGATTTTTCTTCTATAATTGCTCTCGACCTAGTGGAGAATATTTGCTCCAAGTACAAAGGGTTTCTCTTCTTCCCCGTTTTATTGTTCACGATCTCCAACTTGTTAACTCAGCTAGGCCCGATTCTGATGAAGATCGTCAGTCGGAGAATAATGCAGAATAGTGTGACCACGCACGCAGCTCATGCAAATACAAAAACCAGCTATAAAAATGATTACCTACGGAAATGAAAATACAGCAGATAATTGCACCATCAACTACACACGTATCGTGTTTTACTTGAGGTTTCAATTCGTATTTTTTACACCATCAAATCGAAAAGCTGAGATCTTTATCTTTCAATCCACAGTGACTTACACGAATAGACTATATACGCTCAAGAAAGTTATTCGTTCGGCTTAAATCCATCAATCTCCATTTTGTTGAATAGCTCACAGAAATCATCGATCGATCGACCGAAACTCCACAATACAACATCATCTTCCGATACTGCCCTTTCATCCAAGACTTTCACAGCATCTTCTAAGCATCCACAACGCGAATACATACTAATTCGTGAAGTAATAACAGAGGCAACTGCATGCTCTTATTACAACCTCTGCATGAATCTGCTGACCTTGCCCGAGAATCGATAGCTCGGAATCCCAGCTCCGAAAGTAATGGGGTTATTATAGTAATCATCCTCTTCAGGCTCAGGCTTGGCAGTAAATATCATATGCACCAGCAAACCACAGCTCCACTAAACTGTATTTGTTGAGCTACATAATACACAATTACACATATACTAAATTTATTATAATCAGAATCAATTAATTATGAATTAGTATCAATAATTAGTAATTTATACATACACGTGTTTTGTTGTCGACTTGAAAAGCGAATTCGGCGTGTTTTTTGATGCTATTCAGGAAACAAGGACGACGGCGGGTGGGATCGCCGTAAATAAACCTGGGTCTAGGAATCTCCGGCACTTTCGGCTTCCTCCGGCTGCTCCTAGGTTTCGTATTCTTATTGGCCGGAAAGAGAAGCCTCCACGATTTCCTTTCCGGTTGCAATTTCCACAGCTTCGTCATGCCGTCGCCGGATTCCCCTTTCCAAACCCTAGTCGTTTCCCCCCTTTCCTTGTTTCTTAATTTTTTCTTTAATGGGCTGGATTTCAAACTCCAATTTTCACCGGCAGCTAAATAATTCTTAACCTAGATTTATATTAGTTGGCCCAAATTTCGGTATTCTACCAATTCTGATCCCAGATTTTCCAATTTCCGATTTTACTTATTTACTGTAATTGGAATCTATATATACTACCTCCATTTCGTTTTAACCGTACTTTTTAAACTTTGCACAGAGATTAAGAATTTTATTAAATGTGTCTTGATTTTTAAAAAAATATATGCATTTAGACTAAAATGACCTTGATTTATAATTAATAAGAGAGAGAAATTAGTTAAAAAAAAATAGTATTGAAGAGAGTTAATAAGGATATGTACTGGAAATTAAGTAATTAATGAAGTGTTGATAATTTAAAGTGATAGATAATATAAAACGGAGGGAGTATATATATATATATACACGAGTTTTCAATTTCTGATCAAAATGAAAATCAAAATTTTGTTAATTAATTAACTAATTAAAGTGTGGGGGTAGTTAGTAGGATGAATGATTAGCCATGGATCAATGCACTTGACGTGGAAAATGTGGCCGCAACTCGGCAGCAGCCCGAGCAAATCTGCCTCCTCGTAATCCGCTAGGCAAATAGAGCAATCCGAGGCGTACGATACGTTGATCTTGTGGGCCCCAATTTCGGAGTACGAGGATTGCAGGTAGGATGATGATGATGATGATGAGGTGGCATCATCTGAGTCGTTGCTTTGGTGGTGGACGACCAAGATAATATGATTGGGGCCCGTGGGCCCATTTTTCTGTGCGGGCGGGCTGTAGTTGCGCTTGGGCTCGCAAGTAAACGCAAGGTACATAATGACGAAAAAGACGATCCAAAAAAAGATGAACAATGCAAAGGCTATTCCGATGCTCCGCGCTATGTTGTAAGTACCGTCGGAGACATCGGTCGAGTTCAAATTAGTAGTGCTATTCATTTGTGGAGAGAGAGAGAATTTAAGAAGTCTACAATTTAAAGACAAGCACAATCATTTAATTAGTTGAAATAGTATTTCATCATCAGCTATATTTCACGTTTTCTTTGGGTTTTTTTCATTATTTGTTATTTGGTCTTGCATGAGCAAACAAAGTCAATTTAATTTATGGGTATATTTGTCATTTCATCTTAATAAAATGAAATCTTTTGGAATCGTTCTTTAATTTGGTCTTGCACAAGTAGAATTAGTATTGCATATAGCGGCAACCTTTATATTATTTAGTTTTTCACTATTTCCCTATTAGTTATTTATTTAATCAATTATATTTAGTTATTCAATATTTAAATAAAATTGAACGTAATTTATTTTTCCTTCTACAGTGTGTGAAAAAGAGATATTTCCTCTAAGGATCTCTAGTAAAAAAAAAATTCCCTGGCTATATGTACACTCTTTTTGTGTTGATCACTCTCCTTGCCTTAGTCTAATTTTGGTAGTCTGTTAAGGATAAAAGTTTGTTAATAATAAATAAATTATTTGTATGTATCAATTAATTTAAATGTAAAAACTTACATTAGGAATTTGTTTACTTTTCTGTATTGTGTATGGATAGTGCGAAGACAAACTTAATTATCAGAAGCAATTACCCCATAGAATAAGGGGCTCTTTGAGAAAACCCCCTCATTATTTTTTTTAATTGAGGGAGGTCCAAAATATTTTAGTCCATTTGAGAAAAGTCCACACCCATTTTCAGCCATTATGCTTTCCAGCTTTGTCCCCACCCGCCACATCATCACTGGGTCACGCTCAGCAATTTTTTTTTTTTTTTTTTTTTCCGTTTTTTTTCTTAATCGACTATGAAGCATAGTCGATTAAGCCTTAATCGACTATGCTTCATAGTCGATTAAGGAAATTATTTAATTATTTAATTTTTTTTTTTGTTTTTTTAATTTTTTTTTTCTATATCAGGTGTATTAATCGACTATGATGAAGCATAGTCGATTAAGAATCTGCTACTAAACATAACAAATTACAACTGCGAAAAAATGCAAAATCAACTATATTTTAGAAAGAAAAAAAAATATACAAACGTTATAAATGATTTATACAATTGAAACAATAAACAAGAAATCCAAAAAAAATAAAAAAAACTGGAGTCGATCAACCTTAATCGAATACCAGAACATAGTCGATTAGCTTAATCGACTATGAACATGTACATAGTCGATTAAGGTTTCAGCCACAAATAAACCCAAAATCGGCCTCCACATCGTCCCCACACCACCCAGAGCTTCTGCCATGGCCGAACCCGTCATATTTTGAGCATGTTCAGCTCCACCAATTAAGAAAACTAATTTAATTTAATTTAATCCCAATCCTAAATTAACTTAATCCCAAAAGCAACACCAGAATAGAGAATATAACTGATTATATTCATTCTTTATTACTACTTTAATTTTCTGTGTTCGTTTTCATTTCTATTTGCTAGAGAGAGAAAGTTAGAGAGAGAGAGAGAGAGAGAGAGAGAGAGAGAGATTGATGTATAGAAATGGCGGGTTACGAACATCAGCAAGGCTCCGGCGGCGGTGGTAATTCTTCTCGCTACGTTCATCAGCTTCTCACACCACCGACGGACCTCCACTTGCAGCAGAGGCCGCCGCCGTTGCCTTCTTCTCGTCTTGAAATTCATCACGAGCCGTCTGCTAATTCCAAGGACGACGACGCCGCCGCTACCACCAGCTCCGGGGGTACTCCCTCCGCCAACCGCCGCCCGCGCGGTCGTCCTCCGGGATCCAAGAACAAGCCCAAGCCCCCAATTATCGTCACGCGCGACAGCCCCAACGCGCTCCGATCCCACGTCCTCGAAATCTCACTCCAGCTGACGCGTGCGCGGAGACGACGGCGGCGGCGGCGGCGGCGGCAGAATCCTCCTTACTCTCCTGTTGAGCTTTCTCCTGTTGAGATTTCTCACTAATTTGTGTGTGTGTGTGTGTGTGTTTTTATGTGTGCGAGAGAAAGAGGGGAGAGAGAGAGAGAAAGAGAGAGAAGAGATAAGAGTGAGAAAGGGTGGTTTGGGAATTATTAAATAATATTTGGGTAGAATATTAGGTAAGGGGGTTTTCTCTAATTATTTTTGGGAGGGGGGTTTTTCTTAACTCATTTACCTAGATGAGGGGGGTATTGCTAATTATCCCATAGAATAAACTTATTTGTCGGAAATAGTTACCCCGCATAATAACAAATTTAGGCCCAAAATTAGACCAATGGGTTAAAGATGGCCCGCCAAGCGGGCCCAATTTGAATGGGCCAATTAGGCCAAGAGTATAGATCGTTAGAGGATGTTAGAAGATCTTCTAGAAACCTCTCGTAGAAGTTAATCTTAACTATTATATCAAGATGATCATCAACATCCACAGAAATGGAGTTGTATATAAATAAGGGTAGCTTCATTTTGTAATCATCAAACAAATCATTAATCAGATAGTCAACATTTCTTTCATCATTGTCTCTTGATATTGCACACAGAACGTCTAAACACCTCTCTTTCATAAACACACAACGTCTCTTTCATAAACACTCACACACATGTAAAAGAGGACGATTAGGGTTTAAATTTGGACATGCAAGTCGTTATATTTTTTTTTCTTTTTTTCCATTTCAAGAAAATTATTATTGATTTCACCATCGCATGATTCTAAGTACTCCAGTAGAAAAATAAGGCTGAGAATTTGGGAAACGTAACCAACGATGGAGTCGCGGCTCGAAAGTCGGAAGCAGCTCGACAGCTCACACGTACTACGTCTACCTGCATGTAACGTGCCCACACAATTGGACGGACAACGGATTTTCAGACCAAGCAGCCCAGCATGTTTGATTAGTTTGAGTTTTCATACGGTTTCGAGTTGTGCGAGCCCGACAACATGTCGTTCTACGACGTACAACTTAAGCGATACTTGATTATATATATCAAGCATTGCGTTTACGTTGTTGGTGCATAGCTTGACGTATAACTATTAGGTTTTAATTGATTTCATTTCGTAATTAATTTCAATTGTTAATGAATTATTGAACTAATTTTTGTTTTGATATTTTTTGTTGTGAAGGAACCAATTTCATTTCGTAATTAATTTCAATTGTTAATGAATTATTTAACTAATTTTTGTTTTAATATTTTTTTGTTGTGAAGGACGTCAGGAACCAGCAAGCAAGAGGGCAAATAAGTGATTGAGTTAGCAATTACATATAAAAGTTATATTTGTTCGTAGTGAAAAACTAATTCCAATTCTATTTAATTTTCTTTTTAGTGAAAAACTAATATTCCATTCAAATATTTTTTAAGTTGACAATTGGAATTTTTAAAAAAAAAGAACAAAAAATCTTGATAATTTGAACACATGTATATTATTATTTTTTCAATTTTTTTTTTATAATTGTAAACAACAAGTTGAATAATGCAAACCACTCAAAATTCAACATTTAACAATTCAATGAGCTGTGCCAATAATTTTTTACAAATTGATTTAAATAAATATTTAAAATTAAAATCAATGTTTTTTTAATTTATCAATGAATTAAAGTGTCGGGAGTACTAGGCAACGACATGCTTCCACAAAGGGGGCAATTAGTGGGATGAATGATTAGCCATGGATCGATGCACTTGACGTGGAAAATGTGGCCGCAACTCGGCAGCAGCCCGAGCAAATCAGCCTCCTCGTAATCCGCCAGGCAAATAGAGCAATCCGAGGCGTAGGATACGTTGGTCTTGTGGGCCCCAATTTCGCAGTACAAGAATTGCAGGTAGGATGTTGATGAGGTGGCATCATCTGAGTCGTTGCTTTGGTGGACGGCCAAGATAACATGATTGGGGCCCGTGGGCCCGTTTGTCTGTACGGGCGGGCTGTAATTGCGGGGCTCGCAATTAAACGCAAGGTACATAACGACGAAGAAGATGATCCAATAAAAGGTGAACAATGCAAAGGCTATTCCGATGCTCTGCGCCATGTTGTAAGTACCGTCGGAGACATCGGTGGAGTTCAAATTAGTAGTGCTATTCATTTGTGTAGAGAGGGAATTTAAGAAGGCTACATTTTATAGACAAGCACAATCATTTAATTAGTTGAAATAGTATTTCATAATCTCTTATATTTTAAAATTATATATATATATATATATATATATATATATATATATATATATATATATATATATATATATATATATATATATATATATATATACAAAATAATAATGACTTTTCATTTAATTCTATGGTCAACTTTTAGTTTAATAATTTGGTCATTAATTAATTGTGCAATTAGTCTTCCTTTATGAATTAACTAGGCCAAAACTGCATTTTGGCGACGATTTTGTAGCGACGAAAATGAATTTCGTAGCAAGCTTGCAACGATTATTGCCAACATTAGTCGCAACACAAAAAATTTTGTTGCAAAAGAAAAATGCTTGCGACGAAATCATGGCGTTCGTCACAAACGCATAAAATGTTTTTTTATATATATATATTTTTTTAATCTTTGCGACGATTATTTATTAAACGTCGCGAAATTTGGTAAAAAAATAAATTCCGGCTCGTTTTACGACGATTTTTATTGATTCGTCGCATGATTATAATAATATTTAAAAATAAAAAAATAATTACTGCGACGAAAAGTTAATTTTCGTCGCATTATGCATTGGTTTATATATTATAGCAATTAATTGCGACGAATGTGTGAAAAGTCGTCGCACAGGAGTTGACACAATTTACTCGGTTCTCTATTGCGACGAATTAGTTAATGGGATTCGTCGCAATAGTTAAATGTATTTTTATTTTGAAGTACTATTAAACGTCGCAATTGACTGAGTATTCACATAAGTAACCAACAATAGTCTATCAAAGGCCCAATTCGCCGGCAATTTCTCAAGAGAAAAATCAAAATCTTCGATGGGTGACAACAGTGGAACCACCTCCTCCGCCAATCGCCCCGCCGCTGCTACCTCCGCCGACGAAGATCTGCTGCTCAAGAATTTTTTCGCCGAAGTCAGCGAGGTTGAGCGCGATAACGAAGTCAACAGGTTTTTCTTCTTCTATATTCATATATAGGTTTCCGGCGGAAAAACAAAATTCTTCTAATTTCTTCAACTGTCTGCTACCTGTCTTGTTTTTCCGCTCAATTGATATAAAAATCATGAAGGTTTTCGCATCATGTAATTGCTGTATTTATATATATTTGAATGGGTGAAGGAAATATATAGAGGTTTGTAATTGTATCTAGATATGATTGGAAGTGAAACGAACGAGTGATTAGGAGAAGAAATTTCTAAAAAGGAGAAATATTGTGGATAATCCTATCCTAATTGTTCGAGCTGTGGGTAGTGGGAATTTAAGCTCAATTTTTATGTAGGTTAGGTTATTTAGCAGGATTCATTTTTTTATTTCATGCCAAAATTTGTCGATAGAATCCAATGTTTAAGATTTCGACTGAACAGCTATAACTGATTGTTAATGTGGCTTCAATTCGTCATATTCAAGCTTTTTTGAACTTTCTGATTGTTGTGTATTTTACCCTTCTATACAATTACTGAAATAAGGTAATGAAAGTGCTTGAGCTTTTGAGCTTCATATTTTAGGTGTACGATGCAACGGTTATCTTCATGAATAAACAGTTGTTAGTTGTTACTGTCATTATCTGCAGATGATCAACGGATCAATAAGACCTTCTCAATAAAAGAATAATTAAACTGACCATATTTTGTATGTGTTTGTGATATAACATCTAATGTTATTTTGTGTTCAGTATGAGATGATAACCGCCTCGTGCAATCATATTATATAATTCATGTTGGTGTAATAAAGTGTGATAATGAATTATGTTAGGGGATACCTAAACACAGGAACCAGTGGACTTTCTTTGTGATTATTTTTGAAACATTTTTTTATCTTTTGTTTGGGACTCGAGTTTTTTATTTAATGAGCAAATTGTTGTGACTAGTGATCTTTTAGTCTGACACGCTAGCCAGCATCCTAAACTACTGATGATTTACTGCTTGCTGAATATCCTTTTGTGCTGCTGTAAGATCCTTTCATGCTTCAAGTTAAATGCTTTTGAATATCTTAACCTACCATTTGATTCATCTGTAGATGAAGTGAAAAGGCAATACCGTAAGGTAATCTTTTCATCTTATGAAATTGTTAAACATTGTTTATTGGTATCATTTGAGAAATTATGAAATATGTTTAATGTTACTTTCTCCTCTCACAGCTATCTTTGCTTGTCCATCCTGATAAGTGTAAACATCCCCAATCTAAGGAGGCATTTGGAGGTAAATAATATTGTATTTTGCGACTCCCTGCACTTGAGCTTGTAATCAGAATTGGTTTTTTCCCACTCATAAATTTCATTTTGACCGAACTTCGCCGGCGCGATTTGCCGTCTCTTCGCCGCTACGATTTGCCGTCTCTTCACCTCCACGATCCGCCGCCACGATTTGCCGTCTCTTCACCTCCATTATTCGCCTCTGTTGTCGCCTTGTTCGTCTTCTCCCCGTACACAGCCATCGCCCCTTTGTCCTTCTCCCTGCGGAACTATCTCTTCGTGAATTCTCTTTTCCCCCTGATTCTCTCTACAAGGTAACGAGTTCCTGAATATATAATTGGTTTGGAGGTCCATTTAATCTATAATTGAGCTTTTGCACTCATAAGGTTGTGATATCTATAATTTGATAATATACAGTACACTCATAGGAATAACTAAATTGGTGAGAAGTTGAAATTCAATGAAGTCTGCACCAATACATTAGAGTGATTAATTTTTTATTGTTTTTATTTATTTATAGTTTAATAGTAGAGATTTAAGTAAAATATATTTATGTGATGTTTGCTTATGTTTTTGATACTATGTTATCATATCATCTACTTTGTCTGAGATGGCTCTGATTTTATTTATGGTCTCGAAAGATCTCTGAGTTGGTGTAACAGATCTGCGTTTTAAGCTCCAAGGAAAGTATTGATCAAGCTAACCAAGTGCGAAGGGATTTGCGTGAGAAGCTCTTTGGTAAATTTCTCTCGTATTTGAGATCTATCATTTGGTATTTATATGCGCCACCTTATGATGTTTGTTATACATTGTATAAAGTGTTTGGTATCTATTGCGTAGTATTGGGAGTTTTTTTCAGGCATTGTTCGTATTTATGTAACACTTATGTACTTATACCATTTGTTTCAGGCACGGATGGAAAGAGTTTATAATGATCAAGTGTATAACTTCAGCAAAGCTTTCAACTCCTTGAACGAGCATTTGAGACGACAAAGTCGTGTATTTCTCCACAGCAAACTACTTCTAATGAACAATGAAGAAAGTATGGACCAATTTTTATTTTTTTTATTGTTTTATTTTTTTGCTACAATATTTTTTTTAAGTTTAAGTGTAGTTTCGAATTTGTAGTGTATTTCACTTAATTTTATGATTTTAATGTGATGGAATAAATTTGAATGTGATGTGTTCTTTGACCTAATAGTTAATTTTGTGTTATTAGAATTGCTAATTAATTAATTACAGCTTAATTTATTATTTAATATGATAAAGAAAAAAAAAACTTGCGACGTTTTTGTACAACGTCGCAAATAAATGGGTAAATAATTGCGACAAAAATCATTTTCGTCGCACATTTGCACAAACCAATTGCGACGTTTTTCACAAAATCGTGGCAAGATGACTAGGAGATTTGCGACGATTGTTAGATTTCGTCGCAAACTAAAATAAATTGGCAAATACGAATTATGGCGACGAAATATAGAAGCGTCGCAACATTCTGCGACGAAAATTATGTTTCGTCGCAGCCTTTGCGACGAGCTGTTTGGCGACTTTTTTTTGTCTCCTTTGCGACGATATTTTTTCGTCGCAAGTGTTGAATTTTCGTCGCCAATATCCTTTTTTCGTCGCAAATTTTCGTCGCCAGTGTTGTGTTTTGGCCTAGTATAAGAACATATGAATATATGTCTAGTTTATATATATTGACCAAGTACATAAAATATATAATCAATATTAATATTATGTACTTGCATGGTAGATTGGTAGGTATTGATTTTGAAACAATAACAAAGATTGTAAATAATGAGTATATTCATTTTCTAATATTTTACAACGTGTTGAATTTTGCTTACACTATAGTATATATATTCTGCACTCAAATGGACCAATTCATTCACAATATTACATACCAATAAAATATCTCCAAATATACATATAAAAAGAATAACAAAAAAAAATCGATTTTTCCCCCTTAAATAATAATTAAGTTGCCGGAGCAAGAGGAGGAGTACTAGGCGGCAATGGCGAACTCCGGCAAACTGGGCAAGTGGGATGAACTATTAGCCATGGATCGATACACTTGAGGTGGAATAGGTGGCCACAACTCGGAAGCAACCTAATCAAATCCGCCTCCTCGTAATCCGCCAGGCAAATCGAGCAGGCCGAGACGTACGATTCGTTGATATTCTTGTGGGCCCCAATCTCCGAGTAGGCGAATTGCGGGTACGACGATACTATCGATGATGATGATGAGGTGGCGCCATCCAAGCCGTTGCTTTGATGAACCGTCACAGTAACAGAATCAGGGCCCGACGGCCCGTTAGTGGGGTCCACTGGTGCGATGCGGAACATCAACCTCATGTACATGTAGAAGACGATGGCAAACATGAGGAATATGGTCAGGGTTAGGCCGATGTCGTATACCAAGGCCTCGCGATTACTGCTGGTTTTGGAGCCGGCGGTCGAATCCCAATTACTATTCATGTTTTGGGAGAAGAAGAAAATTAAATAAAGAGCCTATATATATATTTAAAATAGTGACCCAAAAAAAAAAAGATGCTTGAGATGTAACTTGTAATTTAGGTGTTTTATTGAAGTTATAACTTATAAGTGGTGCGATCATGAAGATGGGTACGTGAGTTGACAAATTGATAATATAATCGATAAATTTCGGGTTGAATACGATGCGATTAGATACTACCCGGTGAAGTTCACACGAACATATATGTAGCGTCGAATCAATCGAAAATTTGCTAGCGGTTGACGAGGCTAAAGGATATATTTTACAATCCAAATGAATGTTCCAAACCAATCATCAAAGCAAGCACGATCATCTATTTGAAATGGTATTGCATCTGTCTTTTTCAAAATTCATTTTATATATATATATATATATATATATATATTATTTTGTATTTAAAATATCTAGTTGTATGATTTTTTACTCGCATAATTACATCAAATCAAATCAAACGTCAACGGAAAGGGCAAAAACTAAGTTGAATGTAAATGTAATATGATTCAAACCTGTAATACAAAACGGAAACGGAAATTAGGGCAAAAAATAAGTTGAATGTAATATGATTCAAACCACTCAAAATGCAATATGTATATATACAGCAATTCAATGAATTGGGTAACAAGACTTTGTACAAATTGTTTTGAAAAAAAGAAGAGAAAAAAAAAACTCAAATGAGTCAATCTGCTATACAAGTAACGTTGATTCAAAGTTTAGCGTGCCTGCGCAAGAGTAGTAGTACTACTACTACTAATTTGCAATGGGGAGCTTCGGCAAACGGGACAAGTGGGATGAAGTATTAGCCACGGATCGATACACTTGACATGAAAGAAGTGTCCACAGCTCGGAAGCAACCTAACAAAATCCTCCGCCTCGTAATCCGCCAGGCAAATCGAGCAGGATGAGGCGTGGGATTCACTAATAATCTTGTGGGCCCCAATTTCGGAGTAGGCGAATTGCGGGTAGGATGATATTGATGATGAGGTGGTGGCGCCATCCGAGCCGTTGTTTTGATGGATGATCACGATAACACTATTGGGGCCCGCGGGCCCATCGTCTACCGATGTGGGGTTTACTGTCCACCTCATGTACAAATAGACTCCGGTCACAGCCAATATGAATGTTGCGATGGATAGGCCGATGGCGAAACCCAAACCTTGGAGAGCGATAGCGTTGGAGTTTTCGTCGGAAGAGTCCCAATTATTCATTATTTGTGGAGAAAGAATTAAGAAACCTATGTAGATTTTTAATTAGTGACATAAATGTATGAGATGTGGGGTGATTATATATGCGTTAAGTGATGATGACAAGTTGAGAATGATTTATAATTTAATTGGTATTTGGAGATTTTATATTAGTAAATAAATATGAGAAAAGTTTTGATAAATACTTGTGGTTTAGGATTCAAGCTCATGAAGAAAAAATCCGATTTTAATTAATTAATTATATGGAGAAATATAATTTAGTTTTTTTTTTTTTTTTTGGATACATTAATTTGAATTATTAATAATATATTAATAATAAATAAAAATATTATTAATAAATAAATTTAAAATCTAGGGGTATTTTGGACATTTATAAAGACAGGGCAAGACCGCAAGAGTATTTCATTTTCAACTATTCTGCGTGTTGGACCAATTCATTCAAAGTAGCTAATTTTTTTTTTTTTTTTTTTTTAAATAACCGCACGTTACATATGAGCAAACTTCTTCAAATACAAAATGGACAAAACGAATATATATTAATATAACACTTCAATGAATATTGGCAACAAGACTTGTAGAAATTGATTGAAATAAATCAAAAATAAAAATAAAAAAATTGTTATATACATGTTGCATTAAAAGTAACTGTTTAATTTAAAGTGGCGGAGCAGGAGGAGGAGGAGGCGGAGGTGGCGGCAATGGCGAACTCCGACAAACGGGGCAAGTGGGATGAAGCATCAACCATGGGTCAATGCACTTGACGTGGAATAGGTGGCCGCAGCTCGGAAGCAATCTAATCAAATCGGCCTCCTCGTAATCCGCCAGGCATATCGAGCACGCCGATGCGTCAGATTCTTTAATCTTGTGGGCCCCAATTTCCGAGTACGCGAACTGCGGATACAAGGATGATAATGAGGATGATGATGATGAGGTGGCATTGGCATCATCCGAGCCGTTGATTTGATGAACGACCACGATAGTAGAATCGGGGCCCGTGGGCCCGTTTATCCAGGCTAGCCTGCTTACTATCCACCTCATGTACAGGTAGAAGCCGATCACAACCAAGACAAGAAACACTAGGGTTCCGCCGATACTGGTTCCCCATCCTTGAAGCGTATTAAAGCCACGTTCGGTCGAGTCTCGATTATCCATTTTTACTTTAATTTTGTGGAGAAATTAAAGAAAATGCAAAAGTTTCGATGAAAATGAGATGTGTGTTTGGGTGTTTTATAAGTTATAAGTGATGATAATTAATTCATTTGTATTAAGGGTTTGACAATTAATTAAGTAATTAATTGGTAATTTGGGAATGAAAAGGTAAGAGAAAGTGATTGGAGAAGAGTTTAGTATATAAATATGACAAGAGAATTAGGCTTAATTATATAGATAATGCAACCATGTTTTTTGAAATTTCAACTAAATTCAATTGACCTCGTCAATAATTTACATTACATCTAAGCAAACTTCTGCCGTGCAAAATATTACAAGGCAAAAACCTATGTCGAATATAACAAATATATATATATATATATATATATATATGTAATATATGTATATATATCACTAAGTAGGATTAAATTTGAGGTGATGGCGAACTTCTACAAACGGGACAAGTAGGGTGAAGTATTAGCCACGGGTCGATGCACTTGAGGTGGAAGAGGTGGCCGCAGCTCGGAAGCAACCTAATCAAATCCGCCTCCCCGTAATCCGCCAGGCAAATCGAGCATGCCGAAGCGTACGATCCTTTAATCCCACGGGCTCCAACTTCCGAGTAGGCGAATTGGTGAGGGTTATGAGGTGATGATGAGGTGGCATCATTATCCAAGCCGTTGCTTTGATGGACGACGGTCACGATGACGGGATTGGGGCCGCCGGTGGGGCCGTTTATGGGTGGTGATGACGGGTCTTCATCTGGGTGAAACATGTTAAAGATGCAGAAGAAGATCGCTAGCGCGACGAACCCTGCAATGGTTATGCCGATGTCGTGTACCAACTCACTCATTGTGGAGAATGAATAAGAAGAAGAAGAAGAAGAAAAAAAATAAGCTTAAATCTTAAATAGTGACCAAAAACCATGAAGTATAAGGTGTTTTATAAGTTAATTAGTTGTTATATATACATATATATACACACGTAAATGATAAAATTCGAATCCCGTTTCTTGTTGAGAGTAAGGAATGAATGGAAGTTGGACATTTGACCTCGTTCCAATAGTTAAATTATGTGCAAATTACTCGAAAATGTGATATAATTGGTGGAATAGGAGAGTGCGACATTTTTTCGTTCAATATATTATTGTCTAAATTATATGCAAGTCAATGTTTCAAAATTAATCTTTAAAGCAACCACAATCATCTATTTGAAATGGTATTGGCTTATAATTGCATCTGTCTTTTCAAAATTCATTAATTAATGCATACACACATTAAGTATACAAATATTAATATATACATGGTGCGTATTATTAATATTGAAATAACAAAAAAATTACCGTTTAATATATACTCATTTTCAATTAATTATTTTACGTGTTGATTTCGCTTGATGTTGAAACTCTCATTATATCCGAACTTGAAAAGAGAAATTATAAATTAATGCAATTTCTGAAATTTTCGATTTTGTTTAATGAACTTCTACAAACGGGACAACTAGGGTGAAGTATTACCGCAACTCGGAAGCAACCTAATCAAATCCGCCTCCCCGTAATCCGCAAGGCAAAGCCGATGCATACATTTCTTTGATATTCTTGTGGGCCCCAATTTCTCATGAGTAGGCGAATTGCGGGTACGATGATGATACTGATGATGATGAGGTGGCACCATCCAAGCCGTTGCTTTGATGGACGGTCACGATAACAGGATCAGGGCCTGTGGACCCATTTATGGGTGATGACGGGTCATCGTTGAGGTAAAACAACCTCATATAGATGTAGAAGACGATCGCAAACACGATGAATCCTGAAAGGATTAGGCTGATGCCGTTTACCATTGTGCAAAATGAATAGAATTAAGGTGTTTTATAAGTTAAGTTATATATATACGCACGTAAATGATAAAATTCGAATCACGTTACACGTTGAGAGTAAGGAACGGAATTTCAAATGATCGAAAATGTGATTTAATTGATGGAATAGGAGAGCGCGACATTTCTTCGATCAATGTATATTTTCTAAATATATTCAAGTGAATGTTTCAAAAATAATCCTTAAAGCAACCACAGTCATCTATTTGAAACGGTATGGGCTTATTGCCTCTGTCTTTTTCAAAATTCATTAATATATATATATATATATATATATATATATATATATATATATATATATATATATATATATATATATATATATATATATATATATATATATACACACACATAGTTAGCATACAAATATTAATATACACTTGGGTGCGTATATTATTAATTTCGAAATAACAAAAAAAAGTTACCTTTTAATGAATAAATATATAATATATATTCATTGTCAATTATTTTACGTGTTGATTTCGCTTAATGTTGAAATTCCCATTATATCCGAACTTGGAACGAGAAATTATAAATTAATGTCATTTATGAAATTTCCGAAATTCCGCCGATTCTAAAATTGGAATGGATTTTGAATTCCGATTTTTTTCGAACGGAAATTGAAACCCGTTTTTAACTTTTGGAAATTTTCTGAAAATACCTATTTCCCGATTTCCACCCCTAGTGAAAATAATAAAATATTGTGTTTTATTAATCTTTTATTCTCAACATGCACCAACTTAATCAAAATGGCTACCTGTATTTTTTTTTTTTTTTTAATATATATATATTATATATATTCTTGATCACGCATTCATTTGCATTACATCTAAAGCAAACTTCTGCCGTGCACAACATTACAAGGCAAAAAAGACTAAGTCGAAGCACAAGAATTTCAAAATACACTCAAAATGCATATACAGCAACAGCTACAAAGAATAATAAAACAATCACCAACAAATAAAACGAATACGTGCCACTAATAAATCGTAATAGGCAACGGCGAACTTCTACAAACCGGACAAGTCGGGTGAAGACTTAGCCACGGATCGATGCAATCGCGGTGGAACAAATGCCCGCAACTCGGGATCAACCGTACCAAATCCGCCCCCTTGTAGTCCGCCAGGCAAATCGAGCACGCTGATGCATTCGATTTTCCCTCACGGGCCCCACCGATTTGTGAGTAGGCGGATTGAGGGTAGGTGGATAGAGTTGCCTCGTCCAAGCCGTTGCATTGGGCACTAACTGTAGAAGAAGAATCCGGACTCGCGGCCGGGTTAGCATTCAGTGATGCCAACGAACCGCGGCGGATCCTGGTGGTGGTGGTGGTGGTGGTGGGCCCACCATCACCGCCGTGGAGACGTTTGCAGACGTAGGAAACGTAGGTGACGACTGCGAACATGACGAGGCACGCTATGGATAGGCCGATCCCGTACCCGAATCCTCCGATCGTTTGGTTTCCGAGACTGGAGCCGCCGCCGGGTGTCGAATCGGAAGAGTTGTTCATTTGTGGAGGAAGAAAGGGCAAATTAAAATGGTGAGATGCATTTTGTGGGGTGTTTTAATTGTAAGTGGTGATCATGAATATGTATATTGATGGGTTGACAATATATTCAAGTTGGTTAGGGTTAATGAAATTTAATTGTGTGTGTTTGAGGGAATGAAAAGGTAGAATCAAGAAAATGGATAAGATTTTTTCTAAGTATAAAAAAATATGAAGAGAATCATCACTATATATGTATATAATTCCCACTAGCTAGTTTAGATGGTCAACTATATATGTAACTATATATATATATATATATATACAGTTACATAGTTACATAGTTTAATTTGGTCTTGGTGCAATTTAATTATTTAATCTCCCCTAAAATAAACCAATTGTGCCTATGAACCCCAGTTGGATGACAGGATGTTCGAACATAAATTTTAAATTTTAAATCATTAAAAAATAAATTATAAAGAAGTTGAATTATTCTCGATACCAATTTCGGGATCATTCATCTGCAAAATGGTCGGGTCGGATCGGGCCGGGCCGGGCCGGGGAAGAAATTTGGAGATGACCCACTTATGGATATCAGCTCTCTTTGACAAGGCCCGGACTACTTGGCCCAAGTTTCTTTAATTCCAAATCCGCCACCTAATTGAATTATTATTCTATTCTAGGCCCACGATGATTTTTTATCGAGCGAAATTTCATCATACACGTGTACCTATAACTACGTAATATGTAAGAGAACAAAATTATATCCATTGATAAATTTGAAAAATTAAAAAAAAAAAAAAAAAAAAAATTAAAGATCGCAACATATAATACATTATACCAAATAAATTTGAAGTTAGCAAGCAATGTTGATTTAAATTTCCATTTAGATTAAAATTAACTATTATCAAGTTTAGATGAAACAATCGAACAAATTCGATTACAAAAAGTTGATGAGACGCTACACTGGTAAAAAGTATCGGGTGATTTTACATCAGAAATTTATCTAAATAATTATCGCCTGTTATTATGTGTAGATCAATAGTGCAGGATAACCAGATATATTTTGTCGGGTACTGAATCTACAAAACCTTACAAAAAGTTGTAGCAACTAATGGTGTCCACAATTAGCAACTTGCATTAACTTTACTCACTAAACAACCAACCAACCAACATAGATACAATAAACAATAGCACGCTTTTAGTAGTTATAAATAATTGTCCAGCTTGATAATGCAAAAACGCTTTTTTAGGCAAAAACAAAACTTGATAAAGATCAATAATTAAATATTAAATATTAAGAAATATTAAAATATTACGCTTATCTGCTGTGTTTATAAGAGCTTTTAAAAAACAGATTAATTAGATGCCTTTTTGAGTCATAATTAATGATTTAGTATATGCAAATGCAACTTTTGTATTTACTTTTTTTTTAAATCATTTTAAGTTGCATTGGACACATGTGCCCTTGTTATTTTTATTTATGTCAAATTTCAAAGATACACGAGACAATTTATTTTCTATGGGATTAATTAAAAAAAAAGTCCACAAATAATTCCTCAAATCAAAAATTTTGGCTGTATAATTTAAGGTCTGTTTGGTTAAATTTATTTTAAATATATAATAAGTTATAATATTTAATAAGTTATTTTAAGTGATGATAGATGAATCTCGAAAAATTATTATGAAACAAAAGTTAAATAAAAAAATATATATTGTGGCATAATGATTTGAGACCACTATTGATAGTAACAGACTGAGTTCATGAATCTAGACATGATAGACAACAATATTATATTTTTATACTTTGGAAGTTGATAAATCCAACTAATTAAATTAAATAAATCACAAAGTGGTGTGGTGTGACACAAGCAAATATTTTTCTTATTAATTGCTTTTTAGGGGTGACAAAAAATATTAATCGGGCCCCATTAACTAATTAGGTAAAATGTGGGTTTTAATTTGTGCACCTATAAATGTGCATTATATTGAATTTAATTTCCATGCAGAATGAATTAATGAATATAGAAATAAATAAATAAATAAGAAAAAAGTGTATAATAGTTCAGTACGATAAATGGTATAAATTTTCCAAGTGCCGAAATTTCGGTACGGTATTACCAAATGAACACCCCTAATTAACGGCCCCCTCAGAATTTCTTTTAGTCATTCGGCCCCTGCGGACTTAAATTTCTAGCTCAGCTGGCACAAAAGTTGAACATATCTAAGAATCAATTGATGATGTATCACAAAAACATCTAATTATATATTAAGATTTAGATTAAGAAGTTAATACCTGATTAAGTATGCATGCTTATCCGATAATGATGTGGATTAGGAATTACTTGCAATTTTCGAAAAAAAGAAGTATTTGATTTATCATTACATAAATAAAAATGTTTAAATGTGTTATCCACTAACAATGGTCCAAATATAATCAATTATGTTGCAGTGGTCCCTTCACTACCTCAATTTGGCCACTGAACCCTAATTTTCATGCAAATGTCAATTTTTATTTTATTTTTATTACATCGATCTAGATTAATTTTTTCAAAATTTGGAATAATATTTTCCATTACAATAAATTCGATTTAGAGTAGATATGAGATTTCGATTTCAGAATAGATTTAAGTTCCACAAAAAATCATTTAATTTTTTCTCTTTTAGTTTTAAGTTTTCCTTCAACCTTATCCGAAAACTTGGGAAACACGTGATCTTAAAATATTTAATTTTTTCTCTAAAAAAAATAAAAATTTAATTAAAGATAAATAGCATTAACCCACTGTGTTTTGAACTTTGTACAAACGATCCCCTTATACTTTCAATATATCACATAACCCCATTATATTTTAATATAAGTACATAACTCTCTTGTACTTTCAAAAATTTTCACCTTCCTAATGAGTATGATTATTTACCAAGTGAAATATCATAGGGGGTTATGTACTCATATTAAAGTATAAAGGAGTCATGTGCACAAAGTTCAAACTACAGAGGATCATATACTTATATTAAAGGGTAAATTACACTCACACCCCTGTGGTATGCTTAAATAATTTTAAGGTTCCTATGGTATCGATAATTACACTCACCCCCCTGAAACGTAGTTAGAAACTCGAACGGGATAATGCATTGGATACATTAATCCGATAGGGTTCTAATGGACTATTAATTTTAGCTAGTGGTGGAGATAACATAGAGTTATGGGGAATTATGTTGTGACATGGCTCCCCCCAATATTTCTTAAATCACTCATAACTCTTTGTTGTCTCCACCACTTCCTGAAACCAATAGTCCGTTAGAACTCTATTGTAATAACGTATCCAATACATTATCCCATTAGAGTTTATAAATACGTTTCAAGGGGTGAGTGTAATTATCGATACCACAGGAACCTTAAAGTTATTTAAGCATACCTTAGGGGTGTGGGTGTAATTTACCCTATATTAAAAGTACAAGGGTCATTTGCACAAAGCTACAAACCAAGGGGTTAAGTGTTTAAAAAAGCAAAATACTCTGCCTATTTTTAAGTCTTTCTCTCTCTTGTCTCTCTCTCTCTCTTCTTTAAACCCCACAAAATAGGGTTTTTTTTTTTCTTTTTTTTTTTTTTTTGAAAAACTGATGAGTGAGTGATGGTGACATTAAAACGCACGCAAGAAGGATACATGGGGGAAAGCTGAGCTGTGTTCAACATCGAAACGCCCAATTTCATTTCAGTTTTCTTTCTCGTCCGTACAATAATTTCATAATTTTTTCGATTTTACTGGAACAATTTTGCTGGTAAAATGCTGCGTATTGACATTATACAATCATTCTTTCTTGCAGATTAGCTGTTGAACTGCAGCAGTTCAGGAACACACTCATTCGGTTTCTCTTCCCCTAATTATAAATAATTATTATAGTTCTCAACCCCAGAACTCACTAAAGGTATGCACTTTTTTCTAGGTTTTTTTTTTTTTTTTTGTTTATGTTTTTGGGCATTGCTGTTTACAGAGAGTTTACTGTGTGAATTAATTATATTTATCGGTAGTGATGGTAAATGTCAATTTGTTCTTGATTTCTTTTTCCTCTTTCTCTTCATTTTTTTGGGGCAATTTTTAATTTTCTATGAGTATATTCAGTAAGAGCATATATATATATATATATGGGAGTGCTTTCGTTTCGGTTCAATCGATTTTCGTTTCTGATGCATCAACTCAAAATGCAATTGGACTTGCACTAGATTGTCTTCAATCTTGTGTTTTCTTTTTTCGAAGTATCTGCGCCGATTTGATGAAGTAATAACACGAAAATTCCCTATCTTGAGCAGATTTTGAAAACTTGTAGCATGTCGAGGCACTCTCAACTCCCACCTCGTTGTCCTCTCCAAAAGAAAACCGTTGTTCCCCATGCTAACAGCATTCCCTTGTCTGAAGATTCCGAGTTCCGTTTGAGGGGTTTCGGGCATAACAGATCAATATCCCAAAGCTCGGTCTTAGATGAACAGCCCTCGTGGCTCAACGATTTATTGAGCGAATCGGAATCGAATTCCAATATTACGTCACATCGCCGAACGGCCAGTGATTCTTTGATGCTTCTCAATGGTGTACAGTCACTCCAAAGTCTGAATAGTAAGAAGGAAACTGCAGATTCTTGTGGGCCCACAGAAGAAGATGAGTTGGGGTCGAGCTGTACATACGGTCCTAATTCGCCTCGAAGGAAAAACAAGTTAGGGTTTCCTGAAAAGGAAATCGTTTCGGCATTTTCGGAACGTGTTATGCAAAACCCTCTGCAAAATTTAGATGAATATATTTCTGTTTCCGGAGCTTTTCAGCCTGGTTCGTTTGGTAGTGCATGTGCTTCAGTGGGTGAGATGAATGCCGAGAACAAATCAATGAAACGGTCAGTGTTTTTTTTTTTTTTTTTTTTTTTGAAATGGAATTGTTGTTTCTGATTACTTTGTTTGTGCCCGGTCGAGTTATTTTTTAAAACTGCTAAATTGACAATGAATGTGCAGTCACCCCGGGCAGAGGTCTAGAGCTCGAAAAATCGAATACATTGCTGAGCTTGAAAGCACTGTTGATTTTCTTCAGGTACGGATAATTAATAAAAAATAAGACAAGGAAATTGTACTAAGTTAGTTCTAACTTTATCTTTAGTGGATACTTTCTTGATCTTTTTTCCTACCTTTTGATTAAAAAAAATTCTTGCTACAGAGCATGGGATCACGATTGGCTGGTAATTTTGCGTCTCTAATTCAACAATACGCTGCTTTGTCGGTGGAGAATAAAACACTGAAGCAGCACCTAGTGAGAATGAAGCAGGAAAAATTCATCGTAGATGGTAAGATTCTGTTGATTGTTTTTGTTTTATTTTTCTTTTTCCGACATAGACACATATTATACGAACTGAATACCCGAAATTTCTGTTTTGTGCAGGTGAATATCAGTCCCTTAAGAAAGAGGTGGAGAGTTTGAGAACTGGTTTAGCACTTTCTTCTAATAAAAAGGTTCACAACAGGTCGGTTTCCGCTGCCAATTTTGCCCATTCAGATCCCGTATGGAGCATGTTAGACATGCGAAAACTCGACTTAAATTGACTGCACTTTGTCGATCCTGTCCTTGGAATTTCAAGGTGAAAAAGCTGCTCATTAATCACTTTTACTTGCAGCGTTTGATGGCATTTGACTATCGAAAAGTTAGAAAATTCTGGAGACTTGATTTAGTGTACTGATGTTAATAGCACTGAGAAGGTTGCTTTATTTCAAGAACTATTCGTGGCACTGAGAAGGTTGCTTTATTTCGAGAACTATTCGTGCAACATGTATAGATATATACATGCATACATACACGTTTACACATTTCATTTTAAGAGGGCTTCTAAATAGCATTTATCCTAAAATTGAGCTTCTTCTACTGGTGTCGTTCATTTTTCAGGGTCTCTGCGAGGATTTGAGCACGTCAAAGAAACTCTGGTAGTACAATATCCCAATATGAATAGACATACTTCATATGTTGACATGGACTTATCGACTTTTTTTCTAAATGAAATATATATTTTCCTGTCGACGATGGATTCTGTACATAACTTACATAGTCTTGACGAAATCTCTGTAGTTTTATATGTACAAAATATTTTCTATCTTTCTAATGAGGCCATTCAATAGTGTGTGTGTGTGTGTGTTTCACAGTGAGTATAATAACAAGGAACTCTATTCCTTTGTTTAAACAGAAAGAGAGAATTAAGGCAAAGGGCCCACACAATTATATCAGTAACCAGAAACCAAGCATCAATCTATACACATCCAGCTTTGAGTTTAAACAACGCAAAGAGGATTAATGAATTATTCGGTCGAGCTATCAACAAAAACATTGTTACGGTACTGTGTGAACATATTCTCTGCACCTCGATGATCGAATATTCATCCAATATCCAGTCAAAACAACCTTCATAATCTGGTTACACCAATAACAAGAAATAAATAGATTTTTTGAACGTGTTTTTACAATAATGCCCTGGCCATAAGCACGACACTTCCACAAATTTCACCAATAACGGCTCCCTTTTTAACCTCGGAGTGAAGCTCGAGGGACAGCCGGTAAACCTAGTTCGTCCTCAGCCTGTGAAACATCAAAATCAATTATTACATACAGTTTGACAAAACCCAAGACAAAATATTCATGAGTACTACAGCACTAAAAAGTTCAACTCCAAAAAACGAGGTGACACCTTTTAACATCTAACGCCAGAATAGGGGGGGTATGAAAATTGGTACACAAGACTTCCACATTACAAAAAGGCCATAGGCAATTATATCTTCTGGGCTATTATGATTTTTTCAGGCATATGAAAAGGAGTGATATACACATAGGCAGTGCATCTGGAAAAAAAGAAAACGAAAATTGAAGTTGTTTACCCTAGAACAATTGTATTACCTGTGCATTTGTTCTTCCCGGAGCACTTCCACTTGGTGCTGATGGCAAGTTAAGTTCTGAGTCTAAATCAGAGTCCCTATCAGGTTGAAGATAGGAAGGTACTCCATCTCCTTCGGTTTCAAACCCCATGTCTGCTTCCAAAGCATCAAGCTCTGCATAGTAGAACCCAAAAAAAAAATCAACTTAAGTATACTGATGTACAAATGAATCACAAGAAGACAGCTATCTGCCTGGAACAAATAACGGAAACAATCAACAAAAAGAGTTAGGTTATCAATTCTAACTCTGGCAGCTCATCATTTTCTGTAACTAGTCAAATTGGTGGCGTCGTGGCACTAATAAGAGGAAAAGGCTGACGGGATTTTCATAATCTCATATAAACACACTAGAAGAAAACTATATTTTCCCATGTAACAAAAGGAATAAAAAAAGATAACATTTTTGATAATGTCTAGTGGCACTATGATACATGTTGTACTTGGGTGTAATCTTACCACCCATGAGGTCATCCTCGTCAATGTCGTCGGGAACATTATAGCTTCTACCAAGAGACTCTTGGATTTCATTGCTCACATCCATGAGGTCCAGCATCTCGTCTTGTAGATTCTACAAAGATCAAGTCCAGTGGTCAATATAAGAACAGTATTGAAGAAAACATCCTTCATCACAGAAGAGAAAAAGTCAGAAATGAGATACACACATCAATGTCTTGAATTTTCACAGTCTTCATCATTCCCTTAAGCTCTTTGTTTGCTGACTTCAATGCTGTCATCTGAACATAATGCGAGCAGAATTAGTTACATACAGAATAACTAAAGCCATAAAAGCATATGAGTTTCTAAATGCGAAACCAAGCAGGCCACAAACTATGAATATTTAGAAACAAACAGCACCCAATAATTCACTAGTCATCCTTAAGATGCTCTTATCCATTTCCAATCAATAGATCAGAAAATTTCAACCTTAATTATTTTAAATCTTCACTGAAAGAAAAGAAATAAAGGCAAAGAAATAAATTATCTAGAAAGAAGTCATTCATCTTGGAATAAAAAGCATATAGAGGATCTTAATACATACTGTTTGTTGAGCATCTTTAATTCCTTCAGCAGCAAATGCAACTTGATCCAGGTTGAATGTCTGATTATAGAGCATGTCACGCTGACCTTCATACCTAACAATTCAAGAAAAATGAGTATGTCATTTATAGGTAAAGTTATGTCATATATAGATATTAAAATGTGCCTTTATCGAGCAGTGGTAATAGTGCATCATGAAATTCTATCTGAATGCAAAGTGACCATGAATCAAAGTGTCAAAATGAATATCATCCATGCAATCATTATTCCTATGAGTTACCAAATTGTCTACGTGGATCAAATGTGAGAAAGATCCAATGACAAAGATGATTTAGCTTACATTCTTTTTTGCTTAAGAACCCTCATCGCCCTAGCTTTCACAGCTTCTTGTGCTGGACCAGGTCTGGTCTTCTTGATCTGCTCTTTGTAGCGTGCAAGCTCAGCATCAAGTCTTTTTATCTTGTCATCCACACTTTCACCCCTTTTATTGATCTGAAACGAAATTTTCTTGCAGATCAGTTCTAAAAATTCAAATGAATAAACATAAACACAAACAAGGGCTAATGACAAATATTTTAGAAACAGAATATTTCAAGGACACGGAAACATAAGAAACCAACCACGCAACCATTTCAAAAGCATATCAGTAAAGACAGATACGAACACTCTAGGATACAAATAATTCTTCATGCACACAAATTCTACCCCTCCAACCATGGAGGATTTGATGCACGTTCCTTCTAAAAAAAATTGCCTACAACACACACACACACACCCTTAATGGTACTTCCTTATAGCAATTATGAATCAAATTACTTATAAAGTCATAAATTCCGATGGATATGCCTTTTTTGGAATCAGATGCACCCGTAATACATAGTCCAACAGAATGCACAAGAAGCCAACAGAAATTATCTGAGGATCTAACCCCTGACAGGTATCAGCAGCACCTAAAATCCCAAATTCTCTAAATCGAAAATCGAACCACATAAATCACCAAAATCCTATTTTTTTCAAAGCAATGAAGGAGAAAACAATCATAGAATGGACTTAAAAATACCCTATATCAGCAGATTCATATCCACACACAACAATATGCTCATCAACCAAAAGCGGCAAACGAACTAATCCAATTAACGATAAAAAATTGCAAAAGTAAAAACAATTAAAGGCGACGAAAACTAAAATTCGATTGGTAGAGAATTTCATACCCGATCAGATGCATCTTGAACGGACGGAGGGGGTTCTTTGTCTTTCTTCACTCCAAACACCCTCCTCATTGTTGCTGCTGCTGCTGCTTTTCTACAGATTTTGCAGTGAAAATTAGGGTTTCAAAAATTGATCAGAATTTTTTTTTTTCAAACGCGTAAATTTTGCGAGGAGAATATTTGTTTTGAAGTTATCTGGTTAGAGAGAGAAACAATGATATGAATTGCAACTATTTGACTTATTAATTTGAGAAGGAATTTAGGAAAAGTTCTTAGAGAAAGTTTCTAAGTAAAATACTGCAATTTGATTGACAATTTCTCGGAAGAACGTACGCTCGGCCCCGTATATATACGAACCCTTTCTCGGGTCGGGTTGCGGGTCGACTCAACTCAAGTCAACCATAGTGTAGTACGATTCGGTTTTGTCCGTAAAAACTCAATTACTTAGGCCTCGTTTAATTGCTACTATTAGACTAGGTTAACTAAATAATAGGAGTTGGTAAGATTTGATATTATCCAAGTCCGCAATTAAATGTCATATCTTCACGAAGAGACTTTATGAACAATTTATATATAAGGGTAAATTACAATCACCCTGAGTTATGGTCAAATTACGAAAAACCTCCTTGTGTTTGGATAATTACAACCACCCATAATTCCTCAAATTTAGTGGAATCTTCGAGATTATATGGAATGTTAAACATTTTTGTACCCATTTTATCTCATTCGAACTCTACATTTTGAAGTAAGATGATCATAATATATGTTTTTTGGCTCGTATATATCAGATTGTGGTGCATCAGAAACTGTATTTTTACACAAAACGAGTACAAACTAGAGCACATTTCACGAAATCTAGATGATTATGTTGAATTTGACACCATAAAGGTGGAGGTGTAAGAAAAAATCATAGATGGAGGGTTGATGTAATTATCTAAACAAGAGGGGTTTTTTAGTAAAATTGACCATACCTCAGGAGTGGTTGTAACTTTCCCATTTATATATAATAACAAATTTGTACAAGATGTAATCTAAATACTTAATTAATCAATACAATATTCGATAGTAGATTCATGGAATCATACAATCACATTGTTGTTGTCAAATCGAGTCGAATTGTTCATTCATACAATGGATTTCAAAGAAAGATAAACTCTCATTTGAAACAATTTTCAATCCATTCGTTTCAAACCCGTCAATCGGAACCTAAAAAAAATCGAAAGAGAAATTTCAAATAACTCCACACAAAACGGATTTCAAATCCACAACAATAACTCAAAATACAATTTCAAATACATCGTAGAACACCACCACCACAACAAATTCAGCCAAACAAGCCTCATCGATTCGTGAACACAAATTTCGACGCGAACGGAGTTTTTTTTTTCTTTAGGTATAAGAATACAACACACAGAATAATCCAAGCACAAAGCGAATATCTTGTTGGTTTACGAAAGGGTAGATTTGAGGCCGAGAGCCTTCCTCGTTTTTCCGACAAACAAATCGCCCGATTTCAAAATGCCAGGTATGCGCCCGACAATAGTCAAACACATAATTTGAGCCAATCCCTCTTTTCTTCCAAGTGAAACGACCGCCATTGCGGGACCCGCCTTGTAACTATACATCTTCTTCTCGCTTTCTCCCTTTATCAACAACTTCAAGTTCTTTGCCGCCAATGAAGCGTGCGCTTGAGCCAAATATCCTTGTTTTATTTCCTACCACATCAAAATTAAAAATTAAGAAAACAATAAAAAATAAATAAAAAGGAGAGGGAGAAGAAAAACGTTCAACTAGAGATTACAAGGTACAACAATAATCGACTTCTTATCATAATAAAGTAACGAATAGGATAAAATGCACTTCACCCCTATAAATTTCCCAATTTCGTAATTTCCCCCCTAAAAATTAAATAAAGAGCCGACCCCACTTTATAATATTGCTCCGGTTGACTTGCCCCATAATCCAATTTTTGGTAGGCAACGTGCCATAAAAATAACATTTGCAACAAAAAGAACATTTTAAAGGGGCAACATGCAGCCAAAACACTCCATTCCGGTGAATAAACCATCGGAATTCGGCTATCGGGTCAACCCGCAACAGAAAAAAAACATTTTTTGAAGGGGGGCACTCCCTTATTTTATTTTTTGAGGGGGGAAATGCGATAATAATAATTTATAGGGGATGAAGAGCAATTTGTCCTAACTATTATTTCTAGTGGTGAAGCCATAATGTTATCTTCCGGGGGAGCAAATATACACTATAGACTTCTAGAGGGGCGGCAAATAACAAATCTCTATATAAAATACTTGATCATTTTTATAAGTGGTGGTGGGGGCAAATATACACTATATACACTATATACACTATAGACTTCTATGTTGGCTTTGCCACTATTGATTATGCACATACACGAAGTAAAAGGAATTTTTTTAAGTAAATCGAGCATGTCGAGAACCAAATTAAGTAAAAAACTCTTAGTTTTTTTCCCTTTCCGGCTTCATTTACGATTTTTATTCTTCTCAACTACGGTTATTACAACTTCTTCATAAGTATTTTCATGTACTTAAGTAAATCGATCGATAGCCACTCCTAGTATATAGTAGGACCAAATGATTGAGTAGGAAACCAATCAATTTCTCCTTTTTATAAAATATCGACATTTTTTTGCATATTATGCAGAATTTACGAACCCGATTACCATAAATAGAGAAGATGACTTACAGGAATATCGGTGATATCTCCAATAGCAAAGATGTTACTATAACCCTTGACCCTTAATTTTGCATCAACCATTAACCTTCCGTGAATATCCAAACTCTCTCCCAAAAATGTTTCCTTTAACCACGATGAACCGGTTCGACTGCCGGTGCAGAGGAAATAGCAATCGGCTGTAATTTTCTCCCCACCTGATGTCTCGTAAACACCGTTCGACGCAGAAGTCAAGTCAACAGACTGTTCCATGATGACTTCAACCTTCTTCGAAGTCAACCAATCGAGCGCCTTTTTGCTGGCCTTTTCTCCGATAAATTCCATTAACCTCGATCCACGGTGCACCAGTGTTACCTTCTTGTCAGGAAAGTCAACAACAATTTCAGCAGCTAGTTCTACGCCTGTGGGCCCGCCTCCAACGATTAAAATTGAATCTGCCGATTTTATTTTTTCCTGCTCTGCAAGCCATGAACAAATAAAACACGAAATCTGCGTTATCGAAATAAAGACTCTATTTAAAAACGCAGGCGGATACACAATGAATATAAACGAACCAATGCAACTCCAAATTTTTCTTCCGAATTCGTAAAATTGGGCTTTGAAATGAAAACCAACAACTGCAGTTCTGTTGTTGTTCATATTAAAGTAGAACATCGATAAATTAATAATCTCGATTAAATAATAGTTTCTCTCGGTCCCAACTCGGTGAAAACGTGTTAAATTATTAACTCGATAACTTAATAATTCGCTAAATTAATAGAATTTCCTTAATCCGACTGCATTAATTTATAGAGGTTTATCGGTAATCTGTTTTTTTACCTGCTTTGTAGTAACTTAGCTTCTCGGTTTTCGAAAATGCACCGGCGCTCACATGCCCGGTGGCGATGACGAGATAATCGTACGCAATTACGCGTCCTTGTGCGGTCACAACTTCGGTTTCGGTGATGCTCGTTGCATCGGATGTAACAATGTGAGCATTCGGAAGGTAGTCCGAGTGATTGATCACTGTTCTTTCCGCAAACGATGGTTCCACCATTGATCTCAAGTTTGTCCAGGGGATCTCAAAATATTCCTTCCTGCCATTCATTTTGATAATAATAATAATAACAATTAATAAAAAATTAAAATTAATAACAGAAATAATTAAAGATGAATGAGAGCTTACGAATCAATGAGAAAAACATCTGTATGGTTTTGAAGGGTTTTGGCGATGAGAGAGCCGGCAACTCCGCCGCCGACAACCACCACCCTCTTCTTTTCTCCGATCAATTTCTCCATTCCCCACCTATTAAATTAAACAAATATTGCGAATCCTTTTTCTACTTCCCCAAAAATATCGGAAAAAAAAATTAAAAAAAAAAAATTGATTGGGTAAACAAAAATCCTCGATCTTTGAAGCAGAATCAAAGCAATGTAGATGATCAAAACAGGAAACAACGAAAATCCCCCACGTTCAATCAACTTTAACAGCACGGCAGAAGAAGAATAAATTCCCCCAATCTGTATTGTTTAAAAGGCGAAGAAAAAGTAGGGAAAATCAAAAGGGGAAAAATGGTGATTAACGAATTTCGTCGCGGATTTATCGGGAATTGGGGAATAAAAAAAAATTGCATGTGGGGAATCAACCAAGCAATCTCTTCGGAACTGGCAGCTGAGATTTTGACTTTGGTTTTTAATGCAGGAAGAACATCGGACAGCGGGTGATTGATAAATTTAGGGTAAACTACATTTTTATCCCTCAATTGTGTAGTTATTCCATATTTGACCTCTTATGTTTATAAAATTACACATTTGGGCCCTCATATTTTAATAATTTGACACTATTGGTCATTTCGTCAATTACAGTTAGTCCGTCAGTTAAGAAGGTGATGTACACGTGCTTGATTTCGTTAGTACTAAGGAAAATTTTATGAAAATGACTAAAAATAATGAATTTCTAAAATATGAAGGTTAAATGTATTTATTTTGAACATGATGGACCAAATGTTGTGATTAGTGGAAACTTAAGGGACGAAAGTTGTATTTGTCCTGATTAACCATGCTAGATAATGTGGGGGTCATTTGGTACTATTTTTATTTTTTTTAGTATTTTTTAAAGTTTATTTGTTTATTTATTTATTTTTTTTTTGATCGAGATGTGTGAAAGAGGAGGAAAATAATGATTTAGATTAAAGAATTAACATATTTTATTTAAATAAATAAACCACCACCAATAATTTGTTTGGATGCAATTTGGCCATACTGTCAGGGGTACAGTGGTCTTCTTAGGTTTTTCTGTTAATGGAATTGAGGGAATCTGTGTGCTGTACTGCTATTTAATGAAATTTACCCAAAAAAAGAAAAAAAACCAATTTGCCGAAACATAGCGAGTTAAAGCGACGCGCCGACGCGTAAGACTGAAAGCAAGTTTTCACGGAGGAGACCGGCTGAGATTCGACGCGCGGTCAGTAGATTTGAAGAAAACCGGCTATGGAGGGATTGAAATTGGAGCAGAGGCACGGGAAAGCTAGGGTCAGAGTTGGTAGAGTGTGGAGGGAAGCGAATGGACGCCATCTATTCGTCGAATGGAACGTCAGCATCAGCCTTCTCTCCGATTGCCTCGCCGCCTACACACGCGCCGACAACTCCGATATCGTCGCCACCGATACCATGAAAAACACGGTAATCGGATTTTTATTTTTTTGTGTGGGTGAATTTTATTCGAGGGTTTCTATTGAACTGATTTCATTAAATACAATATTTTAGTTGTTTTATACTGAAATTGGATGTGAAATTGGATGTGGTCAGTGGCCGGATCTAGCTATGGTCTAGATTGTAAATAAATAGAACTGTTATACATAAGTTCGGCAGTTGGTTGAGGTGGTAAACTTATGCCTCCTTTTTTTAATAGGTCCCGGTTCTAAACCCTACCCTCGCAATAATGATTTTTCTTTTGAAATCTTAACATTTTGTCCACTATTTTATACCCTACCTGATTTTTCTTTTGAAATCTTAACATTTTGTCCACTATTTTTATAAAGTGATATTTAATTTTGTTATTCTACAATTTCGAACCCCCTTGTCACTGGATGTGGTACAGGTATACGTAAAAGCGAAAGAATGTAAGCAGCCGATTTCGGTGGAGGACTTCGCCATTGTACTTGGGAAGCACTTCACATCGTTTTATCCGCAGGTAATAGCTTAAACAATTATGCTGCAAATGCATTTGAATGCTCTACTATACCATAGTTTTATGAACTTATGATTGAAGCTTAGAGCTTTTGAACTCTGTGATTGAGTTGAAATCAAGCTTAATTTTTGATTGTATGATAGCTGACACTAATAAGAATTTTATTAAAAGTTAACGATTTAACGGTAATATTTTGAAATGCATTGAAATTGTGATGTTGTGCACTATATATTTCTCCATGTTACTCGTAGCTTGAGGATTGGACAACTTTGACCTCGTTATATTTTTTTTATAGGTATCTAGTGCTATAATCAACATAGTTGAGAAGCCGTGGGAGCGGATTTACATAGATGGTCAACCTCATCGACATGGTTAGTTGCTTTAGGACAGTATCTTATATATGTCTGCATTTTTTCCTAAGTGAGTTTCACGACGAAACTGCTAAACTGTGTCTCTTGGTATCCCTTTTTTCTGTAGCTATTAACGTTGTTTCATAAATTTCTCTCTCTCTCTCTCTCTCTCTCTCTCTCTCTCTCTCTCTCTAGGTTTCAAGCTCGGATCTGAGAAACACACAACTGAAGTCATCGTAAAGAAGTCCGGCTCCCTGCAGGTTATTTCTGGTATTGAAGGTTTGGCGGTGCTGAAGACAACCCAAGTGAGTTAACACAAAATTCAGATCATTTTTCTTTAACCGTGTATCATCTTTGCCAGAGCTTCATTCTTTGTTTTGTACGATGGAGATATATAGTATTTTATTCTAGATTTCTCTGCATATTCTCATTAGCCTCGGTAAATTTGGGGCTTGGCATCATGTCAAATGGCAACTTACTCGATAGTAATCAGAGTGATAAGTCCCATCGAATTTTCTGTTTTCTTGATGTTGAGCATCTCAATAATTTCTCAAAAACCTCGAAATTTTGCAGCTTTGCGCATTTAAACAAGTCCTATATGGTCACTATTCTTTCCAACTTTCCGTTTTAGGAGTAAAGTCCTATATGTTGATCTTTTCGATAGCCTTAGCATGTTTTACTCTATCCAGATTCAGTATTATAATGTTTCGGATCTTTAGTTGCTGCTGTTTGTTTCTACCATAGACACATTAGTCCGTGCTTGTTATTCGGTAGTGTTTGTTTCTCACATTAGATTTACATAATTGCAGTCGGGTTTTGAAGGATTCATAAGGGACAAGTATACAATATTGCCCGAAACACGAGAGAGGATGCTGGCAACAGAAATCTCTGCGTCTTGGAGGTACATTTCCGTATGTTGGTTTCCTTGCAGTAAAGCATGTAGTAATTATGGAATGGGTAGAGAAAATTGTATTTATGGAAATTGACTTGCAATCTTATATGATCACGTTTCTGTGTTATGTAGTATACAGTATGTAATCTGTTTCTCCTAAGATTAGTTTTTTGATGTAAAGGTACCCTTTTGAGAATCTTGCAAGCGTCCCTGCAAAACAATCTTACTTCATGGAGAAATATACGGATGTAAAAAAGGTTTTACTCGACACTTTCTTTGGCCCTACTAAAGAAGGAGTCTACAGCCCATCTGTTCAAAGTACTCTCTATTATATGGCAAAGGCCGTACTTGCCAGGTTATCTTCTGCGTGTGGTGTACCTTTGCTTACTATGGATTATGTGGTACGATTTATTGACTCTTTGCTATGATTATTTCAGGGTTTCTGATGTATCGTCGGTTAAGTTGAAAATGCCGAATATTCACTTTCTACCAGTCAACTTATCGAGCAAAGATAATCCTGTAATTGTTAAGGTATGTTTTCTTTTTCTTTTCTTTTTTGAGAAAGACGCATTAGTTACTTACTCATAGGGTGCATATATCTTATGCTGCATCACATTTTATGATGATTGTTACAGTTTGAGGATGATGTTTTTTTACCGACGGACGAACCACATGGATCGATCGAGGCCACCCTGAGTCGCATACAGTCCAAGATTTGAAATGCACTGCCTGAGCAGATTTACGTAGTTCATTGTCTGGGAATAAATTAAATCCTTTTTTCTTTGTAATAAGTTTGCCATGTGTTTTTCAACCTCTTCGGTGTTTCGATCAAGTAGTTTAACTCTCAGTGTAACCTTCTTCCAACCTTTTGTATTTACTGTACATACTTTTGTGAATGTACATTTCATTTTCTCAGTGTAACCCTTCGTCTAACCTTTTAACTCACGTTTTATAACCAACATAAACTGCAAACCTCTGCTGCAATAATCAACACAGAACATTAATGTTGCAATAACCAAACATAGAAATACCCTTTGAGCAATCATTCTCACAAAATTGGTTGTCCAAAAATGTTATTCGTCGTCGCGATTTATTTAGCTAACAAGTTTCGGTGAAGTACTTTGGAGCATCATTGTAAACGTAGACGAATCTTGCGAGAATCCTTTAGCACTCATTTGCTCAAGAAATGTAACTGCACCATCAAATTCGCCGCTCTTTAGATATCCCTGCACAATAATATTGTACGTAACACAATCCGGCAACAAACCCGCTCGTTCCATCTTCAAGAAAAGATCTTTAGCTTCATCGAGTAGCCCGTTTTGACAACATCCATTTATCAAGATATTGTAGGTCACCACATTAGGCTCCAATCCTATACAAGGGAGCTCACTAAAAGTAGCTCGAGCTTGATCGAGTCTATTAGCTTTGCACAGTCCGTCCATTATAATACTGTAGTAAGAAATATGCCGATTTTCTCCTTTCCGCTTCAGTTCATCAAACAACGACAATGCTTCTTCAACACGGTCGTTCTTACACAATCCATCCAATAAAACACAGTAAGTATGGAAGTTAGGTTTAAGCCCAACACCTCGTAACTCGTCAAAAAGCTCCAGCGCTGAAGAAAACCTGCCGCTAAGAAACAGCCCCTGCAACAGACTGCTATACGTAACCAAATTAGGGTTCAACCCTTTAACGGGCATCGCGCGAAAGAGATGCACTGCATTATCTATCATCACATCTGGGTATGTTTTACAGTAGCCACAAATCAAAGCACTGCAAGTGACAACATCCGGTGCGATGCCTCTCTCGGACATTCGATCGAACACGTTCAAGGCGGAATCCATCATTCTGTCCTTACACAAGGCATCGATCACCATCGTGTAAGCATTGATGTTGGGCTTACAGCTCCCTTCTTCCATCACTCCGAGCAGTTCAACGGCCAATTTAGTATTACCGGACTTGCAAAGTCCATCGATCACGGTCCCGTAAATAATCACATCTAGATCACACAGTTCTTCTCTCACAATCTTCGTAAACAATTCCTGCGCCTCGGCAACCTTCTTCTCTCGAAACAAACCCTTCAGTAAAGTATTGAAGGTGACAACAGTCGGAACAGAGCCGCGCTTGAAGAACAAAGCCAGAATCGAAAACCCGCAATCGGCCCGGTTAGAAAGGCAATAACTGTTGATAGCAACGTTCATAGTGTACTCATCGACTGAAACCCCCAAATTGCAGATATCCTTGAACAGTAAAATGGATGCTGAATACTCTTTCAGATTCACCAAACGCGAAAGCAGCTGAGTAAATTGCTTGAATGAAGGAAAAGGCCTTGCTTTTGTCATTTTTTCAAACAAACGAAGAGCATCGTCCAACCCATTGATATTTCCCAGGTCGAGCTTCGTTTTCTCACGGGAATTGCAATTTGCAGTAGATTTCGTAACCAAGTAACGGAAGACGGAGAGAAAATGAAGTGGGCTGCTTCGCCTGAATAAATTGAAATTACCTGATTGGTGGAAAATGGGAGAAGAAATCAGAACCCTTGTTTTCATCTCACGCAGTACACCGAACAGAAGTTGCAGAACGAAAAAACAATGGTGGGACTGAATTGAGAGAAAACGAAGTTGGGAGTTGGAGCGGGAAATTGTTACAATCAAAAGCCCCTTCTTCTTTATGCTTTACTATTTTAGGGTAAATGGCACTTTACACCCTCAAATTAGGCCAGTTCGACACTTTGCACCCTAAAATTATAACAAATAGCACTTTTAACCTAAAAAATTCCCTATAGACTAAAGTGAACTAAAATATAAAATATCAATTGCTATGAAGATGTTACAAAACCTGAGTCAAACTTATGGGTAAATTACACATACAACGTCAATGCAAGGTAAAATAACTTTAAGGTTCTTGTAGTATTGTTAATTACAATCATAGTTCTGAAACAATTACCGGAGCCAAGATTTCATGAAACTAATAGTCCGTTAAAACACTAACGGAATAACTTATCCAATGCATTATTTCGTTAGGGTTTCTAATGATGTTTTAGGGGTGATTGCAATTACCGATACTACAGGGACCTTAAAGTTATTTTAGCATACCTCAGGGGTGTAGGTGTAATTTAACCCAAACTTACTGGTTTCTTGATATGCAAAAACTGTACATGATCAAGAAAAGGATTGGAGGGTCACTCTTACCGAAATTATTATATGCCTTTGTCTTGAACCATCAGCATTAATGCATCACAGCATCAAAAAGAGCTTCACAATGAACAAGTACTCACTTGCTCTCATGCATCTTCAGTCTTCACTATTCACCACGGATTTCCTCACAGTACATGTACGAGTTTCTCGATAGCTTAGCGAATAATCAAGCTTTTGCAAGACATCCGTAGTGCATTCTCCATCCTTGTGACGTGCTTTTAATTTAACACGGAGTATCCTTCCAGATACCGCAAACTGTTTCTCGAATATACCGTCAACAGCTGCAGAGAAAGTTAAATTCACCGGGATTGTTTAACCTCTACGAATAGTGTTATTTAGTTTCTGGTTTCAATAAACGAAGCCAACACCTTCATAAACAACCGCTGTCCCGATTGTTTAACCTCATCTTTTCGCATGATTGACTAAAGAATTCTTTGGAGCCAATATATGAATCATTTTTAGAACAGCAGGATTTTGTTCCTTTGTCCCGACTAAATGAAGCAACGAAGAAAACACACATGTGTCTGGAGAGAATCCTTTCGCGTCCATTTCCTCGAAAAACCTCGCAGCATCATCGTATTTGCCCCTCTTTAGATTTCCATGAACAATAAAATTGTAGGTGACCGCATTGGGCAACACACTATCTTGTTCCATCATCGAAAAAAGTTCTTTAGCTTCCTCAAGTAGCCCGTTTAGACAGCATCCTTTAATCAAGATATTGTACGTCACCACATCTGGTTCCAATCCTTTAGACGGGAGATCGTTAAAAACAGCTCGAGCTTTATCGAGATCTTTAGCTTTGCATAATCCATCGATGACGATACTGTAGTAAGCCGTATGAAGATCTTCTCCTTTGTGCTCCAATTCGTCCAACACCAAAAACGCTTGTTCGACTAGCTTGTTCTTACACAGTCCATCCAACAATATACAGTAAGTATGGGAGTCCGGTTTTAGCCCAACAGCTCGCAATTCATCAAAAAGCTTCAGTGCAGAAGAACATCTGTCACCACGAAAAAGCCCATGCAACAGAGTACTATAAGAAATCAAATTAGGAACGAACCCTTTACGCGGCATCTCACGAAAGACGTCCACTGCATCATCTATCATCATTTTCTTACAATATCCATTGATTAAGATGTTGAAGCTGTGAAGATTAGGAGAGATTTTCTTGCTAACCATGGATTCTAAAAGCTTCCTAGCTTCATCGACACGCCCCTGCAGAAAAAATCCATCCATCAATGCATTGTGACATATTACATTAGGAGCCACATTCTTTCGCACCATGATGTCGAACACGTTTTCCGCTTCATCCACCAATCCTTGCTTGCTTAAAGCATCGATAATCGCACTGAATGTAATCACATTTGGATATACTTTGCAAACCAACATCTCCTTATATAACATCTTAACCCGTTCCCACCGATTCAAACTACACAAGCCACAAACCAAAGCATTGTAAGTGACGATATTAGGCGCGATGCCTCTTTCAGACATTTCATCGAATAGCTTCAAGGCGGAATCCACCATTCGGTCCTTGCACAAGCAATCGATAACCATTGTATATACGTGCGTGTTTGGCTTACAACTTCCCGTTTCCATTACTCTGAGGAGTTCAATAGCCACCGCGGTATTACCAGATTTGCAGAGCCCGTCGATCACAGTGCCATACATAACTACATTCAGCTCACACAGCTCTTCTCTTACAATCTTCCTAAACAATTCCTGCGCCTCGCCAATCCTATTTTCTCGAAACAAACCCTTCAACAAGGTGCCAAATGTGATCGCATTGGGTGCCGAACCGCGCTTGAAGAACGTCGACAGAACTGCAAACCCTAAATTAACCCGATCGGAGAGACAACAACTGTTGATAGCAATACCCAGAGTATATTCATTCGTCGGAATCCCCACATTGCACATGTGTTTGAAAATGGATATGGCCGTTGAATACTCTTTCAGATTGACTACAGACGAAAGCAGTTTATTGAACTGCTTCACATTGGGAAAGGGCTTCGTTTTCGACATATTCTCGTACAGAAACAGAGCATCGCTCAATCCATTGATATTTCGCAGATGAATTTCAATTTTGCCGCCAGAATTGCAATTTGCAGCGGATTCTGTACGCAAACAACGAATGGCGGAGAAAATTTTATGAGAGAGAAAATGGAATTTACCTGATTTATAACGTTTTGGGGAAGAAGATGGAATCTTCATTTTCTTACGGTGTAGGATTTCAGTCGGGAGCAATTAGTTGAGATCTTAACTAATTATTGTGCACGGAAATAAATAATAATAACTTAATTAGAAGTGATGTAAGGAAATGTTAATATAAAAATTAAAAATCTTTTATTGAAATATAAATAATCAATTATGTTTTCGATTTGAATTGATCCATCATCGACTGTTGGTAAGTGGATTCGAATTCGGGTCAAATAACACAAATTCATTTGTTCCAATTGCTAGGCCGCCTCCTGCAGATTAATCAGAGTAAATTGTTGAATGTTGATTATGGTGTCTACCACTTGTGTGTCGAAATTTTTTCGATTTTGAACCAATTTGGTTTTATTCTATTTTTGAAAATTTGTATTCCAATTTTTTCGAATTATATTCGATTATAATTAAAAACTATACATGAAATCGTTGGAAAATTGATTTTCGATCGGACTTTCATTTCCAAAAATTATGTTTGTACAATAACATTATATATTGATATATTGCATTTTAAATATAATTTTTGCAAAAATATATGTAATGTTAAAGTAATAAAATAACATAATAAATAGCATTTTCTTATTTAACTTTGATATGATTGGAGTGAATAAATGATACTTTCTTAAAAAAAAATAAAAAAAAAATAGAAGTTTGCCAATTGTTTGATATTTGAACATTTATTAAAGTGTTAGGTGTGGATGCAGAATGCCAAAACACTAACATTTGAGGGAGCAAAAATAATAAATAGTTTGATAAAAGGGGTCAATAATGTATTTGATCATAAAATAGGTCCAAAAACGAGAAGAAACTGGAATCCGTTTCTGATTTTCTTCTTCTTCTCCTCCACATCTCCCACCAGAAATTCCCTAATTACAGTCCCCCTCTCTCTCTCTTCTTTCTCTCTCTAGAATGGATAGAGATGAAAACCGGAAACCGAATAAACCAATTTACCTTTTCCCCATCTTAATTCTCTTCTTAGCCGTCTCATTCACCATAATTACCAGAACAAACCTCTGCAGAATTTACCTCCTAAAATCAACTTTTCTTCATCGCCCTAATTTCTTTCAATCTCTCTCAAAATTTCTACATTCAAATCCAAATCCAAATCCAATCCCTAAACAGAACGAAATCGCCGAACCCAATTATTGTGTTTTATGGATGGCCCCTTTCCTCTCAGGCGGCGGCTACAGCTCAGAAGCCTGGTCCTACATCCTAGCCCTAAACAGTCACAACAAGAAGCAAAAGAATCCATTTTTCAAACTGAGCATCGACCACCACGGCGATCAAGAAAACGTCGAATTTTGGGAGGGTTTGCCCCAGGAAATGAGAGACCTAGCTATTGAGCTTCACAATACTGAATGCAGATTGAATCAGACGGTTGTGGTTTGTCACAGTGAGCCAGGGGGTTGGTACCCCCCTTTGTTTCAAACCCATCCTTGCCCGCCTGCCGGTTACGGTCTGTTTAAGGTTGTCGTCGGGAGAACTATGTTCGAAACCGATAGGGTGAATTCGGAACACGTTAATCGGTGTAATAAGATGGATTACGTTTGGGTTCCGACCGATTTTCATGTTGATACATTTACGCAGAGTGGGGTGGACCCCACGAAGATTAGGAAGATCGTCCAGCCCGTGGATTCGGATTTTTTCGACCCGTTTAGGGTTGACCCGATGGACTTGGATCCACTAGGTAGTCTAGTGTTGGGATCGAAAGGATCCGATTCCAGAAAACCGTTTGTTTTCTTGAGTGTGTTCAAGTGGGAGTATAGGAAGGGGTGGGATGTGTTGTTGAGGGCTTACTTGAAGGAATATTCCAGCGGCGATGACGTGGCGTTGTATCTGTTGACAAACGCTTATCACTCGGAGAATGATTTCTCTAACAACATTGTTGACTTTGTGGAGAGTAGTGATATGGAGAAACCTAGTGACGGTTGGGCGAAGATATACGTGATTGACCAACACGTACCTCAAGTTGATTTGCCGAGGTTGTATTTGGCGGCTGATGCGTTTGTTTTGCCGACTAGAGGGGAGGGGTGGGGGCGGCCGATTGTGGAGGCAATGGCCATGTCGTTGCCGGTGATTGCCACGAATTGGTCTGGGCCCACCGAGTATCTGACGGAGGAGAATAGCTATCCGATACCTATTGTGGGGGTGAGTGAAGTGGAACAAGGGCCTTTTAAGGGGCATTTGTGGGCGGAGCCTTGTGTTGACCAGCTTCGAATTCTGATGAGGCGTGTGGTGATGAATCGAGATGAAGCTAGAGCTAAAGGAGCAAAGGCTAGGCTTGATATGGTGAGAAGGTTCTCCCCTGAGATTGTTGCGGAGGGCATTATCGACCATTTACAAGGAATTGTTGACGTTTTTCATTGACTTTTTTTTTTTTTTCGCTTCCTTTTTGTATAATTGATGAAAGCAGAAAATCATTCCAAGCAGTAAGCAAATTTCAAACACCATGCAGATATCCATATAAAAGAAATGGAAGTTGGTATAGATTAATCAGCTCAAGATTATAAAAATAGATAATTGCAAGAATTGATCGGTTTTAGAGGTGCAACTTTCGTCAACGATGGCAATACTGCTAGGAGCATTAACATCTAAAGAAGGGCATGACGACGCTCCCTGTACGAATCAATTTAAGGGATTTATGTCACTAATGCAAATATAAATTGCTAAGACCTTACTGAAACAGCAGAAACAGTAGTCGGTTATTGGCCGTAAATTCGATAGTCTTACTGAAGATATGGAGAGAAAACTTTCAAAACTTCATCGTACACTGGCTTCTTGAATTCCACCGCCTGAAAATGAAAAATCGAGAGAGCGTTGAATTTCAGTCACAACATAACGACAAAGAAATTCTCACATTTTTCTAAGTTTTAAATTTTTATTTGGAAAGAAAACTGACACGATCGACTACTTCTTGAGGTGACAACCACGACCATTGTCCAAACTCAGCCTTTTCAGTCCCGTCTCCTAAAAGATTGACTTCTTCTTCCTTTCCGGTGAATTTCAAAAGAAACCTGTGGTTATGAACATCATATCAAACGGGTCGAGATTATTTGGTCAAACCCCGAATCTGAAAGTATCTTTCGGTGACGTATGAAAGTGCTAACCATTTTTGTGCTTGACCTTTCCAGTCTGAACCCCATTGCTTATTGAGTTTTTCCCTTACATGTGGTGGGAAGTCATACGTCAACCAATACGGCACCTGCAGATAAGAATCATGTGAGATATAAAACACAATAATGCATGTGTGCAGTCACATAATAGAATATATCTCTGTTAACTTTCGGTGAAACGAAAAATAGAAAATCCCGACTACCATCGCATCTACATTATGATAGAAACTAATTTGCTAAAGCTCAACACATGTACTGTTGTCATAAAACACAAGTCTGAGCAACATACGGCAAGTTTCAGTGTCGAGAAAAATAACCCGTTTAATGTCAATGCAAATTACGTTATGTGCAAGAAACATTCTTTAACTATCATCTACGAGTATCAGTCGGCTACTGAGTCCAACGATTAAGATAAAAATATAAGCTATTAAGCTCCCCATGTAAAGCTTAAGCCCCTAATTAACGCAATTGTATATTTCGGAAGTCTGTTAAAAAAAGCACGTAATCCATTATTTGGAATCTCGGCAAGAATCTCTCGTCACTTCCCTTTCCCCGAACATTACGTGGCTCTAAAGCCCACTACAGTAGATTTTCTAACGTTCCATCAACTTCGAGTCTTCTCTCAGTTCACCACTAGCAATTATTTTATCGTAAATCCATTTCGATAACATATATGATTACTTCATCACAGTTGGTATCAGTAAAAATGAAGGGAAAAAACGAAAACGCAAAGAAACACAATGTTAACATAATTTCATGGAAATGAGAGTAAGGTTTGAATCTGCTGAAAGCAACCCTAACAAGTAGAAATGCGAAACGAGTCGAACTTAAATCCATACCTCAGCAATAATATCAGCTGAAGTAACTCCAGTTTCTTCTCTCAGTTCCCTAACGGCTGCATTTCTAGGATCCTCGTTTTCGTCAATTCCACCCTACAAACAATACCACCCTTCAACTCCCACAAATTAACGGAAAAATACGAGAAAAGCCGCCCTCTACACACACGTGAGCGAAAGGGGATAATAACAAGTTCTGAGTGAAGCAAATTCACCCTAATCTCAAGATTCCGTAAGTGTTTCTACACTGTATTCGTTACTGTATAATAGCCTCTTTCACAATATACATTAAAATTCAAAAACACAGCCAATTGCATATCAATAAGAGAATCTAACCTGAGGCATTTGCCATGAATCTGGTATATCAAGTCTCGAAGCAGCAAAAATCTAACACAAAACCCCCCACATAAACAAACAATTATCAATACATAACCCTATTATACATACAAATATACAAATTAGGGCAAATACAAATGAACAGAGGGTGGGAAAAAGCAAAACCTACCTTTTTAGAGGGGCTAATGAGACAAATTCCCACGTTTCTTCTGTAACCTTCCGGTGGGATATCCATGGATGCTGACGGTGGTGAAGAAAGCGGAGCTGAGAATGACAAGGCGGCGGATTTAGGGGTTTTCAGAGGGCAGTTTGGGAAGAGAAAATTAGCTGTGTGTATACGCGGATTAAAATGGATGAAAGATCGGCAAAACGCCATCGCCGCGGCAGCACATTGTTACTGTACTTGTCGTTGCTCCAACTTTTGCCGTCTATGGCGGAGATGCTGATATATCGAAAATGCCCCTTCCCCGATTTTCTTGTTATCACTTTGGATTTTTTCTTGGGTAAATTTCAATTTCCCCCATTTATTTTAGTTCGTTATCACTTTACACCGTCTATTCTCGATTGCATCAATTTTTCCCCTGCATTTGAAAAATTGTCTCATTGTGGCCCTCGCCATTAGATTTCAGACATTTAACCTTAACACCGTATGATCTAAGTCTGAAAATTATAGAATAGCAATAAATAATTATTAAAAAAATAAATTGTAACTGGCGTCGTGAACTATGTTTTCTCGTTGTCTTGATTTTTTATTATTTGTTTTTTTTTTATAATTATTTAAACTAGAGAGGGTGACGTGTTTGTAATTTCAGAGCTTAGATCAAACGGTGTTGAGGTCAAACGTCTGACAACTAACAACGAGGGCCACATTGAGACAATTTTTCAAGTGCATAGGGGCAAATCGATATAATTAAGAGTAGGATACGGTAAAGTGATACTAAAGTCAAATTAAGAAAGTGGAATTTACCCATTTTCTAATTTCCTTTATTGGGATTTATTGTGGCTGAATGTTTCCAGTAATATAACTACGGTTAACTCGCTATAAATTAATAGAGGCCGGACTAATAAGATTTTATTAATTTAATGAAACATTAATTTATTGAGTTCATAATTTAAATTATTTTATTAGGTATTTAATTTACTTTTTCTGATTAAAAAATCATATGCATGTCATTATTAGGGAATAACTAGTAAATATTACAGATCAGTCTACTGATCTACGTATGTTGAATATTATTGAATATAATATTGGCTAATTATTTATTTATTGTCTATAGTTTGAACTTTGTTTTAATAATGTAAATAAATTAGGTGTTTCTTTGGAAAAAAAAAATAATAAAAAAATGTAAACTGCGCTGTCAAAGGTTCAAAGCAAAGACACTAAAATATGACCAAACCCATAGACAACTAACTGTAGGCCCTCATTGGTATTTCGTATTTTCTCCTCCCCCTTCAACTTTCTATTTATTTATTTTGTACCCCTCTTAATTTATGAAAATAGATATTGTACAAATTGTAGTAAACGTAAATAAATTATACGGTTGCTTAGTTTTGTAATTATTTGATTTTATTGGTGACGGGCTAATGCACAAAGGTCTATATCGACAAGTTCATAGAGCACAAAGCAAGCACAAGTTGACTCACGATAATAATATAAGTTCGAGTTGACTACGGTCCAAGTTGATCATAATCTAAATAGTCAGGCCCATGTTAAGAGGCTTAAGCCCATGAAAATATATATATAATTATATAAATACCCTGAGCCCTCACAATTAAAGGTGCAAAATTTATAACACTCGAGCAGTCTCTTGAATTCTCTAACTTTAGCTGATGGATCAAGCCCCGGCTCCTTAGCAGCTTTTTTTGACGCATGTAATGCACACACGAGGAATCAAATAGTGTGATGGAGGAATTGCAAGATGTGACATGAAATCGAACCACATCAATAGGTTTTAATCCAATGAAAAGTAAAACTATGTGTGTTTTTTGAATTTTCAAGGTCAACATTAAATGCGTTGAGAAATATTGTAGTTACTTTGATAAAAAAAAATCTACGATCGACAATGTGTGTATGAAGAAAATGATTACAACGTGTCTCTCGTATACGATACACGTGTGGGAAAAGGAAATAAATTTATTTAAAGTATGTGATCGCGTAGATTTTACATTATTTGAAAATTTATAAAACCACTGTTTATTATCATATCGTAGATTAACACGTGCAAAATCTATAATCGATATATAAACGTGCACAATTGACTACTAGATGAATTTCACCAATTGTAACACAACTTTTGATTTTTTTTTTTTATGGATATAATAATAAAACAATCAAAAAGTATTTATAAGTAGCTTAAAATACACGAAATAAACTTTATTCGGGGTTTTTACAACTAGTAGCCCAAAATAAACCACCTTAAAACCAAATAGTCATAAGTATGGGGTTCCTTATCTAATTTTCCAAAATCTTTTCCCCAGAGAGAAACTCGAGACTCTTTTCTGAGTGTTTTCTCTCTCTAGTCTCTCTTTTTCAGACGGAAAACACGGATTTGAACAGAGGGGAAATTAAAAATGGGGATTCCGGCGAGAAGAAGAGAAGTAGGCGGAGGAGTGGCGGCGGCGGATATGCTGAGCGAGAAAGCAGCACAAATGAGGGAGGCACTGGTGAAGAGCCAGTCCATCACAGACAACATGGTGTCAATTTTGGGCTCCTTTGACCACCGTCTTTCCGCCCTTGAAACCGCCATGCGCCCCACCCAAGTACAGAATCTTCTTCGTTTCTTCTGTTTAATTTTAATTTTTTGATGTGCTGATACTTCCTCCTTTGTTTGATTTGAGATGTGGCGTTTTGTGTGTGTGTGTGTGTTCTGAGAGAGTAATGGTAATTTTGCCATGGAAGCAAAGTGAAGTTCTGATCTTTTCTTCAATGAGTGAAAATTAGGTTTTCGAGTTTAAAGATGCGTTGATCTGATTTTTTTCAGTTACTTCTTCTTTGGCAGTTTGGTGAAACTGGCAATTTTTTTTGGGGGGTTGGTGGATTCATATTAGAACATTATTTACTTTTGGAGTTGATAAGATAAATACAAAATGACAGAGAAAGGAAATCTTGTTTCTCAATACTTAACCTTTGCGTTTTTATGTATGATAAGTGAAACGACTGTTATCAGTATGATTAGGATTGGATCAATTTTTGTTTCAAGACGAGGATCTCTGTTTGAAAAGGTTTACAGAATATGGGAACTTCAAATGGAATGAAAATGCAGCGGCAGTATGCAAGATCGTCGTTATTTATCCGCTCAGTTCGATCGCAAATGGAATGTTTCTATTTCCTTTCTGCGTTACCCAGAAACAATTTCCTACTTCTTAAAGTTACGATTTTCTTTCCAATAGCATACTGGTGTTGAACCTCGATCCCGTTGAAAATGGGACACTCAAATTGGGGTGCGGGTCATTTGTTGGATGCAATAAAGAGTGGATGCAGGGATTCGTATTTGCAGCTTTGCTTGATTAAGCTGTTGTAGCATAAGAAACATATATGATTAACATAGTAAATAGATCCAAAAACATAATGGGTGGGTATTATGATCTTTCAAATGAATGGTCTTTGCTGTTTTTCCTGATTTACCTTAACAAATGAGAAAATAAAGATTAAAATCATGAAAAATATAAAGGGACGATTCTGTTATTCTACGGATTAGTTGTAAATAGTAAATTAAGGGACTGCTGATGAAGTTCGTCAGGATTTTTTCTTAGCATAATGATTCAACACTGCATTTCACCTTTGCCGTATAAATTTCTGAATTTTGTTTGAAAATGTTTGCTACATGTTTGACTACTTTATTGTGTAATAGAAACTTTGAATTATGATATTTATTTTCTTTTGTCTTGGGCTCTTTTATCATTTGTTAATTGGTGCTCAATCTATATTATGTAGATTAGAACACATGCCATTCGGAGAGCTCATGAAAACATTGATAAAACTCTGAAGGCTGCTGATGTCATATTGTCACAATTTGATCTTTCTCGCCAGGTAGGGTTCCGCTCAATGCCTAAGATTTTTGTCCTTGTTTGCTTGTTCTGAACTGTGAATTGATTATCTTTTGAACAAAACATTAACTGGATCTTTTTTATTAGAGTTTATCTTCAAGTTCTAACAATGTAAGTGATCCACATATTGATGGACTCAGAACCTTGAAACTTTATATCTTATGTTGCAGATATCATATTTTCTATGACTCAGTTTCGACTCTCTCGAGTTCTTCTCAAATCAATGTTTTTTGTTTACATCCGTTAAAATCGTGAGTGTCTTTATGTTGTAGGCTGAGGCAAAAATACTTAAAGGGCCACATGAAGATCTAGAGAGTTACCTTCAAGCAATTGATCAACTAAGGAACAATATTCATTTTTTCAGCAGCAACAAAAGTTTCAAGAGTAGTGATGGAGTGCTCAACCACACAAATAGTTTACTTACCAAGGCTATATCTAAGCTTGAAGAGGAGTTCAGACAACTCTTGTTATCTTATAGGTTTGTTTACCATTTTTTGCATAATTAAGATGCATTTCATAATTTCAATAGATGTATTCTAATGTATTAAGTTATCCAGGGCCATATCCTAATCTCATAGATGATAATTTTCATGATTTGGCATGCTATTATTGCCTAATCTTTATATCATGATTAATTGATTAATGCTCTTGAACTAATGACTAGATAAGAGTTCATTCCTTGGACCCCCTTTTCTCTTATCTTTCAGGTGTTGGTCTGTTTCCATTCTATACCAAGTTATGGACCAAGTATATTGCATTGTTCACTTGAATGTTTTATGTGGTCTAAATGTAAATTTCATTCTTTCAGCAAACCGGTTGAACCTGAACGACTTTTTGAGTGCCTCCCCAATTCCATGCGACCATCAGGATCACCTGGAGATTCTGGCGGCAAGATTGCATCATCAAATAGTCACTCTGATCATCAAAACAATACCACAGAAAATTCAATTTATACTACGCCGACTCTTATTCCACCTCGAATTTTGCCTTTGCTGCATGATTTAGCACAACAGATGGTTCAAGCTGGGAATAAACAGCAATTACAAAAAATATACAGGTAAATGTCTATATTTTCTGCTCAGAAGCTGGTGTGGGTGTCGAAAGTTTTGTTTATCATGTTCTTTTTGGGAGCTCATATTAGATAGAACATTATCATTCTTTGGTTGTGCTGATCTGGTCATAATTGGATTCTTTCACCCTAAATGACTTTGTGTAAGATTCGGCTTTAATTTCACAGGCTAGTCACTTCTATCAGTATTTATATGAGGCCACATTTGCTTCTGTTCTTACAAGAGCAGAGAGTCAGTTGTTATTTCAAGTCCGGAAAACATGCGTAATCTTTAGAGTCACTGCTTTCTGAGCTTGTTCATGAGTGTTTTTGAAGAGTTTCATCCATTTTGTTGAAAATTAAATGTTACTGCTTTCTGAGATTGTTCAATGTTTAAAAGTTCCATATTAGTATTCTTTACAATAATCCGTTCTCTCCAAATTGTTGGGGATAGGCAAAGCAGCTACAAATATATCTGCAGCAAATTCATTGTTTTGGTCATCGATACGATAAAATATGCTTTGCACTATGTAGGGATGCCCGCTCTTCAGTTTTAGATGAAAGCCTTCGTAAATTGGGGGTGGAAAAGCTCAGCAAAGAAGATGTTCAAAAGATGCAATGGGATGTTTTGGAAGCTAAGATTGGGAATTGGATCCATTTTATGCGTATTGCTGTAAGTTCCCTTATTAGAGAATCTCCCGCATAGTTCATTAGATCTGATTTTATGGACTAAGTTTAGTCATGCTCAAACAGGTCAAGTTGCTCTTTGCTGGAGAACGCAAAGTTTGTGATCAAATTTTCGAGGGTTTCGATCCTCTCATGGATCAATGTTTTGCTGAAGTTACTACCGGCAGTGTTGCAGTGCTACTTAGCTTTGGAGATGCTATTGCGAAAAGCAAAAGATCCCCTGAAAAGCTATTTGTGCTTTTAGATATGTATGAAATCATGAGAGAACTTCACTCAGAGGTACTAAACAATTCATTTTGCTTGACTTATATTCATTATGTCTTCATAACATCACATTTGTATGTTGTCAGATAGAAGCACTTTTTAGAGGTAAAGCTTGCAATGAAATTAGGGAATCTGCGCAAGGGTTGACCAAAAGGCTTGCTCTAACGGCAAAAGAGACTTTTGGCGACTTTGAAGAAGCGGTGGAAAAGGATGCTACTAAAACTTCTGTTGCTGATGGGACTGTCCATCCTCTGACAAGCTATGTGATAAACTATGTGAAATTCTTGTTTGAGTAAGTCAACTAAATATATACTATGCTTTTGAAAAAACCCTTTTTTCTTAAACTTCAGTTTGTTGTTTGTAAGTGGTAGCATATCAGATGGAAAATAAGATAAACCCTTTCTCCGATTTCTGTCTGTGAATGTGTTTTAACTTCTCGTAAGAGAGCATAATTAGAAAAAAGTAAGAAAAACTCTTTTTATCACGTATCATACTCATCCTACTATTTATTGTGGTGCCATTATCTGGAATTCGACTTTTTTCACCAAAAAATAGAAGGATAGACTTTTTGAGTTAGTACACTCCACATTGCTTTTGAATATAAACTTTCTTACATTCATTCGTTTTGCTTTAAAATTCCTTTTTTTTTGTTAGCCACACAATTTTTGTTGTTTGTTTCATCCTTTTATTCCCTTAATTGGATCTAAAATACTAGTAATGTATGTAACACAACATCTTGTTTCTTTAGAACCTGCTCAATATATTAAGTAAATATTCGTTGATTTATCTCTGCTGTAAGAATGTATTAGTTCTTATCTGATGCAAAAAGTACAGTATTAATTATGTAAATTTTCACCTATGTTTTTTTGCGGTTTTTCAGCTACCAATCAACATTGAAGCAACTTTTCCAAGAATTTGAAACTGGGGATGACTCAAATTCTCAGCTAGCTGCTGTTACAATGCGAATCATGCAGGCTCTTCAAACCAATTTGGACGGGAAATCGAAGCAATATAGAGATCCTTCTCTCACTCATTTGTTTCTTATGAACAACATTCATTACATGGTCAGATCGGTTCGCAGGTTTGTTATTCTTAAACTTTGGCCTCGTTGGGAATATTGATGTGATTGATAAGATTGATTGAATCTGTTATGACTAATATGTCCATTATATTGTAATGTATTACTATCTTATGTTTGGGATTTGTGATTATACAATCCCTTTGTATTGGCTAATTTCCTGCATAGGATTGTGTAATAATAGGAGTCGAGGTTCGACTAAAGATCCTTTGTATGCTTGATTGAAATCTGGGATCCTTTTTTTTTTCAATCCCGTGCTTAAACACAAATCTTGATTATATCTTCTATCAAGTCTTTATCCAAATTCCCAAACAAGGCCCTTATTTGTAAAGTTTGCGAAAATGCTTACAAGCGATTGTGCTTCTTAAAGTCGTTTCTTGTTTGCTTCGTTACTTTTAGGTCTGAAGCCAAAGATTTGTTAGGGGATGACTGGGTTCAGAGACATCGGAGAGTTGTGCAGCAACACGCAAACCAATATAAGAGGATTGCTTGGGCAAAGGTCTTGCTTTCTTTTACTTTACCGATGCAAATTTAATCAACCGAACAAATGTAGTTTGATGAACAGTGGTCCAATTAGTTAGCATGCCAGATTGATTTTTATTTCTTCAAAGTTTCATACGTGAATGCCCTCAATTAACTCTTAAGTCTCTTATTTCCGATATTGAATGTCTTTTTTATTTTATATATTTTTTATTGAACTTCTTTTCTTATTTTGTATGGTTATCTACCATTAGATCCTGCAATGCCTCTCTGTTCAAGGGCTGACATCATCTGGAGGTGGAAGTTCTATTAATGCTGATGGAGGAAATAGCAGTGGAGTTTCTCGAGCAATCATCAAAGACAGGTTTTTATTTATTTATTTAAAAAGAATAAAAAAAAAAATATGATATTAATTCTGTTGCCCTTTGTCTTTTATTGAATTATGTAGATTGAAGACATTCAATATCCAATTCGAAGATCTTCATCAAAGACAATCTCAATGGACCGTTCCCGATACAGAGCTTCGGGAATCTCTGAGGCTCGCTGTAGCTGAAGTGATGCTTCCAGCTTACCGATCTTTCATTAAACGGTTTGGGTAGGTTTTTCACCTCCCTTTTTTTAGTATTTATGACATAATATTCTTTCTTTCTTGCATCATAAATACGGTAAATTACCCTAATAAATTAAAATAAAATAAAAATTAATGATGCATGTTTTGATACTTGACAGGCCTTTGGTCGAGAATGGTAAGAATCCACAGAAGTACATTAGGTTCACGCCAGAAGATCTCGAACATATGCTCGGTGAATTTTTCGAAGGGAAGACCTTGAACGAGCCCAAGCGTTGATATTTCGATGAAACTATATAAATTGTTTGTCCCCCTTTTAATTTGTGTATTAGTGTTAATAAAAGAATGTAGACTTTATTTATCTTGATAGAGCATTTTTTTTTGGCTTGTAAAATGTCAATAATATGTATGGATTCTTGTTGTACATCTATTTATCAAGGATTTGCAAATTTGTGTATTAATATTGTATAAATTGGATTAGAATTAATTAATACACTTCAACACCCAACTTATAGTTTTCATTAACCTTCGTTTAATCGGTTCTGCTGGCCGGCCGGTTGACCGACATTAATAATATTGCTCGTCTCGAAACTAATTCAAGACACAAGTATAAGGGTGAAATTCGGATGGAACGGGTCGAAATAGACGTCTATAGAAATTTTCCAATTTTTATTTCCTTTTCGAAATACAATGCTAGATACTTATTCAATTTTCATTAAATAAAATATGTAAAATATAATAGCAAAATAAATAAATATCTCTTTTTTTTGGGAAAATTAAAATTGGACCAAAAATAATTCTACATGTATTTCTAGAAATCCAATTTTTTTCTTGGAATTAAACTTTTAAATCCAAATACGGAAAATTTGGTAATTAATTATGTTCCGATTTTGACCCTAGACAAGTACAAAAAAAAAAAAAAAAAAACCGGTCAACAAAATGCTAAACCGGGGAGTATTGCGCACGTAAACAGCTGTCTTTGAGAGTTCAGCTACAGTCAAAAGCCGCTTCATTCTGAAAAACAAGCAAGTGGCCGAGGGTTTGAAGAACCACCACCGAGCCACCTTTTTAGTCAACCCTCTCCGCGGTCGCCATGGTCAACTATACCAAGGTGGAAGCAGTCATTATTATGCACGGCCAACGGGAGGGTGGTGTTGTGTGTGGCAAATTGACCGATGATTTTTTCTTCTCCGTCTTTTCTCTCTCTAACCCCAATTTTAGACGGAATCAGGGATTTTATTTTGAGGAAATTCGATGGGAATTCCGTCGGGAAGAAGTGAAGTTGCCGGAGGAGGAGTGGCGACGGTCGATATGCTGACGGATAGAGCGGCACTGATGAGGGAGGCTCTGGTGAAGAGCCAGTCCATCACAGACGATATGGTCTCCATTTTGGGCTCCTTTGACCACCGTCTCTCCGCCCTTGAAAGCGCCATGCTCCCCGTACAGGTATGAAAAATCTTTTCGTTTCTTTGGAATTGAAATTAGAAAAGTTTTTTTAGGATTAGAAAATGTTTGCTACCTGTTTGGCTAAATTGGAATTATGATATTTACTTTGATTTTTCTTGGCTTCTGTTATCATTGATTAGTTGGTGCTCAATCTGTATTTTGTAGACTAGAACACATGCCATTCGGAGAGCTCATCAAAACATTGATAAAACTCTGAAAGGTGCTGATGTCGTATTGTCGCAGTTTGATCTTTCTCGACAGGTAATGGTTCCACTCGGTGCCTAAGATTTTGTCCTTGTTTCCTTTTTTTTTTTTTTTTTTTTTTTTTTTTTTTTTTTTTTTCTGAACTGTGCTTCGGTGAGAGATATTGATCATATTCTGAATAAACTATTAACTGGAATTTTTATTCATTAGAGCATATCTTCAAGTTCTAGTAATGTACCTGATCTTCATTTTGGTAAATGTATCCACTGGCTGATATGCGCATTAAGGATATAGTTGACCAGCATATTATGCGAGTGAAATGGTCTGTCTTCATTGGACAGTCATTTATGCTTGATGGCTCGTTTTAGTTTGATCAATTCTGCACCTGGTTAAAATCTTTGTTTCCAAATATCTTCGAGATGTAAATAGTAATTATCCCAGCTGTCATACGCGGACATTTACCATGAGGAATAAAAAGTGGAATTGAGAGTCATACAATTGGTTTTAGAGTCTTATGCTCTCTCGCACTTCATAAAGCTACAAACCCCTTTAAGCAGAAGTAGAAATTGAATATTATTTGTTTTGGTTTTATAATTGGAGAAAATCAGCTACATTTGAAAAATAAAGAAAAATGGCTATCAAGGAGGGGTAGAAGTATGGTTGAATTTTACAGGCCACAGGATTTCAGCTATTTGGTTTGAAATATCTCAACCCCTATTTCTAAGTTCATTCTGTTAATTAATATATAATTCCTTGTTTGTTGTCTCTTTTAATATATGATATCCACATGCATTGTTTAACTGCCTCAAAGGCATGTACATTTTGCTGGATATTTTAGACAGAAATATGAACCAATTTTTTCATTGAAGCTAATTTCGTGTTATATATTGTTAGATAATATTGAGGTAATAACTAATAGAGCTAGTTGAGAGACTCTGAAACTTGATATTTCAATTCTTATGTGGCAAATATCATGTTTTCTATGAGACAGTCTTCGCACTTTTGCGTTCTTCTCAAATAAATATCATCTGCTTACATCCTTCTAAATCGTAATTGTCTATATGTTGTAGGCTGAGGCAAAAATACTGAAAGGGCCACATGAGGATCTAGAGAGTTACCTTCAAGCAATTGATCAACTAAGGAACAATATTCAGTTTTTCAACAACAACAAAAGTTTCAAGAGTAGTGATGCAGTGCTCAACCACACAAATAAATTACTCGCCAAGGCTATATCAAAGCTAGAAGAGGAGTTCAGACAACTATTGTTATCTTATAGGTTTGTTTACCATTTTTTGTGGCCGCGCCCTAATATTCTTGTCAGATGAGCTGCAAGACTCCCTTAGTGCTCTATGCTTATTCGGGTTTCTGTGAACAGCTGTTGCGTGTATTTTTTTCTTTTCATTTTGTTGTCTTGTGGGTTGGGCCAGGCCCACGCAGTAGTGCAGTATGGTGACACTTGAAGGCCAGATAGCAAGCTACCTTGGCGGTCCCTAAAAAATGAATTAATTTCATCCATTGTGTATGATTATGAAGTTATGAACCAAGTGTAATGCAATATTCATTTGCATGTCTTATGTGGTCTAAATAGAAATTTCATTCTTTCAGCAAACCTGTTAACCCTGAACGACTTTTCGAGTGCCTCCCCAGTTCTGATCATCAACACAAAGCTGCAGAAAATTTGAAATATACTACGCCAACTCTTATCCCACCTCGAATTTTGCCTTTGTTGCATGATTTAGCAGAACAGATGGTTCGAGCTGGGAATAAACAGCAGTTACAAAGAATATACAGGTAAATGTCTCTATTTTCTGCTCAGGAGTTCTGTTCATTATGTTCATTTTAGGAGCTCACATTGACTATATAATTAACTTACAGAATCATAAGTTGCTCTAGGAGTGAGTCAACATTTAAATGGTTAGATAGAACGTTATCGTTGTTTGCTTTGTCTAATTTAAAAGGTTTAATTGGGCATTATCATCGATTGGTTTGGCTGATTTCTCCTAGCATTTTCTTGTAAGATTAGGCATTAAACTGGAGCATGTTCTCAGTTTACGGACATGCAACGCAGCTACAAATATATCTGCAGCAAATTCATTTTTCGGTCTTCCATATAATACAACTTGCTTTGCGCTATGTAGGGATACCCGCTCTTCTGTTTTGGAAGAAACCCTTCGCAAATTGGGAGTGGAAAAGCTGAGCAACGATGATGTTCAGAAGATGGAATGGGGTGTTTTGGAAGCTAAGATTAGGAATTGGATCCATTTTATGCGGATTGCTGTAAGTTTCTCTTGTTAGTGAAAGTTCTGCATATCTCATTAAATCTGATTATAAGAACTAAGGTAGTTATGCTCAAACAGGTGAAGCTGCTCTTTGCTGGAGAACGCAAAGTTTGTGATCAAATTTTCGAGGGCTTCAATTCACTCATGGATCAGTCCTTTGCTGAAGTTACTGCTCGCAGTGTTGCAGTGCTACTTGGCTTTGGAGTTGTGATTACTGAAAGCAAGAGATCCCCTGAAAAGCTATTCGGGCTTTTGGATATGTATGAAACCATGAGAGAACTTCATAGCGAGGTAAGACATAATTTCTTGGGAGCAACAATCTTTAGACGCCATGGGGTTTTGTGGTGGTTGAGATTCTCTTTATTCCCTAAGTTTGATTTAAAAGTAATGCATTAGTTTATATTCAAGCTTTTTAAGTAGGCTATCTTTTCGTCATCTCTCTCCCTTTTTTTGGTGGGTTGGGTGTGGGTTGGTATTAGCTTGTAGCAAAAAAAATTTTTGAGATGAACCCAAGCCAATATATTGAGTTGATCACTTTATTAGCATGGTGAATTTTATAGTAGAAGCAACAGATAAGAAATGTACCTTTATTCTGACTGTAGTTTTGTCTTCCTAGTGTATCTCTGTCATCTTTCTCAGATTGCATTGTTTTCTAATAGAGGCTTGTTTTCACTTGTAGCTGTATCATGGGTGTGCACAACTATATTATTAAGCACATCCCGCTGTAGTCTTATCTTCCTGTAAATTATGTTTGAATTCTGTTTGACCTTCAATTTAGGATTATTTATTTCCGAGCTTAATCCTATCCTTTTCACTTTTCAACTTATCAATTCGGGAATTATTTACTTTGTAGTCAAGTTTATGGTTGATATATGGAAATCCCTTTTACTTGTGCTTCTTCTTTTACATATTGCGATCTAGTATTGACTATCTTGACACCTATGATTGAATCTCACCTTCATTTTGCTTGACTTATATTTATGGCTACATAACATAACATAACTTGAAAGAAATGTTAATGAATAAGTTCAATACAAAAATGGTATATTGGCAGATTGAAGAACTTTTTAGAGGTGATACTTGCAATGAAATTAGGGAATCTGCCCTTGGATTGACCAGAAGGATTGCTAAAACGTCACAAGAGACTTTTGATGACTTTGAAGCAGCTGTTGAAAAGGATGCTACAAAAACTTTTGTTGCAGATGGGACTGTCCATCCTCTGACAAGATATGTGATAAGCTATGTGAAATTCTTGTTTGAGTAAGTCAACTAATTTTCTTATTGTCCAACTATTTTTATCACTTATTAGCCATTCTACGAGCAAATACGTTCCACATTAGTTTTGCTTTTGATGATAAACTGTCTTAATAAGGAAGTGAAAAGTAAGTTGACATTGTTTTAGTCATAGAAAATAATGAAAATGATGCCATTTAGATGAAGCGTATTTTTTCTTTGACGGCAAATGTAAAATCATCTACTACCAATGTAAGTCATAACATGATCCAGTTATTTATGTAAGAGAACTCAGACTATTAAGTACCGAGGCAGTATCTCTTAGTCGACCATTTTGTTATTTTTTTCTTAAAACACATCTAAACTGTTTACAGTATAATACTTCTCTAAGTATGAGCATATCTTCTTAGTCTGAACAATGTCACAAAATCATATTGAATAACTGTTGTCCCACAGTTTTTGTTGTTTGTTTCATCTTTTTCTTTGAAGTGTTTTCTCCCTTCAATTTCCGAACTCTTAAGAGAAAATAAAAATATGTATAGGTCCGATTATAACATACAACTTATATAACACAATTCTTGTTCATTGGCTTTGGTCTGCTGCAAGAATGTATTTATTCTCATCTGTTGCAAAAAGTGCAGTATTAAATGTGTAAATAATCACCGTGTTTTACGTGATTTTCCAGCTACCAAGCAACATTGAAGCTACTTTTCCAAGAATTTGAAACTGGGGATGAGTCAAATTCTCAGCTAGCTACTGTTACAATGAAAATCATGCAGGCTCTTCAAAACAACTTGGATGTGAAATCCAAGCAATATAAAGATCCTTCTCAGACTCATTTGTTTCTTATGAACAACATTCATTACATGGTCAGATCGCTTCGCAGGTTTGTTATTCCCAAACTTTGGCCTTCTTGGGAATATTGATGGGATCGATAAGATCGATTGAATTGGTTATGAGTTATGACTAAAATGTCCCTAATAGTATAATATGTGATTATCTAATGTTTGGGATTCGTGATTATACAATCAGGATCCATTTGAATGGAAGGATTTGATTTGGGGAAGGGATTTGAAGAAAGGATATGAAATTACTCCAATTTGGAGTCATTTGAAATCCACCCCAATTGCTCCAAAAACAACTAAAAGGGAGAGGGGTGGATTTGAAATTCGTTAGACAATATATTCGCACTCCGGC